GTATATATACAGTTATATGTATACATATATATGGTTTCCTACTAATCAAGTCTGCTTAGCCTGTATACTGAAGGCTTTTGTTTTATTGTTATTCCAAGTATGACGGATGTTTGGATACTTACTATACTACCATGAATCATGATGGGCACAGCACTAAAATCTGCTATTTAAGCATTTAAGTATCACTGTTACCCTTAACACCCAGGGATATGATATCCTCTGCCACTATAGCTACTTTTGTGTCATAACATGTAAGTCTATAATGCTGGCCATTATTATATTACGATTTATTATTATACCATATTGTTATTATTATTACAATTATATTATGCCTGGGGGCTGGAACAAATATTATATTATTGTATATATCATGTTATATTACGATATGATTTCATAATTCTTATGGCTCCAGTATAATATATTATAATATATTATTATAGTACCTTATATGTCAGCCCCAAACTTATGAACTTCATATAAAATCAGCTTGTATACTATACTAACTAGTACTACTTCTATTCTTGTTCTCATAGTGTTTATGTACTGGGGATAGTCTTCTTCCTTTTCGTAATAAGGCTAATTGTTGCCTGTTGTTGGTTGAAGAAGACTTACATATAATACATATTGGGCTATCAACCACTAGGGTGAGAAGATGTTCAACCTTGTAAGGGCAACCCCGGAGGCCTGAGATCAAGCCGTCCTAGCAGGGGAGGATCCAAAGCGTGAACATTGGTAAGTGAATACAAATGAAGCTGACCTAGCAGGGGAGGATCCAAAGAGAAGAAACTCTAAGGGTCCGCCTGCTAGGGAGCTGACTACATACTGCTTGTCCGTAGCTGCCGCTGTCGGGCACAGAAGGCTTGAGCGGCGTCGCAGGCAAGGTCCCAGGGCGACTGTTGGGAGGGCATTGACAGATCAGTGATTGTGCAGGTGAGATGGAGGGCCGGAGTCGGACGCGTCTCCGAGAGGCCAAAAGGGGGGGTTCCCCTGACAAACCTCAACCAATATGCATGCTCATCATATACTATTAATATTGTAATATAGTCACAATTTCCAAAAAAAAAAAAAAAAAAAAAAAAAAAAAAGGCAAATCACTGCAGATATGTGACTGAAAAGCCTCCTCTAAACATGATCTGACAGACAGATTTGGATGAGCAACTATTTCAGAGCATTGCAGAATATTGTTACTGAACAATATAGTGAAAACTAAGGTTGAAAATGCCAAAAGTTTGTTGAAGCAGGATAATATACTATAATAAAATATTTCACATCATTATTATCATATTATATTATGAGATTATAATAGGCCAGCATGTTTAAACTCAAATTATAGCAGAAAACAAGTGACAGGATTGGAAGCTATATACAGTGTATATACACAGCCAACCTTATGTATGTTTTACACTGTATATAATTACATGTGTATGTAGTTGGAGGCTTCGGTATTCCTGAAAACACAGTCGTGACGCCTCGATTCAACATGCAAGAGAAGTAGAAGTAAAGTCATGCTCTATCTAAGGACCTTAGCACCATAGCTACATAGTAGTAAAAGACACTCGCCATCCAACGGCCTTGTCGCAAATCTCAAGGGAACAACATCGGAACCGTCACACACCCACAATAAATGTAGGTGAGGATCTGCGGCGGTGGTAAGCTGACGATACAGGCATTTGCGAATGGGACTTGCCATATACGTGCCATGGTGATACGCCTTGGAGCTGCCCACCAGCACGCGATAAGCCAGATAAAACATGGCCAGCGTCAGCAAAGCGCCACAGTACCCGACAAAACGGTGGGTGGAGTAGATGAACTGGAGCTTCCAGCCCGCGGCGGGTGCGGCAGCAATAATGCTCGCCATGACCCAGCGGAAATTCGAGCCCAGCAGGATCGGCAGTGTCTTCCGGCCAGCGACCTTGTCTCCCGCCGCGTCGCGCATGTCTTGCACACTCGCGACGATCCCAAACATCGCGCTCAATTGGAGCATCGAGCGCCAGACTTGAGGTGTGATTGGGGCGGCGATTCCCCATGCCGCAGTCAGGATGGAGAGCGAGCCGACAGACATGAAGAGAAGGTTCTTCGTCGTCCAGTGCTTGTCGCCGCCCCACCAGCTCGTGTAAATCGTTATCGCAATCCACATCACCGCCCATTTGAGCACTCCCCACTTCGCCCCCATCACCAGCAGTGCGGCAGTCGTCAAGTACCACCGTATGTAAGCGCCTTGCAGCGAAACGAGACCGGAAGCTATCGGCCGGTCCGGTTTGTTGATGCGGTCCTCCGCGAGGCCGTTGATCTGGTTTGCGATGTCGAAGGCGTAGATGAAGATGAGGAAGTAGAGGACGGAGCGGGCGAGGGAGAGGGCGACGATTTGTGCTGGAGGGAGGGAATCGTATGAACGCAGCGCGGCGAGGGTGTAGATGGTCCCCGGGATAACACTCATCGAGAAATCGCGCCAGGTGAAGCCCCAGAACACCACAAGCTCGTTAACTACCGCGTCCTTCAGAAAGGAGAACCCGAGGATCGTCTCAGCTTCTTGAGCGAGCTGGATGTCGGCAAGGCTAGCATTTTTCAACTCTGGAATATTTTAGAGAAGGTTTTAGATTCAGAAAGAAGTCACCAACTTTCTGTAGTGCCGACTATCGTCTGCTTTGTTGCCATTGAAGTGATTGGGCGTCGTTTTTCTCCTAATTCTTCGCTAGTTCGATAGCATCCCTTATATACGGAAGATTGCGGCTCCCAGTCAGAATCGTTGACACGCAAACTGGACAGTTCTTGCAGTCTGTGCTTCTATTCCGGTTCCTGAGGCGGATGCGTCCCAAAACAGGCGCGGAAGACGGCGGCCGCAGTGGTCGTTTCCCTTGCCAAGTCAGTGCTATCTGTCAGAATCATGTCAATGCTTGTCGCAAATGAGAAGAATGCGCTCGGTCACGGTCTGGGCCGATGATGGTGAGGCGCGGTCTGGCGCGAAGCATGATCTCGGCGATGGTCCATGGTCACGCCCGGCTTGGGACAGTGTTTGAAACAAGAGCTTGAAGTACCATATTCACCGAAAAAGAAATGCCGGGGAGCTTCTTGGTCCACCTCGAGGCTCGCAGCGACATCGTCAGGTTCGAAGATGCTCAGGTCATCTTGAATGACTCGGTCACATGGCCGGACAGAAGTGGAAGATTAGGTCCTTAGAAAGATGACCTTGGGGCCCCGAGAGCCGCAGAATAAGGAGAGCGATTGGGGGATTCAGATAAAGGAAGTTGGTGCCACGAGGCTGCTCAGTCGGCCTCGGACATCGCAGCCTTTGAGGTCCTTGTAACGCTTTCTCTTTGTTGACTTGTCACAATCGAAATTTGTGCCTTTGGCTTCGACTACCATGTACTCCAGGCGGGGCAAGGCCCGCTACAACACCGATTTCGCTGCGCCAAAAACGTGTGCCGGCTTCTCCCTGAGTGGCGAGTGCACCAGCCCTGTCTGCTCGGGTGGCTTTTGCAGCAGCCACCAGGGACAGGGTATGTGGACCCGCGCGACACACATCTCGTCAAATGAACGCTACCAGCACGCCCAAGACCGGCGCTGCTCTGGCCTCACGCTCAAATACAACCTCTGTCGCAATCGCGTGGCGGCTGGCGCCTTTCAGTATTGCCACCTCCACGGGGCGCAGAGACTCCCGACAGGCTTGGGTGATGGGCCACCAACAGAGTCGCCGCTGAGAGGAATAGTGCGAGCACGGGCGCGAGAGTTTGACTGGCTGTGGCAACAGGCACACAACCACTACTATGAAGAGCGGCGACAGGAGCAGCAGCGACGAGAAAGAGAACAGTGGGAGCGCAGTCGTCGGCAGCAAGAGAGTGATCGCCGTCGTCAAGAGGAGGAGGAGAAAGCAAGGCAGCAATGGGAGAAGCCCCATTCATCCAGCGACAGTGGCAAGAAGCAGGAATACGACTATACGCGAGGTAGAGGGGCAGCTGAAGACCGCAAGCGGGCCAACGCGCAGCAAAACGGCCTCGTCATCCTCCAACGCTACATGGAACGGGGCACCATTTTCGACAGCACTTGTTTCTCGGCCAAAGACCCCAGCTCCTTCTCTCGTATTCCGTGGCCAGTCATTGCGTCGGCCCGTGGTCCGGAGGATGTGACGGTGGAAGGCGTTCTGGCCTTCTGCAAGCTGCTCACAATGTTGCAGCATGCTGGCTTGAAAACGGTCCGGGAGGTTGACGTGATAATGAAGCGAATCCTGCTGCGTTTCCATCCCGACAAGTTTAACGAGCAGCGCATCGTCGTGGCAAGCATCCGAGATGAGGCACAGCGAAGGGCTGTGATGCAGGCAGCGGATGTCGTCACCAAGACGGTCAACAATTATCGGGGTGGATGATAGGTTTTCGTGTAGTCGGACATTGTAAATATGTTCTTTTATGGTCGTACGAGTTGTGGGTTCATGACGTATATCCCGCCGTATCCAGTTCAGACGTGCAATTTGAGTTGGCCATAGAGGCTGAGATGAGAGTTGGTCGGCGCACGTGGGGTGACACCGTCTGTGACACTTCTTCCTTTCTTGCCCGACCACGTTCAATTCGGTCCCAAGGTCGTTGTTTGGCACTGTGTCGGGTCAATAAGATCATATGGCCGCAGTGGCGCGTCGGTTTTGTCGACCTAGACGGTCTTAAGCTTGGCGGCCTGCAGCTTTGCAGCGTCAATAAATCTGAAAACGAGGGGCAGTCATGGCTTGGTACAAATACGATTAAACAGGAACAACCAATTCATAACGGAGACTCGCACCTCAAGTTTTACAGCCTCAACTTTCTTTGTCCTCGTGCTTTTCGTTCCTCATTTTAGGATCTTTGACCGAGCCGCGAGCGTTCATCTGGTGCGGGTAGAGAGCAATAATTCAACCTTGCTTCAGATACTGCATACATATAGCTGTTCTGAAAGCTAAACTAGCCTATATATCTGTACAACAGATTTTCAGGAGTGTCTGTAACCTGAGGTCGAAATATTGAGAGGTAACATCTTGATTACTGCTCCTCGATTTCCTCGGTGAGCGATACCGGTGCCAGGTTGATGCTATACGCCGCTGCTGAATACGTCCGATGCGCTAAAAGCAAACACAGTCAGCAAAACGCCCACAAAAAACTCCAGAGATTTGGCTCACGAAACCCGAACACCTGCACGGTCTCATCGCCATTTTCTGCACCTGCGATTCATAAGCAAAGAACGAAGAGCGCCAGAAACAACGCACGGGTGGTTATCCGGTCATCAGACAGCGCCTGCACATACGCCGCCTCCCTGTATTCGTCAGGGGCCACTTCCTGCGCATGAACCGACTGGAACACAGGATCGGGCCATGTGAACCAGTTGAAATAGATGCCCGTAGGCCCCAGTTGCAAAGAGGTCAGGCTATTCAGCGCAATACCTGCAGTGAAGCCAGCAGCGCGTGTGGCCACTATTGTTGGGGGAATCGTGTTGTCGCTACACGAGTCAAGGTCAAGTGAGAGGACGTAAATGCCTTGAATCTGTAGTATTAACTAGTTAGAGAAGAAACACTAAATGATGAGACGGAACTCACTGTAGCGACTCCAATCCTATTGCTCTCAAGAGCGAGGTACCTGGAGGTCCCGCGCGGCGAGCCAACTTGAATATCTAGAGCAATTTCTCGGAAGGATTTGACTCCATCAATGACCCGACGATAGAATGGGACTACGATGACCCGAGAGCTGGACAAGAGAGCGACCAAGTGTGAGCCACATTCAGACAGACGCACTGTAATTGCGATGAACAAGGCATTGGTAATAATACAGACACATACCACTCCAAAATTGGTCCACCAGTCGTCCAGGAATCTCTGGCGTTAATCGATGTAAAACAGGTTGCGGCTTCAGAATCGCGTCTGGAAGCCATCCCGCTTGATTTTCGTCCGCTTCAAATGTGTAGGAATTGTCGCCGTATGAATATTGTGTGGAAGGGATGTCGAAAACGCAAAGCCCTGTCGCGAGAGAAAATCCACGGAGGGAAATTGTGTCGGAAACAAACGCGATGCCATCCGCACTTAGCGCAAGACACATGAGCTCGCCGGAGCCCGCCCAAAAGTTGATGGTCTGGAGGAACGACCCAGACGGAACATCCCAGAAGTACATGTCGGTGTTCGAGCCAGCCACAATGGTGGGGTAGGCCAAATGGAAGGCGTAAATTGTGGTGTCAGTGGGTGGATGCAGCAGTGCCCAGGGAGTGAATTTGCGCTTGGGAAAGGCACTATTTGCTGTGGTTGCCGCACGAAATTGTGCCTCGTCAGGAGGTGAAGATGCAGCAAAAACTTGTTCGTCGCCTTCTTGCTCGACAAGTTTCCAGACCTCGAGATCGCTTCCGCGATTGAAGACAATAAGTCCTTCGTGGTACTCGCAGTGGGCGGACTGGGATACGTAGCCCTGGATTTGGCTCAGTACATATAATGCCTGACCAAAACTAAAGACGCACCTTTGGCAAAGCCCAAACCAACTCGCCGCTGTTCATATCCGTAACTCGAAGTTCTGGCTCCATCCCACTCGTGGTAACGACGATAAAACCCTTCTGTTCGTCTACTTTGATGCCATGAACGCTTTCCCCCGCTGCCGCGTGGTAGGTAACACTTGACGCGGATTTACCCAGCCATGCCTGTTTAATAGAGAGCTGAGTCTTGCAAAACGACCTCCAGTCAGTTGAGCCGGCCAATGCTCGCTGAGAGACAACGGTTTCGATATTGTCGAATGTAGCGGATGACGGGATGGCGAAGTGTCGAATGGCAGCATTGCGGTAGACCTCGAGTTCGTTGGTTTCGAAGAATTCGTGCCAAATGTGGGAGGTGCGCGCAAGTGCGGAAAGGGAAGGTAAAGGTAAGTGAGAGAGGATGATGAGAGTGACTTCGGGTGACAATGGAAATGACATGTTAACCAAAGACCAACGACTCCCGGCCGGTATTTATAGAGATTCACTTCAGGTCATAGATAGCAATGATCGGAACATTTCTCAGAGGATGAGCCACAATGTACAGTCCTTTCGCCCGGCCGAACAACTTCCTGATCTCCATCTACTGCAAGCGCAAAATGCGGAGGACTGAAATGTGTTGATATCAGCTCAAACCGGAGAAATGAGCAAAACGTACATAGATTGAGGAAACTAGAAAACTGTGTGAGTAACGGGTGAGCGAGAGGACATGAAAACTTACTCAAGGTAAAGACTGACAGCACCAGCAATGAATTCGTCAGGCGAGAGGCGCTTGTTGACATTGTAGGTGTCGTAGACGATGAATGCGCTGAAGACCAGGCAGCCGCAAACGGTGATGACGACGTCAGTGGTGTGGGTGAATGGCGCCACCAGCAAGTGGACAAAGGAGGTAGTAACTGAGAGCATATTAGTTATGACGAGTCGGCGAGGTAGATAAGACTTACTGAATACTATGATTGCTGACAAGAGGAAGGGTCCTACAAGAGATTGATCGTGAGTAGTAAACAACACACGACGACGCATGTCATACCCCATCCTGCGAAATCATACTGGGTTCTTATCAGCGCCAGCAAGCCAGCAGAGTCAAATGAAATATTCACCTTGCTCTGGAAAGTGAAAACAGTCAGTGCGAGGAATACAGCTAGGGTGATTCCGCTGCGGATATAATCAGTATCATGACTTGACAGGGAGTCGCAGATAAACAAACAGTGCTTGGAGAATGATTTGATTGTCATAGTGAGCGACAGCTATCCCCACAACATACGCTGCCTGAAGGTGTGTATAAAATCGCTGTCGTCCCGGAAGCCATACCTTCTAGAAGCGTGAATGTCGACAGCAAGACGAGATTCAGCGGGTGTAAATGACGCTTCCATTGAAGCAAGATCAGGTTGACGAGAGCGAGTATAGCAGGAACAAAGAGCGCCCAAAGACTAACACGCTTGTTAGCTGCAAAATCCTACAACAGCACAACGAACGCACTGGTTCATAACCCAATCAATCGCTTGGGACGACTGCGACACGGTTCCCGCAATGATAATAGTCGCAAACTAAGCAGGGAAAGTCAGGTCCAAGAACGTGTGGGCCGACCAAGGACACACAATTTGAATCATCAGTATACTGTAAACCTTGCGAACGAAGGCCTTGCGAATTTGTGGGGCGCTATCTGACACCGTTGTCCCATACTACTTGTGCGATAAGCAGTCTGCAAAAGGCCGAGCAATGTGTTGAAAGACCTTAAAGTCATCCGGAATCCCATTGACCTCGATTTGATTCGCAATACTTCCGCTGACAAGAAGAGGAGAAGCCTCTGAAGCGCTCTCCACATCTATAAGTGGAGTCTCGTCGGTATATGGTTTCAGTTGAGGGGTCGTGTACGTTGGTGGAGGGACGGGATAGCTGCTCATAGTGACGGTTCTGGACAAGAGCTGTTGGCACAGCCACATCTGTACATATAAATAACTCACTGCCAAAAACTCTATGCATTGCAACGAAGGGTGACTCGTACTATCTAGTCAGCCTACAAACTTGAAGTTCACGACTACATAGTATCCATAGCAGACCTTGTTCTTGAAGTAGCATCAAGTATCGGTCCTGGGACCTGCTACCTCTGTCGTCTAAACACTGGACTGGAAGGTCCAGATTGCGATTGCCAATGTGCTTGAACACATCAGTGCTATTCGTGTCTGGATATGCTATGTACATTATTTGGGTATTTATTTTCCACTTCAGCCACCTGAGTTTACCTTACTTCCTCCCACCGGCAGTCCAATTCTCTGCAGCTGTATCTCGATAGCGCTGTCCGTACCCTGACCCGCCTCAAGATCTAACCCAAATATCGACACGTCATTAGTCATCACCACCTCCCGCCCGCTGGTTTCATCGCTCCCCCCGCCTAAGTCTGAGTCACGGAACCCTGGGGAAGCAAGCTCGACACGGATGTGAATGAGCATGTTCACGTTCCCAATGATCACGCCCTGGACATCAACGATAAGGACTTCGAGTGGCGAGCTTGTCTGGTAGGTAATGACGAAGAAGATCGCCCATGCGCTAAGGATAACTCGTTAGTACGTTCCAAAGAACGAGTATTTTTAAGTTCCTCACGCTAAAAACACCGCACTCTCGACCAAAATAACCAAAACCGACTGAAGAGTTGTCGATAAACATTCGACCAGATTCGAGCTGACAAACCATGAAGGGCTTCGCCGCCATTGCCCCTGAGGCGCGACAAGCACTCCAAATCCGCCAGGCGCTGAATCCTGTTTGGTGGGGTTTCAAGGTGCCATTCTGGGTAGGAGTAGCTGGATATACCTGTGCAATATATGTTTACCCTGCGACGTCAATACTTGAATAGCCCATGCCATAGCCAACTCACGAGGTTGTGAGTGCCCAATTAGCCGTAAACCAGCCATGATAGCGTTGGAATGTTTCGCCGAATTTGTCAGCGGGCTGAAAGAACACGAAGGTCAAGAAGCAGCCGACAACTGGACGCCTTGAGTGGTGGCTGCGGCAGGAGGCAACGACAAACTGATGATTCCGACCCAGAGAAGGATGGGGAAGACGACAATCCGCGGGTTCCTATTCCAGATAACCCACAAGCGGTATATCTGCATTTTCAAGTTAAATGGAAAACCTCCACTCGTCTTTTGGAACACGCACTAAGACAGCATCTCCGATCCAAATGGTGAGCAGCGTTAGAAAGTTGTTGACAGCTTGCGCAACGACCGCGCATTCTTCCAAATATATGAGGAAGCTTGTACTCGGCGCGTTTGTCGCTCGGGAGACAGACTTGAAAAAGCGAAAAACGGAGATGGCCCAATGCTAGAACAATACGGTGAGGTAGGAAGATGGCAGAGTGAGTGAAGACGCACAGCAGTACACACGACAAGCAGCGCAGCGGTGGACAAAACCACTGGGTTCCATGCTATAGCAGAGAACTTTGGTCTATCGGATGCCGAATACCTCGAATAGCGCAGAAACGCCGTGACGAAACACAAGACCAGAAAAGTGCCGTAGAGGGCGCTCTCCGCGACAAGAGACGCTACAAGCACCCCAAGCACCGCGACCATGCTGTTTTCCCGAGTCAACGGGATAGAAATGAAGGAGCGTGAGCCAGAAAGCCCAAGGGCGGCCGCCCTGTAGGCAGTTTTCACAGGTGACTATTACACGGGACGTTGTGGTGAGAAAAAGAGCGAGGAGTGGGGAAACGAGATTTCGGACGCGTCAGCGGAGGCTTTTCTGAATGCTGGGCGCCATTCGAGCCTCGGATTACCGGCTGGGAACCCGTAAATCACCGAGTGCGGTGATAACCGAGGGAGAAATTGCGTAAGCCTGGGCAGTTGGAATTGCTGGAAAGGTGGGCGGTTGTTTTCCTTTCCCTGCGGGCTAAGAGTAGAAGGACTTGAACGAGGCTCGGAGGTTCAATGTGCCAGTTTCGACAGTTTCGACGTATATGTGACAGTCACACCGTTCTCAAAAATTAAAATAGTTGTCCGAAATCTCACCATCAATCGCGTCGTCCACTCCCCACGAAAGATTCAGGATAACAGACTGACAGTGCACTCGGCCGAGAGGCTCTAATGGGTGCATTACAATCACCACCAACACATTTATCGTCATAGTTTTTTTTGCCTACTAGTATGGATGCCTTTCAATTGCAACTCAGGCTGCTATGTAACCAACTGGTAGGCAATCTTAGTAGCTCGTTCGAGTATCACGAGCTTGAAGTGCAACTGTGATTTTGTGAATAGCAAAGCATCCGTGTATGGTAATTATAGCGAGGTGTGCTAATACAGGGTCCAAGAAAGGAGAGGAGCTAAAAGGATGGCAAGTAACACGACTAGGTATCCAAGTTCAACCAATGGGGATGGTTCACACATGGCCGGCAGAGTACCCTGGAGGCGGGTCGTTTGTGGGGCGCAAGACCCACTCCATTTGGGTGCCCACAGGCATTGCGGCAAACATGACTGGGGAGTCCAACGAGCGGGTCGATACGGGTGACAACAAGGTCAGAGAGCCTGTGTCGCTGCTGAACCGCGATATCGTGGACATGCTCGTCATCGATGTGTGAGAGCCAACGGCAACCATGCTAGACGGCATAGCCGAGCTTGACTCGCTGAGACGGACAAATCCTTTGCGAGAAGATGATTTCTCGTCGGAGGCCGGGACCGTGAATCCGAGGAACGGCGCTACCGTTGGCGAAAAAATCGTCCCATCTTCAAGCATGAACTGAGCGTGACGCTTCCGATAACGCCATCGCCAGCATAAAGCAAGGAGGAGAGCGAATCCAATAACTCCTGCAACTGTCCCACCAATAAGCGCGCCGATATTGCGTCGTGAGTGGGAAAGCGTTTGTGGAAGAGATCTACACGGAAATTTAGATATGTGTTTATTTGAGTATAAACAGAGTACTCACGGAATTCCGGTACTTGTACCTCCGACACCGGCTTCCTTCTCAGTCGTAGTGGTAAGAGCTAAAGCCACAATAGATCTGTCGGCGCTGATGGTAGTGGTGGCAGATTCAACCACAACAGTAGTTCCGGGAAGATTCCTGAAAAAAAGGCTGGTTAGTAATGAGGAGCGGCATGCCAAAAATCACGAACAGGTTGGCGCCGATCGGCTCCGCGCTGGTTGTAATGGCACTCGTGCTGATCCCTTGGGTTTTGGTCGGAGGTACCTGACCTTGTGTCTGTGTGGGCTTTGAAGTAGTAACTGATCCAACGGTCGATGAAAGGGGAGTGGACACCATTGTTGGTGGCGAGCTAGCAGAAGATGATTCATAAACTTTAGGAGACATTTGTCAGAGAATAGAAACATACCCAGGGCTTAAAACTTCATACGCCGGGCCAGTTGCGAATGGTGTGGTCTCTCCGCTGTTTCGCCTGGATTAACTCTGCGCAAACTCTCAGTACTAGTGTTCACTCACACTACCGCCGACGAATCATACGCCTCTATATAATGTGTTCTAGCATTGTCAGCTGAAGTACTGAAGAATAAAGAAGCTTGAGCTTACCCTACATAGCCTGGCACGGTGCTGAACGATCCACTGCCAGAGAACGCCTGTTTGCCTGCGACATCCTGCCTCCAACTATTCTGAACCACGATCTCGAAAAAGAACGACTGGGGGTCCCCGGGCTCGGCGGTATACGTCACAATGACCTCGTTGTTTGCGCCGACAGAGGGCGCATTGGTGATTTTCATCCCGAGAGCAGTGGAACAAGCTGGCAAAGGGCAAGCACGATGGGATTTATCATGATCTGGAGGTGGGACTCCCAAGCACCGCAATCTTCGGTTCCTTCGATTTCAGATTGAGGAGAACAGAATGATTGGTTCTGCTTACAATATCAGAAGGAGTGGCGTGTAACGTGCGTCAACAACTTGAACAACATGAAGTGATTCAGAGACAGTCTGAGCGAGTTTAATATGCAGTCATGGACTCCCAACAGTATCCATACGCACCACAGAGACCTTCTATCATGCTTGTATGCTGCAGGGGAGCAGGTGAGCCGATTGAACGACTGCAAATTCCAACGATGTTCCCAGACCGTCGTTGTCTGTTGACCCCCAGACCCTCAGCTTGTTCCTGGAGTGGATAGATGGACAACGAAAGCAGCAAATAGCGGCGTGGCCGCGGGCATCTTCGAGAGTTTCCCGGGAGCTTCAATCGCAAGTTTTGCGCCGACGACAGAAATGATCAACGAAATCCGTCAGGTCTATTAGCATGACGCGGGAATCTGCCGGGTGCTTGTGTCCCATCTGCGATGCCGAGGGTCAGCGCTGGGGCGGCGCTGGACGTGCCACCAATGGTCTCCACGATTAGAATGACAAGCCAACAACGTTCAGGAATGGAAGGTCGATGCCCTGATTTGGAGAGTCACATCAGCGTGTCACGTCATGTCTCAGCCTGCATATGGATTACAAACTGTTTGAGATTGGAACAGTGGCTTCTCTGAGCTGAGCTGAACAGGCAAAGTAAGACAGGACTAGAGCGACAACCGCTGGTTGCCTTGTTATTCAAGGAGAACAGAGGAATACAGCTTCTACAACTAGATAGTAGGTAACGTATTTGAGCGATGGCAAGTTTGGAGGGGTGGGGGTATGCTATATAGATACAGATAATTAGGTGGATACAGATTTGTGCAAATCGCACGATGCTAAAGCTACACGGGATCATTTTCCAAGAAAGCAAAGCAAGAGAGCAAATATTTAAAAAAAGAAAGCCATCAAGCAAACTCAGCCGCGTACGAGACCTCCTCGAACCCCTTGGACGAAATGTCCATGGACGTGCCAGTGCGGATGGTTGACTGGAAGTTCAACGGCTGGTCGTCGGTGGGGTACTCGAATGGCGCATACGCTGCTGGCTCTGGTTGCTGCGTGAACACTGGCGGTTGGAACTCGATGTCGCCAAGAGGGGACACTGGGTGGATCGGTTGTGGCGCATGCAAAATCCCAGTCGAGTCAAATGGACTGACGCCTTCGTTGACAGGCGACCGTGTTGGTGCAGGAGCAGGAATGGAGGAAGCAAAGGGGTTCATATAACCCGACTGGAATAAAGAGGTATCGGCATCTGGCAATTCCTCTTCGACGTGTTGCTGCTGCTGGATAATTTGCGACGGGTCGCGGAAAAAGGCCTGAGCACTGCTCGCTCGACGATGTCCAATGGAGACGTTGTTGTTATTGCTCCAGCCACCATAAGCACCACCGAAGGAGAACGACTGACGGTCCCCAAACCCAAAGCTGAAGCTCGGTCGCAGGTACGAAAAGCTGCCAGTGCCGTTCATCCATGACATGGACATTCGGCTGTTATCGGAGATAGACATCGGCATCCCGCTCAGAGAGTCTTCTGCCGCACTTGCCGGTGGTGGGAACGAGTATTGACTCGATAACGGAGGCAATGTCAGACCCCCATCGAAGAAGGGAACCGAATAGTCATTGGGAAGCGGCACACTGGAGCTGCGACGATGGCGCCAACGTGGATCCTCCCTGCCTTCTTGGTGTAACGGGAGAGGAAGCGAAAATGGGGAGCCAGATGTTTGGGAGCTGGCCAAAGTCGACGATGGCGGAGAGTCAGGATAATAAGCAGGGTCTAGATGAAGGAGAGGGTGTGGGAATTTGGGGTTATGATCATAACCACCAGGACCAGGTGACGATGAGGTAGAATGCACAAGAGTGGGATGCAGACGCTCATCGAGGTCTCGAACAGCGGACGCGAGTTCTTGGCCTTTTTTGCCTTGCAAAAGAAGAGCAGCAACCTCTTCGCATCGACGCTCGTCTTCTTCTGGCGAAAGCTGGCCTTTTATCGGACCACTGACCACACGGGGAGCAGGCGAGTCACGAGATGCGCTCGCAGCGGTCGCGCCACGTTGCTTGTTATGAACGGGTCTGAATTTGTAGTCGGGGTACTTGAGCTTGTGTTCAGCCTTTGCGTGCTTAGCCTTCACCTCCCACATGTGCTTTTCGTGGAGGGGAAGAGCGCGCCAGCAATTGCCTAGCAATAATGTTAGTTGTTAACAGATGCCAGGTCATAAAACGCACCGATAATCTTGCTTAGACTGCCGTGATTGGTTTCGATTGTCCCAGGGACGTGTTTTTGCCGCACAAAGTCAGCGCGGAAGAGCATGAAGGCGTTAGGTGGTCGGGGTATATAGCCCTGGCTCCGTCTCTTGCCAGGTGGCTGGCGTTTGCGAGTGGGTGGGGGAGCAGGGGTCTCGCTTGGTGGGAAGATGGGGAGCGGCATATCTCCGGACAGAGAGGGAGAGCCAAACGGCGATGGGGTCGGAGATGGGGCAGAGTAGGTCGTTGGGGTTACATTTGGGGCGAACGTGACGGTCGTGGCTGGCGGAGATGAGGAGTTATATCCATAGCTGCCGGGTTTTGCGAAAGCTGACGACGACGATGAGCACGTTGGGAAAAGGAAGAGGATAGAGTAGAAGAAACACTAACAATTAGCAAGAGAACTGCGTCTCCTTCCGATTGCACTTGCCCTCCGAGAACTAAGGCGGACTGCAGGCATTATCGTCGCACGGGGAAGAAGGGCACGAACAATGCCAGGCGATTGTTCCCCACTTATAGCGTTTTCATCAAGTGTGGCCACGCGTGACGTGTGACAGGTGTGTCATGATTGCCGGTTAATTGCCGTCACACATTATCGCGCAAAACTTCCTTGCTTGCTGCCTGAGGGCTTTGTGGGCTTATGCTCCGAGCAGGAGAGTCAAGACGCATATATCTCCAGCCTTCCAGCCCAACTGAAAGTGGAACAGAGTGAAAATAGCTCAGTGCCAGAAGACCCGATTTCGAAGCGTGACATACATACGGTAAGTAATTCCCCATTTGGATGTTAGCTTGTCCTGTCCAAAAATTGCACCTCACGCGTTCTCATCCTTCTGGTCTAGTCTGATGGGCGGGATGGCCACGAGGCTACCCTGACTTTTGCATGGTGGGCGTCCTCCGTTCTAAACCATAGCTTGAAACGAAAATAGCTCGGAGTCCGCCAGCAATCAACCGAAATTCAGGTCAAGCAGCTGTCTCATCTAAGCATTGATTTTCAGCAGAACAGGCGCTGTACCTTTCGTTTCCCACTTTCTCCGAGCGTCCGACGCTCCGCATTACCAAATAGATGGTCATCATCTTGGCACCTTGACCTTGTTCCCGATTTCCCTTCGTTCAGCGCTGGTTCACCGAATCCATCCTATCCCTTGTACTCGCTTAGCTACCGAAGTATAAGGGTTCTTGGCTTACTGAACTGAAGCATCCTTATCATCTCGACCGAATCCTACTTGACATCAGCAAGTCTGGGAGGCAGGAAACTCGGAGTCGCAGAATAAAAGCTCTTCAGCAAGTCCGTATTCATGGAAAGAATACGGATTGATGTCTTTTTAGTTTGGTATCCTATGGGATCGAACGGTGCCTTGCCGCCTTTTGGTAATAGGACTGCGATAATAGTTCGCTCAGCAGTATTAGGAGTAGACCGTATCGGGCATAAGATTGACGAGCTATTTTCCCGACAGCTTAACATGCACGTAGTCTAGCCAGACAAGCAACTCACGAACCATTCGTCATGATATCGAATAAGGACGGGAACCCACAGCCACGAAACGCGTGCCGGACTGATAAAGTTGGCTACTTGCTGATAAGGCCGTCAACCAGCAGAACGTTGGCCGAATATCTTCATCAACGATAATAGACGACCTTCAGCTTCGCATCGCGATGCCAAACAATTGCCGCACTTGTTTGCGCAATCGAAGCGATGTTCCAGTTGTCCCGAGAAGTTCCAGACTGGATTGGCACTTCCCGTTTCTTGCGCTTGACGCCTTGGCGCTTCAGCTGGACATCGACCACAACGCCCGGCTCAGAGAGGTCGGAGGCGGTTTGTAGGCCAATGTAGCCTGCAAGCGACATTGCCACGTCTGCTAATCGGGAGACTGCCGCAAGCATAGATATTATTCGAAAGCCTCCAGCTGACGAAGTTGGATTTGGAGGTGACAAGACAAATGTAAATGCCGTGGCGCGGTGGGTAGTCTTGGGGTGAAATGTTGTGCGCCGACGAGAGATCCTATTGAGTATAGTCCTCCAGAAACTGGGAGGCAGTGTTTCGGTCTGTGAGACATATAGTTTCCCGATTTGTTCCCCTTGTACTAGAGGACTCTGATAAAAGCCCAGCGATACTTCTTCTGCATTGACAACCGGTTGTCCCCCAACAGAAAGGGTTTTGCTGACTAATGGGACAGCAACGGAGAAGCAGACCCTCTGCATCGTAAGATCGTCCAACGGAAACCAGCATGAAGATGGTAGACTCGATACACAGTACACGGTGACAGCGAGACCGTGGGGAGGTGTTGGCGAGTTGTGAACGAGTACAAGATGGAATGGCGTGAGGTAAAACCTTAGCGTCTGTCACCAATCAGAAATTGAGGACGAATAAAAAAAGTATCGCACAGCAAACATCATTTCGGTAGTAGCCTCAAACGCAGCATATTTCCGAAAACGCCAGTCGATGAGCAGAAGCACCGGATTGGAAGTTCGGATGGCCACAGCAATCAAGTTGCCGGAAACCATCGGAAGGCCCAATGGCTCGAAGCCGAATGGTGGGTGGGTAAACAGAATTTCTTCATCTTCATTTTCCAGATTAAATTTGGAAAGCACCCAGTCCCAGCCTCTATCGGGCCGTCAGCTAAGTATATTTGATATTAACAAGGACAAACTTACAACACGTCCGTCTGCGGGGTCATGCACATTAAGAGCACTATTTCCCTCCCTCCCTCCTGCATGTCAAGATCTCCTCCACGTGAGAATGTGATGTCTCGCGACCAAACGCAATGAGAGCCCCGGATAGACCATATTTCCAAGAAATGGTCTCGCATTAACACAAAGTACCGGCCTCCCGGGAGCAGTCGCACAAACTGCAAAGAGGAGGGGACCTGAGGAAATGTGAATATACTCGTGCGGAGAACCGTGGGAGGGCGAAAAGAATCTGGCAGCCAGGTATCAGGCCCACAAACGGCCCGTTTCACTTCATTGTACAGATAGTCCGTTGTAGCATTGTGGAGAATATCTTCTGGGAGTGCATGTAGCACACACCGAAACGCGAGATCTTCAAGAAGAGCTTGCCACACAGTGCGTTTCCGACTGACCGCTCTGAGGAGTTTACAGGTCTATCAGTCCGTTAGTAATGTAGCATAAAGCACCAATAGACTCACCCTTCCTATTCGAAGAACACGCCGAACGTCACAGAAAGCGAGAATAAGTGGGATTATGTCTTCGTCAAGGGCAGAGAAGGGCATGTTTGACTCTAGCAAGGTCACTGGCGTAGCGTTTAGAGTCCAAGATTGCTAGTCATGATAGACGCCTGTCGCAGTATTGCCACTCGGACCAACAGACAGCGAATCCGATGGACATGGCCGTGGTCGAAAATCATGTGCTTACATAATCAGCGTGTCACTGTGACATCAGGTTAAGCTCCCTTTTCCGATTCCATCCACTTCCGATTCGCTCCAGCGTCTGCCCTCGGGAAGATTCGAATTTACGGAGCGGCTTTCGCGGTTAACGGCTTTCTCGGCGTCTCTCGTTGTCTGCAACGAGCGAGCAACCATCATCCATGGAACGACAACGCGCGGACTTGAACTTTGCTTAAGCCCGATGCATTAGAGAGTAAGCCGTTTCTCTCTTTGCAACCAACTTACTTATCTGATGATTAATAGCCTATGGCCGCCTCCTCACAGGATCCGCGTTTTATTTAGCACCAAACAGATGATCCTAAACATCTCAGCATCGCCGTAGGACCTATCTGCGTCGTCTGCTCAGTTTGTTACCTGGGAAACGTCAAAGCGAGACTTGTCGGTACACCATTCCGTCGCTGTCCGAGTCAATTCGGACTCGTATGGCCGCTCCTTCCGTCGACCACGGTCTCACTCTGGCTAACATGGCCACATTTATCCGCCTCACTTGTATCGATGGAACACCAAATCACACAGCACTTGCCCTGCCGAGTCATCCGATCTCGCCTGCCATGCAAGGGAGCGCTTTCCGAATCACGATGGTTGTGTCGCAGGCTTGTTTACGGTTCTACTGAAAACTACCCGGATTGGTGGATTCGAGTGTTTGGATTCCCGTCATCGAGCGTGTCGCCGCAACTCGTACCGGATTGCTTGATAACGTTGACTCAGCAACGGTTCCGCCAGCGCTTTTGTGTACAAACGACACAACCAAGCCCCGACGAGATATAAGAGGCGCATCTTGGTCAACCGCATGTTTCAACATTGACTCTGGCTTCAATGCCATCATCTCCGATATCTCCTCTCTGCGAGAGGTGTTCAGCACTTTCTCCAATCGTCACCCGCCGCCGCTCTAGTTGCGCCTGGAGAACACCAAAACGAAAAGCATTGCTCATTGGCATCAATTCCGTGGCTACATCCAACGAAGCTGCTTTGCACGGACCACACCGGGATGTGAGAGACATGAAGTCGCTCCTCATGAGCAAGTATAGCTTCCGAGAAGAAGACATACAGCTTCTTGTCGATGACGGCTGTCTCGGTCACTTGCAGCCGGACCGCACCAATATCGTAGGTCTATCCATTTTGTTGTGCCACTCGAGTTAACCACCGACTGGAAGATGCAAGGCATCAAAAAACTCGTGGAAAACACCGAACCAGGGGACAAACTATTCTTTTTATGTTCGTCTTGTTCTTCTTCCCATGGCTGCATACTGACCGACATCCTTTATCTTTAGACTGCGGGCATACGATTCAAGTCCCTAAATCCAGTATAACTGAAGAGTTCGACGATGGGCTGGACGAATGTATTCCTGCATCTCCTCCCTCGCCTGTAGTCAATTCATGCTTTTCTTCAGGTATCGTTCCATTGGACGGTGAAGACTGTGCGATCAAGGACTATGTGAGAATCTGTTTATAATTTTGAAGGCCTCGACATCTGATGTACCTCAGGAATTACGAGCACAGCTGGTGGATCCCCTTCCGATTGGCTCCAGTCTCGTGGCTGTATTCGACTCGTGTCATTCCGCCTCCCTCCTTGGTAGGAACAAGGTTCCATATACCAATCACCATGTTAACAATTCTTCAGATTTAGAGCATTTACGCTGCAACCGCGTGTTTGTTCCTTGGGTCTCTAAAGGTCAACGCATGACTGGCGAGCTGCGCAATCGGATGGGTAAGTTTATCAAAAGTAACTGTGGAGTTGTCCTGATTCCAGTCCAGTGCGCCATCTTGCTTTGCCGATGACCTCGCCGACATCTCCTTGCTCATTAACAAGACTACCATCACGATCCTCTGCAACTCGAGCACGTTCTCGCCGTGCCTCAATCGACATCATATCAAGTCCCATATCTCCGCGAAACCGAGCACTTAGCCCATTGTTGCTGTCGCCTGCTCGATACACAGCATTCTCACCGAACAAAAGTCCCAGTGAAGCGAGTCCTCGATCACCGTTCACAACAAACAAGGGGAATGTTGTAGTTTCTCCAGACGCAATGCAACGCCGAATCCCCCCTCCACTGAAGTTGTGGGAGACGAACAAGGAAAATCTTTTCGTGTTGAACCCCAATGAACGCGAAAGAATTCCGCTTATGAGCACTTCACCGACTCAGTTGACGCTCACTATCGGGCCCAGCGGTCTGGATAACGTTCCATTTACGCCCTCCACGGCAACAGTACTCTCCCCAACAGCGACACTGTACGATAGCCCGGTGCAAACGGTGTGCCAAGGTTGGTGTCGCGCAGGCAGTGAGCTTGCACTGCCTATGAAAGCTGCCTCGAAACAAGCCTTTGTGATTTCCCTTGCAGCATGCAAGGACTCGGAACTGAGCTGGGAAACTGAAGATGGAAGGAGTATGACACAGGTATGCCTTCGACTTGCTTGCATCCTAGATCAGACCAACCTATTATGTCCTAGGCCATGATCCAAGTTCTCAGTGAAGATGCACACCCTAGTCTTCGAGAACTAGTGACGAGAATCAGGTGGGTTGATTAAACGTGCTGCGGGCTATGCACTGACGAAGGAACAAATCACAGTCACATCCTACATGGCCTTGCACGAGAACGCCATTCTCAAGCCTACGCATGGAAGCGCTATCGCAGAAAGCATCCGATGCTGCCACCTGACTCTGCCTCTTTCGACACGGAAACGTTTCAACATCCTCAAATTGCCAGCCATCAGCCTCTTGATATGGAGATGCGCTGGGAACTCTGAATTTTCCCTAAAATTTACTTATTGGTATCTATTATACCACATCGACTTTTTAACATTGCACAGCCTATGTAGAAAATTACATTACTCTCCCATTAGTCCTATACATACAGAACATCACACTAACTCATAGGTATGATTACTGGGGCTTTCTTTCTCTTGATAGATACCCCATAGTTGTTTTGTAGTTCCGCTGATAGTTAGGTAGAGTACGGCGAAATAGCCCAGCAACCCAGTGCATACCAAACAAACCATCTTAACACTGGACCAGGATATGGCAACCAGCATGCAGTTTGTGACCAACATCCCTGCGCCGCACAGGCACAGTGCCCTTGGGAGAGCAAAAATGAACGCGATTGGTGTGAATCGGCATGAATAGGGGCCCCTAGGCGATTCGATCGAGCACAGGTAGTCTCGCTGAGCTTTGTTGAGCAAACACTACTAATTAATCACCGCCAGCATTCTGTAGGCTCCCGGTTTCTTGGGAGGCTACAGGCACCACCAGATAGTTACACAGGCTACTGGGTGGCTCCCCAACAAGGCCCTTTGTTGATCCTTTGTTGGGGAGCCCGGTAGCCTGGCAAGGTGCCTGTAGCCTCCCGGATTTCCGGGAGGCAACAGAATGCCGGCGGTGTAAGGCTGAGATCGGCTTACGGCTTGGTCGGCAGAGAACTTGACCATGGACTTGAATTTGGTGCACAAAACTACGCAAGTGATCACTGCGCATACCAAAACCACGATGGAGGGCCAAAACATTGGCCGGACCGAGGGATCAACAGATGTGAGAGTGAATTGAATACTGCGAGCCAGGTTTGCCTGTGAGATCAGGTGTTGATAGAACTTACCAGAGAAATAGCAGCGCCTTTCGGTCTGAGGTTAAGCACATATCTCAAACGCAAACGAGGCACCTACTACAGATCCCTCACACTTCCAATCACTCAAATTCTGCGCGACATAAAGCGGCCATTGAACACTGTTGACGAGATCGTCTGCAAAGACATCGTCCAGTCGCTGTGAGTGTGTCCGCAGATGGCCTAGCGTGAACACGGTCAAGAGTGTGTTGGCATAGCGATGCGATGGACCGGAAGAGTCTTCGCGGTCGAGAATGCGCTGGTCTCTCGACAGGCGTGCTTGTTCTTGGCCGTGGTGGTTCATGATTTTATGGAAAACTAGTTGAATTTGGTTTGGTGCATTGGGACTTGTGAATGACATACGGATCGTGCCCCACAATCGAGCTTCACCAAGTTAAGCATGGTCGTCGCGATTGATACTGTCAACATACCAAGGACAGTTGTCGTTTCTTTCCGGTGGAGAGTCCCTAATACGGCGTTAGAGCTAATCGCGAGTGAACAGCAATGATTCACGTCGGCAGGATTGGAGTACACCAATGATCTCTCGGCACTGTTTGGTCGAGTATCCAAATGTCGATACCGAAGAAGTCATGTGATCTTCGCGATCTTGAATAACGAGAAACTGGATAAGGAAGTGACCCACCACACAGACCATGAGCAAAGTTTGCTTCAACTTCATCAAGCGTCTCGATCGAAGCACGGTTTGGAGCAGGAAAATATTCTACGTGGGCCCAGTATAACCATTCCAATACGACTTCTGCAGAGGCAAGCTGAGTTTCGGGACTGTGGATCCGGCGAGAGACCTACTCAGATGCGACGCTGACACAATCTCGGGAAGCTGAAGTGTGCCCGTATCACACATTTCCAGCCAGAACAGAACACGATTCGAGTGATCCACAAAATAGTAGCCGCATTCTCCATTTTCCTCTGGTTCGATAAGTAACTCGATCTCGGTGTCTGGCGGTAATAATGTGTGCTTTCTGGTCCGCGCGAGCAGTGCTTTTATTTGATCGGTGCAGGAATCGACAGCTTCGAGAGTGGACACATTTTGTAAATTGGCACAGGTCACGACGGGCAATTGGCTGGCAAGTGTCGAGTAGTACACGTTGCCCTCTGGATGCGTCTCTGCAGTCCACCCGTGTTCCAGATGTGGCATCCTAAATGATTAGCTCTGGGAAATCGATAGGAGGGGCGTACGAGCACTTTGACTCAATCTCATTCATACAAGTCCTTCGTGTAGAGAAACCGGGCCAGATCTTCATTGTAGACGTTCTAACCCTGGTAGTGCATGAGGCCCTCCACGTTCGCATGCGAGTGACAGAGCATACAATTGCCTTGTGTCGTAGCGGCTCGTACTGCAGGGAGTCACTGGTCGCAGAGACCATTTTACTGACGCAGGCGAGTCCAGTTCTTCAAGTTTTTCTACCAGTACCGAGTCCATGCTGACCAGAGCGTGAGTGGTCGCTTTTATACTGAGGTCACCTGCATACCTTGGGAGCACCATGCTTCTTAGGGGGCGCTCAGGTGGCCAAATGCTGTAGAAAACGCCTTGTTCTATCACGAAATTAAGTATGCTGGACACCTGCTAAATCCGAGCGTAAAATGTTTATCGTCATTCAAGCTGCGAGTATTCTGCGGCAGTCGGAGTTAAGCCTTTGGACACCAATATGAATCAGACATTCTGATTCTCTCTTTCGTGCGGACTCCAATGCGGAGAGCGAAGATTAACATCTTCCGAGTTGAAGCCGCTCGAAAGTAGCGCTGGCATTGGCTAGATCTTTTGTGGGTTGCAGGAGGATCTGTGGCACGCCACAACGTGGGATGGCTATGGCGACATTGGTCTTGAGCTTTTGCGGAAGGGGAAAAGATTGTCCAGTCGGAACTTCCCCTAATATCGGGTGGCAGCGCTCTGTAAAAATAAAAGTGATACGGCTGGGCCTGAATCTTTGCTTTGTCATCGTTTCCGCCTGTGGCACTATCATTGCCCAGAAAAAGCAAATTTTCTGGACTGGCCCTCGAGGGAAAGCTACTATCGACATAAAAGCACTATGAGCGCTTGAAACACGACAGGATTAACGCTCGCCAGCCTCAACCGAAGAGCGCCGAATTTCGCAAACAGGGCAGAGCGTCAACTGGACCCTCTCTCTGTGTCGAGAAACGCTGATAGCATGAGGCATGACAGTCCCGCACATAGTCAATCAAGCGAGCCAGCACCGCTGGCGCCAAAAGATGTATTGGGCAGCGAAAATTCCAGGAGAATTAAAGCTGTTAACCAACGGCAGGTGGTCAACCTTCTCCCGCATTCTTCCCTCTGAATCCAACACTAAGGTATGCCGATTCGAGGATCCGGTATCGGTCATTCCATATCGATGAAACTACAACACGAGAATTTATTTTGCCTTGCTCATGCTCCTCGAGAAGAAGTCAAGTCTATACTTCTCCATGAGGCAACTCGAAGGTGCAAGATTTCGTCCCGGATGGGGAGATTCGCATCAAACACCGGTTGACCCCAGGCGCTTGATCCTGTTTCCGGTGATTTGGAGCCGCCGTTAGGCAGTCAGCAACCACAGCGCCTATGTCGCTTCAAGATAGTGTGCCGCAAGGAACGCCAATGGCTCGTATTGGGCCAGTTGGGCCACCGTAACGATTGCTTGTGGGACATATCTTGTTTCTTTGAGGATAGCAGTGATAAGATTGTGGTCGTGGTCAACTCCGTCCTTCACGGCCATACCGCCACCATCGATGATGTCGGGAAGACCCGCAACCGCACAAAAAAGGTCCTGGGCGGCAGATAGGGAGAGGGGAGGGAGGAGGAGAACGGAGGCGCGACTTGTAAAGGACTCGACGCCAGCGATATGGAGTGGTTCACGGCTTGCCACAACAACATAGACACGAGGGATGGCTGAGAGCGCGTCGAGGAGGTTGACGAGTGCTCCAAGCTGGCTGAATGGTAGAACATCTACCGCAAAAAAGTCAGTGTTGCTGTGCAAGAAATGGAATGGACAGAGACACACACCGAGATCGTCTAATGCAATCAGAGTTAAAAACGGGGATGAGGACAAGATTTCGACGACAGTCGTGATTTGCGATTCGCTTGCCTGAGCTTCGGAGGGAACGGGGAGCCCAAGAAGTAACGCCAACTGTTGCAACAGAGTTGCGGCACCATGCGAACGCGACGGTCGTATTATAAACCGTCTAGCACCATAATGCGAGACGATCTGGGGATGATGAAAGAGCGAAAGGACGACCGCCGACTTCCCAACGCCTTCTGGGCCCAACACCATCACATTCGCCTTGCTTTCGGCTGTGAAATGTCGTACAAGGGAGGATACTTCTTCGTCGCGGCCATAGAACAACTGAGGGGGTGGTGGAAGATCGGAAATATGATACGGCTACAGTGGTAGTCAGTGACTTTGAAGCGACGAAGTTGCAATTTGCGGCCCACCGGTAATGTCACGTTTGCCATTTCAGCTATCGCGGTCCGCAGCGGAGTCAAAAGTTTCATGACGTTGCCCTCAAACTCGTCCTCGAGGACCTCTCTCCGCTTCAAATAAGACAAAACATCCGCTTGCACCTGCATCTATTTTCAGCAGAAGAGGAATGGAATTGACGCGCAAAGAACCTCTTGCTGAAGATATTTTTCGGGATCTCGATATTGTACAGCGGGAGACGTTTTCCGCGACAACCTTAGGACGCGTAAAAGACGCACAATTGCACTAGGAACGAGGGTAAGTCACAAGTACTTTTTTGAGGCTTTAGGGCTCACTCGACAAAGCCATCGAGGGCAGCCAAAATAGGCAAGCGACTGGAGAAAGTGTCGGATTTGCGCTCATATTCAGCAACCATCTGTTGCAACTTGGTCAGTGTCGTCGAGAGAGAAAAAAGGGATTTTGGCAACGCACCGACAGCCCTTATAAAACACGTCAAGCGCCGTGAAGCACGAGAGCAGCCACGACATTCCACAGGGAACCCGGGCATGGATGGAAGGAAGGATACAGCCACAGAGTAGGCGTAATGGCGACGCCGAAACCCCGTTTTTGCTCCGGAAACAGCGGCCAGCAGGAATCGGGTCAGAAACCATCGGCGCGCGCGGGAGGGCACAAATGCATGTAATTCAAGTCCATAGAATGGACCCAAGTGGCAGGCACAGAGATGGGGAGGATCAGAAACTCGGTGAGTTTAGCCAGCCGACATCGGTGCAGCATGGATAATGACTCATCCCATGGCCGCTGTGAGCAGTATGCGTTGTGCCACGCGGTTCGTGCTTTGAAGCCTTCATACGAGAAATGACAAGATAAGTAGTTGAGGTCAAAAGCAGTCAAGATCACGTGCACAAGTGATAAGTGCTAACTCGTTAGTTTCTCGTCAAGTTTACCTATATGTAGAATATCTAAGCAATCTAGGCATTAGCTGAGTCTCAGAGCCCTAGGCAGCCGCTCTTAACTATCATTGCTTCCAAGCTCAGCTGCTGCCGCGTCACATCGTGGGAATCTGTGACATAATGATCCATATAAGGCAGAAAAAATTCTTCCGCTCCTTGAACAAAACCATGAGGACGTATGTGGCTCGACCGCGCCTGTGCCTCTCCTACTAACCCACAACTACAGATAAAAGTTCGGACCCGGTTTAAGCTCTTCCGCCTCCTCGTCCGCGTTCCCGTCCTCTAGAGCAATGGCCGGCATTTCTTAGTGTCGGGTCGCACGCTACCTCTTTCACGCTCGTCGAAGGGTCGGAGAGACGCCGAGGTGCCGCTTCTGCTGGTGCTCAGGACACGTCTCTGCAGTCTGGAGAGTTGTGTTGTGGTTAGTGTATGATCTACAATTCTGTTGTTGATTAGTTGGCTTGCATTTGTGTTTGTCAATGGTATCTTAGAACAAACTTTGGAACATCTCTGTCGTCAAGACTTGAATGCATTTCGCAAATACTTGAGAGCCTAATCCTAATATCAAACGGATGTAGCATTGGCGGCGGTCTCTGCTTCCATTACAGTGCAAAAATATATGTAGAGCGATGACCGAACACCCCCCTACTGGAATTCAGGCGCTAGAGCGTCATAAGTCGGACACAGTTGCTTCCATTGTGCAGTCTGAATCTGCGACTGCGGTCCAGCTCTGTTGGCGGAAGGCGCTTCCCCAAAGACGACCGCTAATCCGGCTTCCAAATGCCAATCGATATGACTAGAGAAAAGGCTCAATGCGAACGAGTAGCGACATAAAAGGCTCACCAGTGTAAGAACCATGCTCCCGGATTGTCGGTAAAGAACCTTCGGCATATGAACAACATTTTTTATCTCTCTCAAACGGGAAACTGACCGGAAGGTGGTGTTTCCACCGTTGATGGGCGTTACATCGCGACGCGGTGGATTGACAAAGTTTTTGGTGCCGGCGTTGGACTGCAGGATGACATCGAAGTTGTGCCCATGCACTGTAGGCCATGGTTTTAACAGGAAAATGAGGAAAGAATAAACGTACAGTGGAATGGATGAGCGCCGGTCCCTGGTATGCTGATGTCAACAATGCTGTTTGGTGGCAAAAGGATGCTAACCAAGTTAGCGTCCAGCGTGGCGGAGCGATAAGACCTACAGATTCTCTGAAGGAATGAGGTCTTGTGGTTTAGATGCACCGCTGAGAAGCTGCAACAAGGCCGGGAGAGAGGGCGATTGATATGACTGCCCGAGGTCTCAGCTTCTACTCCATGGAAAGCAGCGACAACGCACGATCCCATTGATATCGAAGAACGGCAAGTTTGGTTGGGCGATATTCAACGTGACAGCAAAGTCGGGTGGGCCGGACCCAAGCTTTCCGGGACGCTCAGACGCAATTGGCTGCAACACGCAATGAGTCCTTGCAGGCAAGACTATTTGAAACGAACATGCATAAGCCCGTCGTCCATTTTCGGGCCAGGAACGTTGACGGTCGTAGGCTCAACAGCAGGAGCGCCTTCGTAACGGAGAATCGCCAAGGTCAAGCTGGAATTGAAGTTTGGGTTATTGGCCGACGATCCGCCGGTTGGCGGAGCACGAATCCAATAGTTGTCCACGCTCTGGTTCGCGTGGAGGACGACGGAAATCCGCTGGGCTATTACATTGTCCATTTAGTCATTGGCGCAAGCCCAACTCGAGCTATGTACTTACCCGCATAGACATCAGCATTTTGGAATGGAACAGGATCGTGCTCGACACCGTCGAGTTCAATGACATCTAGGTTGGTAGCTCAGTATGGCCCCAACAATCTTCTGAGAAACCAACCGAAAGTGTGGTTGTCGAATGAAAGGGTCATGAATGGACGGCATGAGAGCGAGAAAACGCGAAAGCGGTAGCGCAAACCCTGTTAATATTAATTGCTATTCTACGCGGATATGAAGGAATGCTGACCTGCTTTACAGTGATTACAGCATATGGGACTAGCGGTCCACCATTGAAGCGCCTAATCCCAAGTTCAATATATAGTCCAGAAACAACCCAAACCAAAAGACAAACCCGACACCATTGATGAGTCCCGAGTCCTGGACAGGGACAATGCCGGTTTTGAAGAAAGAGTCTTGACCAGCAGGCGCAAGAACGTGATACCTATTCGACAGTGAGAATCGGTGGTGCGATTAATATTGGTGGCCCATGGCATCTACTTACCATTCGGCTAGTGTAATGATCGTTGAGGCTGAGAATCCCATGAGCTGATGTTGCTTTGGATCAGGAAAGCATCACCATCATCGACATCGCTGGGAAAAGCCCATCAGTCCATGAAAAGCTCGAAATTGGAATGAACACGTACTACAGGCTCTTCAAGGGATCATTGGGGTCTAAAAGGCCGAGTCAGGGAAGTTTTGTAAGGAATACTCGGCTAGTATCCAAACCATATACGACAAATGCTCCTGTAGAAAGAAGTGAGTGAGAGAGTTCAATGACATCGTAGAGGACCAACCCCGTAGTCCGTCACAGTATTGAGTGGAAAGATGCGAGTGATACCAGTAGTTGCCAGTCTGGCCAGCAGTATCAAAAACGTAGTCGAATGTGGTACCAGGCGCTATTGGACACTGGTTGACGAAGCTAGAATAAGCCGTAAGGGTATGAAGAATGAGAGTCGCGATAACTCACGAAGGGCCATCCATGCCAGATGTGCGGGCTTGGAAGCTACACGACGACAAGTTATAAGTTGGACCTCATTGGTGATAACGATAGACTTACAAGCCGTGCCAATGCTAGGAATCATCATGCTGAGCGAGGAAGTGGAATTTGGGAAGCAGAAGTCACATACGATGGATGTACTGCGACGCATAAGAGCATCTGTGAGTTTGTTGTGGGTATGGATGACCACGGAGTCGCCTTTGTTGACGGCGAATGTTGGTCCCGGGAAAGTGCCGTTGGGGACTACAGTACTGCAAACCAATTGAGAAAAGACCCTCAGTCGTTGTTCGAAACTTACTCGCGGACGAAGCCATCTGGGGCGAGCTTGGTATTCACGATACTAAGGTCGAACACGTGCTGAGCCGCGAAAGCGGAGGGGATAAAGGCCGCAATCCGAAGGAATGCTAGCATGATATGGTGAGCACAAGCCTTGAAAATGAAGCCGGAACCGAGACGTACCTTTATACGCTCATGAAACCCAAGTGAAATGCGAGCCATTTGTGCGTCACTCATTTTCATCGTTCGCCAGAGGCCACGGCATAACAGAAAAGGCCTCGCAATCCCAACACAATGAGTGGTTTGGTGGTGGTGTGTATCGCACGACGTCGTGGCTATGGAATGTGTGGGATTGAGACATATTTCGTGGGTTCCGGTCCACGAACTCAATTCCTCAGTACCGATTGAGCAGCTGCTGAAATAAAGGGCCTTGGCAAGGGTGATGGTGGGAGTAGAGAAAGAAAGCTGGGAGCCATCATTTTTTGACAAATCAGCGTCGATTATCGTGAGATTCGCATTTTGGACCGTCTCAGCCCTCAAACTTGAATGTGCTTTTTTTTGAGAAAGCAAGTAGGTAGGTAGATACATGGACTAACTAATTGACTCGGAGTAATCAGAAACCCAGGGCCGTGTTGGTTTGGCTAAAGCCCTCTGCAACAAGGAATTGTCTTGCGTCTCGCATCCTGAGTAAAGCTTAGTCCTTTGTGACGACTTGGAAAAAGGTTGTTTACATGATACCAGCGAGCACTGTTCCGCCAGGGAGAGTCGTATTGAATTGGTTGAGAGTCTTCGCAATGATTGGGTCGAGGGTGGCCACCATGGTGGCGAATCCAGGGACAGCGCCAGTAGAAATGACACCAGAGAGGCTGGTCGCAACAAGCCTTCGAGGAATGTGAGCAACCGGTATTATACGAAAGGAATAAGGCATACGCAATTGCATCAGACAGGACGACACTAATTTCGTCGTTGGTCGGGCTGACGGTGGTGGACCCTGTGCTGACAGGAACACTGGCCAGTTTGGTGTCGGCCGATGAGAAAGCGTTCTCCATTTGAGTGAATTGCGGCCCAAGACTGTTCTGAGTAAGAGTATGGCTGGCCTGAAGAGTCACTGAAAGTCATCAGAGGCGGAGAACTTGAGTTAAAACGACGAACAGACTGTCGGTCCGACTTTATGCATTGCGACGTCGATCGAGTCAATGATAGGCTTAATTTGTGCATTCGTGTTGGTGGCTTGGCGAACTTGGAGCTTGCTGGCGCAAGTCAAGCCGAAGGAGGCAAGGGCGAGAATGTTGCGAAACACAAGCATAGCACTAGCTGAGGTCCCACATATCTCAGCGTGTTGATATAAAGCTGCTGGAGTGACAGCATTGGCCAGGGCTACGGTGAGAGACTGGTCCAATACGGCGCGTTGAGTTCTGTATGTTGCAATTTGTCGCAAGAAAAATAGTCGCAGCGTCGGAAAGTTCTCAGCTTCGTGAGAACTTGAGGAAACAGCCATGTGTATTCTCAAAAAGAGACTACATCGGAGCCGCCATGTCCAAAATAGTGCAGGAAAAAACGTTGGCTGCGTCATACGTTGGGAACATTGCGAACATATTCATCGAAGCGTCGAGTTGTATGAGTTCCGATGATTTCACCGCCTTGTGTTGGCGGTCTTGAGTCTTGTTCGCTGCCGAGAAGGATCTCAACTTGTCCCAGGGCCGGAAAAAGTAGAGTTCAGGGTCAACATCAGCCGCAAATGCTGTAGTCAACAAGGTGGTTGGCCAAAAGGTGGAAGGCACAGCCCCACATTAAATTACACGGTCACATGCGCGGGCTTATCTAAGTGGGACGCGTTAAGACAGTCCGAGCTTGCAAGCGTGCGATCTCCCGTTGTATTTCAGCCAACTCTATCCATGTTGTTAAGCATCGGTCAGGTTATGAGCCTCACTACGTACCATCTTGTGTCCGTTGAACCTGGGAAACTAGGTGTTTTCAAAGTATGCAATGTCAGCCGTGAGCAGAATAAGGCTCACCAGCGGTTTGTCTTTCTTGTCTGGAAGAGTCAGCTTGCCTCTGAAGTCTTGCGAGTACTGCATTCTTATGAGTTCCACTAACTCTGTGGCAATGTTGATTGATCACCTTCCCGCAATTCTTCCAACTCTGCTGATGATCGTTGTTCAGCCTCTTCAAGAGCTAAAACATGAGTGAGCGGAGATAGCGAGCACGAAGTATGCCAAAACCAACCAATAGTCAGTTCTCGTTCACGCTTTTGATAGTGGTACGACACTGAATGGCGCGCTCATGTGGGAGATGTCAAATTGCAGTGGAAACGCACTGCTGATAACATCCTTTTCTTTCTGTCTCACTAATCAACGTTTGAGACCAGTCGCTGACGAGGGAGGTACTACATACGCTTCGAAAGTTCTCGGTTCTTCGATTTCAGCTCTGAGGTCGTATGAGATGGTTGTCTATATTCCGAATGAGCACGCGCCATGCTTTGATTTCAATTCAGCTTCTTGAGCTCTACGCATGTCATTCAACGCTTTCATCTCTGGGGTATGCTGCCTTGGACTAGCATTGACAGGTGATGAATAAGGGCTAACGTTGGCAGCTGGTCGCGGAGAGTACTCCGAGGTTGACGACACCTCATGGCCCTGGGGAGACACCAAGGGCGATGAAAGAGGGTTGGAGGGAATTGAGGGAGAACGCGGCCCGTTATTTGATGTTGGCCGGAAGGGAAGATGAATAGAGCTTCGGCGTTGATTCTGCACCACTGATGTTGAATGTGAGTTGACGAGAGAGATGGAGCCGCGCCGAGACGAGTTGCCAATGAGGGGCGACTTGTGATCTGGGTTTCTATTGTTAATGACTGGCGTCAAAGAGCGTTGCACGAGCGGCTTCTGTTCAGCACTGATCATGCGATGCAGAACTTCGGAAACAAGGGCATGGACATCTGGCATAGTCGTGGAATCGACTGCAGCAATCCCCTTTTCAATCATCTTCGCGCGACTTGCGCAAAGCGCGTCTTTCGTAGTCCAAGTTATACCGCCAGGATCGACCCATAAGTATATATCGCATTCTTCTGGGTTTTGGACCCACGGGTGGGGGGTGAGAAAGCGATAGAGAGGGACTTGGTCGAGCAAGATTCCCGTCCAGCGAGTCCAAGAGCCAGCACGATGCGTGTGTGGGCGGCGCTCTCGCCAGTAAAGTGCATAAAGTCGTGGATTGAGGTCGACATAGACGTCCCCCGGATGTCCGAAGTCAGAGGATGGTGGTCCCGTGCCACGAAAACTCGTAGAATGGAATACTGCACGAGTTACTTCCGGTCGGAATAGAGTACGGATGGCCAGGGGAGAGGACAGAAGGGTTGACTATAAATGTCCGTTGGGTGTAGGTCGTGCCTGCCATTACTAACGACCATCTTTCTTCGTCTGCTTGAACGAAGGCTATATATGCTTGGAGTCCGCAACTGAAATCTGCCTGACGTGCGAAGCATATACGCCTTCGTTGATGAGCTATGCAGGATTCGACAACTGAAAGTACTAATGGCCGAATCTTCTGCAAGATGCTGATGTTCTGAGAGCCTGCCAGTGGTAAAAGCCCGGAACACAGGTCCCGAGAAGTGAATTAAGCAGGGGGAATTAGGAAGGAGAGAACATCGTCTCGACATCAGTTTCGGGAACGGACAAGAACCGATGTGGGTGTTTCTTGTACCATCATATAGCTGGGTTATAAATGAGCGGCGACACGAAATATGACTGTCTCTCACCATCCCGAACCAGTCAGCGGAAGAGCATCGGCAACTTCAAAAAGGGAGTAGGCTAGATTATCATTCGATGAGTTGACTGGGCAAGTATAGAACACTTGACGAGCGCAGAAGACGCATATATAGACATGTGTTGCCTAGTTCTATATGTGGAATGAGCGCCAGTTGGTGGTGGGCTTCAAATACGCACCGTTGACATCACAATCAAAATGCTACTCATACCCATACCCACGCGCGTAGGAGTGTTCAGGCTCAAGCCTCGTACACAACCTCGGCGAATGACCCTCTGAGAGACCGGGTTGGCTCCATATCATTCAGTTTCCGATGTTCTGATCAACAGTGAGACTGCCTGAAGAGTCGAAGGGGAAAGCTACCGCACTTCCGACTTCGATCTCACATTCAGAAGACTGCGGGACGAAGACGCATGGGGTTGGCTGCATCAACAGAACAAGGTAACTGTCTGCCACTGTCATTGAATAGCTCAGGCTGCAGCCTTTCTTGAGGGATGACGAGTAGGAGGAGGTCAAAGAGCGCTCCATCTGGTACTCGGATGTCGGTGCCAACCGTCATGTTCGGAAGATAGATGCACGAGTATTCAATTTTCGAAGCCATCGCCGTTTGGGTAGCCTCCGCTGGCAAAACTAGTTGATGGTCATCGAGGGTTGAGGTATAGGGGCGAACATCGCGTTGGTTTGGATGCTTGGAGTGCGTTACAGGGTCTTGCATAATGGAATGCAGTCCGATTTTTGATTTCTCGCCATTTTTGATTGATTTTTGGCATAAGTGTGCCATCGGCTGGCATTCCCGAGCCTTTCCGAGCCCCCCTTATGCCTGATTTCAGCCCAAAACAGGTGGCAGCTGTCACACAAATCCAAAATCACGACTGCACTCCATTATGCAAAAGTCTGTAAACACGAGATGGATTCCGAATGATGTTGAAGGTTTGGGAAAAGGTTTTGAAAGGTCACGTGCTTCGAGGATTTTAAATTGTCATTACTGCTTTACACCCCGATAATTGTACATGTACAGCGTTAAAAATCGAGTTCACTTGGGAATGAATGATTTCCACAATGATTTAGGTTGAGCAGCCTTGACTTTCGCCTCGGCTGCTTCCCTACGCTCTTTCTCCGCCAAGAGCATCCGCTCCATAATGTCCATCTCGCGTTTCTTCATCTGCTCTTCTGTCAAAGACCCCTTGCCACCATCTATCTCGGTGTCATGATCTGCCTCCGAATCATATAGACCCTCTTTGAGCCCAGAGACAACCAAGAGCGCAGCAACTTTGCTCTGGAACCATTCTCGATGACGCATCCCATCCCGCCACTCTGGAGGAAGGTACCTGTACCCAATCAACGCCCCCATTAGAGCACCAGCAACAGCGCCGTTGGTATCCGCGTCGCCACCGTGCATGATAAGAGTCATCATAGCTGACCGAAAAGTGTCTTGTCGAGTGAGAGTGCGACGCAGACACCACAAAGCGGAGCCGAGACATTTATAGACGTAGCCCATCGTTCGGTCAGCAAGCACGAGCGAGTCGAGGGTCTCCGCATACGCATGGCGGTCAAATTCTGCTCGGTCCAGCAATGAGGCGTGTTCAGGCATCTTGACCTCCGTGTAAGCCCAAGCACGGTCGATTAATGCTTTCACATCGTCGATGTCGCGGACCTCCCCGAGACACAGCGCGCGGACGAGGCCAGACACAATGGCGACCGAAAGGGCACAGCGAGGATCGGCATGGGTGACAGCCCCCATTCGGATTGCCGAGAAGAATGTTTCTTCTTCAGATTGGGGTATGCAAACTACGCCAACTGGTGTTGTCCTCATTATAGAGCCATTCGGGGCGACATTCTTGCCGCTTTCTTCCCAGCGCTCAAGCGCAGTCCGAGCCGGATGTGATTTGAAGTCCGGAGCGAAGACAACGCTGCCAACGAGTTCTGTCAGGTATCAGCAGATTGTGCAAGGAAGGGGAGGGTACTGACTGCCGAGTCCCATAGGAAGTCTATCCAAAACACGCAGGCCCTGTGTACACCAGAAATGTAACCGAGCAGCGAAATCGTCGGGTGAAAGTTCGCGTTTTCGCAGAAACGAGAGCATCATGAGGATGGTGTGGTCCGTATCATCTGTCCATGCTCTCTTGCGTAGCAATTAGCGCAAAGTAACCAGGTCAAGAGCCAAACGAACGCTTTCGAAGCGACCTAGTAAAGAAAATTACCATCGCTTTTTGGCAGTTCAAATAGGTTTACGCACATCGATGGGTATCGTTATGGAGCGGCGTCTCCGGTGGGATGAGAGAGATCTTTGGTTCTGGCCCATAGAACTCGGTCGCTTGGAACGCCGCCATGAACTCTGCCCAAGGTTGAGAAAAGTATCATCACACCCACACCCCTGCAACTTACCGGTATAGATCCCAATTGCATCACCCAGCGCCGACCCAAATAGCGCTCCCTCAGCTCTATCGAGTACCTTGGAGTCGTACGTGGCCATGGTTGTGGTAAGAATCAAAAGTTGGATGAGCGGTGCAACCCCTATCGCGGTCACGTGAAGGTAAGTGATTACACTCAAGATGAGACAACGCGCCAGCTTGCAACAGAACCACCACCATGTTCTGCAGACTCGCCATCCTATCTATTCTCACACTCTCTACTGCCGTCTACGCCACACGTCCCAGAGCGAATAACATCGTTTCTATCGTGAGCAAATCGAAGTTCTGGTTAGTTTACTGCTGTTCGGTCTCGCTTGTCCTCAAAACACAAAATCTCGCTTAGCATGATCATGCCAAAAACTGCACATACTGACATCGGCGCGAGCGAGCATCCAGGTGGAATGACGACATATTGTTCTAGCGAGGCTCGCTACTCCAACGCCCAAGGCACTTTTCCGCGTGGCTTCTGGACAAAGGTCGAATACAAGGCGAGAAAGAACTACGTACAGTGTGGGTATTTATTCACATCGAGGTTATGTCGATTAACACATCGCCAGTGACCGGATGCATCAACCCTACTCTTGTCGACCGGCTCAATCCAGGTGACGATGGAGGGCAATACGATTCGAGCGGGGGTGACGGTGGACATGGAAATCCTGCTGGCTCCGTCTGTCTTGGGTGTGTTATTTTGTCGGTCTTCCTTCTGACAACTGACCCATGAAGTTACAACCACTATGTCGAAATCGTCGAGCCAGCGGGTAACCGTGCGTGTATTCGTTGCTGCAACAATCCCGCGGACTGCCCAACAAACAAAGGTCCGAGAGAGACCCTCCTCACTCTGGTCAACGGCTGACGATCATCTTAAATCAGACACGCAGGGTTGCCTGAACGTCATTCCTGGAAACTACTTTCATTGTCTGTAGTGGCTTGTACATGTCTTCATTCTTCTACAACGCTTGTTCAACCCCAGTTGTCAAATCCGAGGTCAACGGCTATCGAATTTTAGTATATACCCACGAAAGAGTGAAATGACGAACGCCATGGGGGCATGATGAAACGCTTCTGTTTGCCTGCAGCGGCCAGCCCGTCCAATTTCTCGATATCTTCTTTGGTAAGCTTGGCCCAGGCGTCTATCGGGCCAGTGGCATTCGCCTTGATACGGGCTGGAGTTACGGATTTGGGGAGGGTGATGATGTCATTAGCAACTGAAAGGAACATAAGTGGGATCTACGAGAGGAAGATAAGACTACCAAGATAACCGAGGAGGATGTCAGTGGGCTGTACTCCGTATTGTTCAGCTAATTTAACAACGAGCTCATCGGCAACAAGCGGCGAGCCAGAGGAGCCAAGAGGGGAGTAGGCTTGGGGGCGAATAGTTTTCGAACGGAGATATGCGAGCAGCTTGTGTTGTGGGTTATAAATATGGAGTTCGAGCTGGTTCACGGCGGGAATGATCTCTGCAGTCGGCAAAATCTTTTCGAGGTTCATTTCGGAGAAGTTGGATACGCCGATGGAGCGAACTTTGCCTGGAGCGGTGTTAAAGAGATGTGAATCCAGAGAAGCAAGAGCATACCCTTCTTGACCAAGTCTTCTAGCTGCTTCCACGTGTCCTTGAGGTCCCAAGAGTGGATGACGTCTCGTTTGCCATCGGGAAGGGTTGGGAAAAACGGATGATTGCCGTTTGGATTGAGGACGACCGGCCAGTGAATGAGACACACTATATGTTGTGAGGGACGATAAGGCTTTGATAGCAAGAATAAGCGTACGATCGAGGTAGTCGGTCCCAAGATTGGCGAGCGACTGGTCAACACATTCTTCGACGCGAGAGTGCCAAGTGCTCCAAACTTTGCTCGTAATCTGTTGCGCAGGCGCTTAGAAAGAGTGGGAGAGTGGTATCAACACGCACGAAGAGCTCTGAACGGGGAATTCCAGACGCTTTGATACCCTCGCCGACTTCCTTCTCGTTTCCATAACTGCAAGCCACTCATCAGCCCTTCATTCACGGTGGATAGCCCCGACCCACGCGAATGCACAGTCTATGTGTCTGATTCCAGCCTCTTTGATTGCAAACTCCACCGCACTGACGACTTCGCCTGCCTTGGACTGCCAGGTGCCTGACGTGCGACCGGGTCAGCCGATACAGAAACAGCTACTAGCAGAAAGAACTGACCAAGACCAAGGATTGGTATCTCGTAGCCACTGTTGAGGGTGACGGTAGGGATTGGGGCCATGAGAGTAGAGTTAAAGAGTAAACACCATCGATTAGTGGAGTCATGGTTCGGTCCGGGCCGATCCGCTTTCACTTAGACTACATCACGAGTTTCGCTTTGGGGTGCTCTGCGGAGTATTGCGTCGGGAAAGCTGTGAGCGTCGAATGGTATACTGTAAGTCACCGGCCAAGTCGTGGTTCGGAAACAGAAAAGTTTCTAGGTTCCGTGATATGTGACGCACTGTGACACACTGGCGCCCAACCACCGACAACAATTCAAGTTCAAGCTATACATTCAAATTACGCTCGACCGACTGTACTGAGACCGGGCTCATTGAATGTTCAACGACAGGCCAACAAGGCTCCGTCACTATCTCCAACTAGTAATGCTCACTATGAAGTATTTCAATCCCAATTCAAGTTAGTATGCGAAGTTTTACATCAACCATTGCACTAAGAGCAACGTTGATTCTCTATTCAAGACTCAAGACTCAAGACTTTCATCTTCACCTCACTCAGCGCTTGAAACGTTAAACTTGGATGAATGCCTTCGATTCGTTTCATTAGACATCTATTATGCTCTTTGGAAGCCTGAGCAATCCCCACTAAGTAACTACTTCCACCATGGACAAGCCGCCGTCATGACTTCCCATAGGATATTCGCCTATCTCGAGCTTCGGTCAATGTTGGCTAAAGCCCAACCATTCACTTACTACCTAGCAATACAATCACAGATTTCCGCAGCAGTGAGGATCGACAACACCCAGCTTCAAGTTGAAGTCGTCCTGCCAATTGACGACGCAGGGGCATTGGCCAACATCAGCAACGAACCAGTCCAGATCGCTTCGCCATCTCTTTCGTCTGACGCAAAGTGAGGCCCTGGGGCGTCAAGCATGATTACAATTAGCTTCAGTAACCTGGACTCTCTCTCGTCACAGCAAACACTTACTCGACCATGCTTCGCTTATCCAGAGAAAACAAACTACAAGCCGAATCCTTGCCGATCGGTTGCGATGGCAAAATGTCGCTCCCGTGCTATGGGAGTCCCGCCGAGATGACACCTCAAATCGACGTGACGTCCTTGTTGAGCAAGATGGGTACCAGGCGGGCCGATTACTTGTCAACATTACGATGGTTCAACACGGAGTCTCGACGCTCGAGGACGTCTACACTGTGTCCACCGTGACTCCGTCCCTAGGTTCAATTGCAAAGCAGCCTAAATATTTCGCACAAGTTAATTCCGGTCTGTTTCGTTTTTCAAGTACTTTTTCGCATTCAATATTATACTGCAGACAACTTCCAATCGTGAAAAACCGTGTCAGACTCGATGTGAGTCGCGATCTTTGTTTTTTGTTGGCTTTGGAAGAACGTACCTTCGATTTCTCGGCACCGGTCTTCGCAGTGGATCCATCGCTCAGGACAAAATAATCTCAACTAGTAAGCACAGCACTTAGCAATGTGTATGATCAGCTCTTTAACAACGTTGATCTTGCTCTCAGAGGATCACACAAATTTAAACTAGGCAACCTCCACAAAGACTTGAAGAAATAGCCCAAGGTGAGCGGGATAAACTGCAAGTCATTTGTGGAGTGATCACAGTGTAAGTGGCTCTTTCGTGGGCGCTCGGCGTACCTCGCATTGCTGATTGGCATCGACGTCGTGGATACCCACATCAAAATTTGTTGCCGTGACGTGACGTGTCCTGCACCGCTTTTCCTCTTTCCTCCAATTCTGGCCAACTTCTCGTGTCAGTGCAAGTGGTGAGGATGCCGATCCTCTTCAGACTCGCCTGAAAGCTCAGAAATTTGGATCAGATATCTATTATGTGCTGTCCTAAAGCTGCCCAAAGCAGTGTGGCTATTCGTATGCTCTCATAGAGACCCGCGCCAGAACTGCTTCGCGCTGCATCGAAGGAGGACGTGTCAATAACCCTCGATATACTTCGTGGAGGCTTGTCTCCAGGCGTGGAATAGATTCATTTGGGGCCGATGCACGGCAATGCTCCCTACGAATGAGCATCGATATTACGCATATCGGTTCTGCTCTCAAGCGCTGTCCTTCATGTTATCGTCCGCAAATCTCGCCTGACGTGTCCCATCATGAAACGCGTACGCTTTCGATGCAGTGAACCTCGAAGGCGTACTGAAGTTGATATAAAGGCCGCGATGAAGTCTTAATCGAAACCGTCCCCAGCATGTCTTCGACTTCTTCCGCTTCCGCAACCACATCAAAGCTCTTCCAAAAGCGAAGACGCGCCTACATCGCTTGCTCCAACTGTAGAAAGCGCAAGGTGAAGGTAATGCTACCTCATAACTCCTCGCCCGTCGTACATTTCTCTAACCACAATTATTCTCAGTGCATCACTGTCTCAGATGCCGACTATCGCCCATGCACGCGCTGTTCACAAAAGGGTCTGCTATGCGAGTATATCGCGGTGACCGATGACCCTGACTCGCTCTCTCTCAATCCCGATACACCACCTGAGGCTTCCCATGGAGTTGATGAGTGGCCCCAACCCATCACACCTCCATCTGCTGGTCTTAACGGCTTTCTGCCTCCTCACTCTGCTCCCGCTCGAGGAGGTCGCGGAGCATCATCTCACCCTCACACGCCTCCGACTTCTCAGCAAAGCCTCTACCGTCCGCAAACATGGCCAGCAACAGTAGCTCCTCCATCGGGCTATTCCTCTCGAATCACGCAACCTCGGCCATACCCTCCAGCATCCGGCATGGTAATGGGTGCATATGAGGCCTCGATGAACCCGTATAATGAGCTTCCCAACTATACCCCCGGTTATGCCGGTGGATTGCAATCCGGACTCCCTACTGATGCCTGGCAGCAGCGTCCGTAAGTCGTACTCTCTGCTATAGCGAACAACTTGGCTGACAAATATATTCCAGCGCGGTTTGCATCTGTCCTCCTGGCACACCTTGCTATTGTGGTGCTAATTTTGGACGATGAAAACTACGCACAGAATCGAGCCCGATGAGCGCCCTGGTGAGTCAGGGCGACCGATGGTGTCCCATAAGCTTTTCTATTGCAACTTCAAAACCTGTGCGTCTCGGTTTCTGGTAACTTTCGTAGACTTTCCTCGCTTTCATTTCGTATACTTACTAGTAATTGATCGGAGTTGGACAATTAAATACTTGGATTGTACTCTGTTACGTGCCTATACGCTCCGATGAAGCAAAATCAGTTCTCGTGCACTAGTAGCAACTTCATGCTGTGCCCGCAAATCTCAGGCTTTGGCATGGGATCCGCGTTCGCAGCAGCAGTGAGTCAGGCTCTTCTATAGTTCCTCTATGCGGCCAAAGATACTGTACAGCCAAAGGCATCAAGGAAGAGCATCGAGATGCCGTTCGGAGATCGTGAAAAGTACTTTTCCGCATGTGACCGCGTAAGTCAGGTGATGATATGAGTTTGTTGATTGTTGATGTGACCCTCAGGCTCATCCGATTCCCGAACCTCCCTAAAACCTTCCCGAATCGCAGAACGGGGGATCTCATGCCGCCAAACGGACTAAACCTGGTCGCGATACATGCTTACCCGACATTACTTGCCATCACATAGGTCACCTGTTTACGATCGCCGAGCTGCTTCTTCGCGCGAGCGGCCATGATGTTGGATAAGAGAACGCTCGTATTGCTGTCGCTCACGCTATCTCAGCGGAGTACTCTAGCTCGAGCCCAAGACTTTGCTCCAGGGGTTCTAGCTACCGGCACGCAGGGAGTAACGAACCCTCCGGTTCCAACTCTCCCGACAACAATTGACCAAACATCGATGGCAAGGCTATTGAGTATCAACTCCATTGACGATTTCTGCATATTTGCGCCTCCTTCTTTCGACACAATTCCAAATACAGAGGTGCGCCAACGCTGCCCCCACGTGTTTTCTCATTGGCTATAGACTGTCGAAGTTGCTTGGTGTACTCAGCCCAGAAACAATGCTCGCGTTATCCCAGATGGCACCCTTTCTGGCGTGAGCTTCCTCCACACGCCGTTCTACATCCAAGTTTTCGGCTTTGGGAATTTGACCAACCTGAATATCGCCCCCAACGACGCTGGCGGGGAACTTGACCCTCACGGGGCCTTCGGTACCGGGAATCCGGTCGGCGGCAACGTTAGCACTACCATCATAGATGGCTTTGACCGCCCTCTGGCCGAGTGGATGCTGTTCATCGACTGGCAATATTTCTGCCTCCGTATTTGCACGAATGCAAATACAACGTACGACCCCGCACATATGTGCTGGCACGAGTTGGACGAGATGGGCTGCGAATTCGTCATGCCTGGACAGTATAACTTTCAAGGTGGAGTCTTGTGAGACCTTTTCTTCGTCGATTATGATACTTTGCTCAATTCGACATAGCGAGACATGTGATGCTGATGCGGCCTACCCGCCTGGCTGGTATCCGCAAGTCGTCAACGGGCAAACGACGTTCTCGACATTCGCGCAGTATTTTACGGGGGTTTACACCGGTGCCGATGGGCAACCCACTGGCTACACAGTCGGCGACACAGTCACTCCCACTGCTCCTGCGACTATCCCTCAGTCTTCAAATTGCGTCACGCAGGCGACCATTGCCAACGGGATTCCTCTTATCTCGCTGACGCCCGGCGCTAAAGGGACCGCTCCTCCACCCGGATTTTCTTCAGTCACTGCCACCTTTGTCGCAAACACTCTTCCGATGCCCACAAGCTCTGTTAATGTTCCAGTAAAAGCTCTCGGCTCGTCATCGATCTCATCTCCTTCAAGTCCGACAACAAACAGCAATAGCGCAGTGATAACCATACCTTCAGGTATTTACGTCGTTGCGTTCATAGCTGGCGCTGCGTTCTTTGTGCTCGGATGACTCTTGAAGCTGTCGGGCTCAAGATTCACTACGAAATGACTCTAGAAACATTGTTGTAACTTGTACAAACCTCTAATACTGAAACCTTATCGGCCAGATGTTATGACTCGGAGTAAGCCGTTGACTTCGTTCTACCAATGCATTTATAATTAGTACTCCACGACTGCTTAGTGTGAATTCGGAGCCATTGACGCCTTGTTGTGAAGGCATCAAAGGAGGAATTGTCACGTGCTCAACAATTTCTCTTGTTGTTACCCCCTTGATGCAAAGCTCCAAGACGTTGTAACCTCCAGCAATATTCCTCATTCCAGCCAAAGGCCTCTCCTTTGTGGCTGTAAGTGTACTATCGACTCAATGCATCACGCTCATTTTTGAAAGCATGCGCCGAAGCGCCCTTTTCTTTGACATACACGAGGCTGCCCTGCGACTCTGCGCCGTCGGTGCTTCGTTTCTTCGAGCTAGAATCGAGTCACCAGAACACGTCCACGCCTGTTCTCACCCTCACAACGCCTTATCGACACGTGTTCATGAAACTGCGCTGACGAAATAGCGCTAGCTCCCAACGCCTCGTTGAAGCCATCCGTCTCGAAGTGGAGCATGGTATAAGACCCTTGGGCACCCTGACGAGTCCTCCCACCCACCCCCATCACCATCGCTATCCAGCATGAGCAGCACCCCTTCGCAGATCCCGGTTCCGAAAAAATCACTTCGGTCGCGAATGGGCGGCGTAATACGGCGCACATCGTCTGCGCTTTCCCTGCCAAAGTCGAAATCTGGCTCGACAGACGATAGCAGCAGCAACACCCGCCGCTCGTCAGTAGGCACTATCTCCAAGAACGCTGACGCCAAGCGGTCGTCGTCGTCGTTGATTCGGCGGGGCTCTGAAGCCAAAGAGAGCCAGCCGCAGGATGTTATCAACATCGAGCCAACGACTATTCCCCAGGCGGAGCCCGCGGAAGTCGCCTCTGCTAATAACTCCGTGCCCATTTCCCCCACCACAATGGTCGAGCCGATTGTCGTGCTCCCGCCAGCCAACGGGGACATCCATGACCCAACGAAATCGTCGCCGGTAGTGAAGCGACTTCTCCCCGTCCTCGCCCACTACCAAATGCACCCTTCTCCCATCTCGGAGTCGCCTATCCGCGAGGCAGCCGCCAATGCTGAAGAGGCAGCAGAGAGCAATCCACAAGTCCAGCCGTCACCCTTGGCCAACGTCGTGGCTGCTGATGCCCCGGCTATGGAGGACGAGCCTACACCCGCTGTTTCGGCTCCGCTGGTGTTTGATGACGCCGACATGGGAGTGCTGACGGATGAGCCGCAAGACATGCATGTGGAGGAAGTTATTGTTATTCCGGTCGTCGAGCAGCCAGGGGCTGAATCCGCGCCTGATCCATCTTACTTCGAGTTGGTTCCCCCACCCGCTGCTGACACGGTTGCGCTGGAGTCGACGGTCATCGTTGCTGTGCCTATTCCCGATGACACAGTCGAGCCCACTCAAGAGTCGCATTCGCCTCTTCCTAGTCACACATTCGTGGAGCCCACTCAAGACTCGCATTCGCCTCTTCCGGATCACACATTTGTTGAGCTGACCGAAGAGTCCCAGCCGCCGCTTCCCGATGTCCCCGTTGCCGAATCTGTCTTGAACGCGGACAGCAAACCCTCTGACGAGTTGAAGGACAAGGAGACTGTTCCCCCGCCTGCAACTCAATCGACCAGCTCGGCTGTTCACACAGCGCCAGAATCCGTAGCTAATGGGAAGATGCCTGCCAACGCAACGACCTCCAACGCCCCTCCCCCTTCCGTTGCCGAAGAGGTCCAACCTGGTGGTTGGTGGGAGACATGGGCCGCCAGCATCTACAACTGGCTGTGGCTCCTGTGGTCCAATGCCGGCAGCACCAGCCGCTGCGAGCCCCCGAAGTCGACCTGATCAATGTTGCCTATATATCGAGGAGCGGGTCTCTGCCAAAAGCCCGCTACAGTCTTTTCTCAACTAGGCATATTTATTTTATTGTACCGTGTACTCTGCCATGTGAACTTCAGAAGAGCATTGTTTGTACCGTTTGGATCTGAATGTTGGGTTGGTGACCCGGGAGCGGCCGACGCGTGATAACCTACTCATATGTTGTCCATGTGTTGGAGAAGACGAGAATCTGCACTGCACAAGTTCTTTGAGTTCGTAAGTGATAGTTGGTGACCCGGTAGCCGACGCGTGATAACCATATGATAATGTTGTCCATGTGTTGTTTGTGTGTTTGTTTTACTGTCAATCTGGCAAACAGCCGGCAAGTGCGACGCTGTCTTAGTAGGGTACGTGATGCGGTATGCCAAGGAGCGGCCTTATCGCTCCGTGCCCGCTTTGCCGGCGCCGGCGCCGGCGGCTGGTCAGTTCCCTGATGGATAAGTGCCGACAATCAAGATGCATTTTCCAGCCTCATTGTGAGCATGCGCATTTCTCAGCCGTTTGATTGATAAGTTAAGTCCTTACTACTAGTTTATATGCATTTTCCTCCAACTTTTTCCTGTGAAGGCCGGCCATCCAAACTCCGATTCAATCCTACATCAAGACCCCATGTGCGGCAGAACAGCCGCGGACTGATGGAATGACGATACATCATGACCAATTGACCTGGCGGGTCCGTATTTACCAACTGTCTCTTTGTCGGCGTGATAATTTTGCGGGCGGATCCGCGCAGATCTGCGATTGTGAGAACGTTGCGAGAACGTCCACCTTCTCGGTAGATCGCTCAGAACATATTTTTTTCAAGGTATTTTTCATTTTTCATTCCCCCCCACGAGAAAAGGCTTCCACAGCGCCTGTATGTACTAGAGTAAACGAAATAGCGTGGGTGCCCAGCTAGTGCGGGGCGCCCAGGTATTAGCAGAGCGTACGCGGGAGGGCCGGCCGTGTGTGTCCACCATAAACCCTGCAAGAAAGAGAGAGAGCGGGGCTCGCCGCTCAGTAGAGGAAGTACTTGGCGGTGTACTTGACCTGGATGTCGGGCGATCCCGGAGTGCACTGGAAGGTGATGAGCGAAGGTGGGATATAATAATCAAGCCTTACAGAGGATGGGGGCTGGCCACCGGCGGTGTCGACGCGGAAGACCTTCGAGGCAAGGTCGCCCTGAACGCTGTTAAGCACGAGCCAGTCGACGTTGGTCGCAGGGTCGGCGGGTGCAGGGATGTTGGCAAGCTTGGCGGCCACAACGAATTGGCCGGACTTGAAGTCCCACTTGGGCGAGATGCCCGTGCCCGAGGGGGAGGGGACGAAGTAGTGGTGCTAGAGAAACCGTTCAGTATGTCGCTTGGACAGGAAAAACGAAACCAGGCTCACGCCGAGTTGGATAGGGGCACCGATCTTGTCACCGAGCGTCGCGGCAGCAACGCTGGCGGGTGCAGCCTTCCACATCTTCAGGGCCATGCTGTCGACGTTCTTGAAGAGCGCAGGGGTCTTGGCAAGGCATGAAATGTCGAAGATCGACGCGACAGCGCCAATTGAGCTAGGGTGAACGGGTTAATGAAGAGAAGCGATGTCGTGATGAAGGGGCATACGTGTACTTGGAGGTCGCAGCCGAGCAGGTGTAGTTTTGGATACCAACACCGATGGTCACGAATTTAGGTGCCTCAGCCGGGGCAACGAGGGCGGTTTGGCCAGCAGGTAAGTCCATTTTGGCAGCCGAAGTGTCGCATTGAGCGAGCTTGGGCAAGGCGGGGAAAGGCGGTGGAGCCGCAGAAGCGAAGATCGCGACAGAAGAAAGAGCGGTGAGCAGGTTGAAGGCCAACATGTTTGTGGAAAGTGGTATGTAAGAAAGAATGTGAGTTGGGGGAGAGGAGAAAGAAGCGTTTGGTGAGGATGTCGCTTTTCTCTGGCGCTTTATACTCCGGAGTTAGTCAGCTAGCGATTTGAAGGGTTGACCAGAGAGACCGATTCGCGTTTCATCGTTCAAAAACACCTGCAGCTAGGCACAAACTCTTGTGACAAACGACTGAATGGTTTTACAGCAAGCGATGTTACTTAGTTGCTGGTTTGTTCCGTTATTCGGGCTCTCACGGTCCTGGATTTAATGGCAGGCGGAGGCATGGCAGCAACATGGCGGAGCATGGCGGAGGCAAGGAAGGATAATCGAATTTTCAAATGCGTGACTAACGTGACAAGACGTCGATCACCGCCAATCACTAACCCTCACCTATTATTTTTCTCTCTCTGAACGCCAGAACGTAGCGACGTGTCTCTCCTGTTTATTCTATTCTAGTTTTGCTGTTACACAGCCAACGGTCCCTCTCGAAGGGACTCCTAGCAATTGCAATGCTAGGGGTAAAATGGAGACTTGCAGATAAAAGTACCAGGATTCAACTATCTCTGTCCCACCACAGTGACCCATGAAGACCGGCTTCCTCTCTCTTGTTCTCTTTTTCTCGCCGCTCGTTCTTTCTTCGCCGACCGGTCTGGCAGTAGGAACCTCAGAATCTCCATCGTCGACAGTCTTGCGTTCCATCCAATTGGACGCAAGCCGTGCTGTTGATAGGTCAGCTGCTGGACAGAGGGGTGCAGTCGCCCAACAGCACGACATCACTCGTTTGCGATCTCAATGGGAAGCAGGTGAGGCCAATCTCCATGCTGATCTGCAACGTTCCACGATCTGAACCTTATCGGCCTAGTGCTAAACTCTCAAGTCCGGCTAACAACTCCGCTCACAAGCCCAACCCTGTGTGTCCCTAGCTTTCCATCCATTATGCCTATTGACGTGCGGTCGTCCGTAGAGGAATCATCTCCGTTCATCTCAAGACCAACGACCGCCCCTTCGTTGGGTTTCTTGCGGAAAACGGGCTGGTCCCTCTCCAAAATGCGGCACCGATATACTCCATCGACTCCCCCACTGCCCCTTTGATCCAGATCGACGTCTTTCCCTCTGCTAATATTTCACTCGCGATCGCAGTTGGCCCCTTTGGTGAAACCCTTGCCCCCACAAAACATAACTTCCACTTTTCGCGATATGTCCAGAACGCTGGCCAGACGCGCGTCCTCACTCACTTCTCTTTGAGCCCCGATTCACGCGAAATCACCCCTAAGTGGGTCAATCCAGACGGAGGTTCGCAATCTACCTTCTCCTATTCCAAATCAATATCCTGATGACCCTAGTTTCGCCCCAGGTTTCCATCGTCCACGCATTTAACCGAATCTTCTACACGGGGGATGTCTCCGCTTTCGAACGAGTGCTCGGAAAAACGGCCAACATCGTCACTTTGAACTGGATCGAATTACGGTGATTTCTCTTAACTCATCAGCATCCCCCCACGTTCGTTCCATCTTGTAAGCTAGTCTCGTAGTGAATGTATATTGTCTCTAGAACGCCTTGTATGGGGAACACATGCAAGTCTTGGCCGTGAAAAACGGGCGATTTGCGCCGGAGGATCGTGAAAAGAGTTTCTGCTTCCGAATAGTGAATGAAAAAATTGATACCAAATGCAAAGCCGAGTGCAAACACGACATAGACGACTATCAACAAGCGCCGAAGGACAAGCTGCACATTAAGAAGCGCATTAAACTCCGGTTTAAACCAAAGCCACATCCATACTAAACCACCCAATGCTCCTAGGTCTCCGGTAGACCTTTCTCCTTCAGCGAGGCGTCGAAGCATGACAGTATACCATGCCATGATGGTACCAGCACCGATAAGCCTGATTTGCGGGAGACGATCAAACAACTTGACGCGGAAATTCGGTTGGTGGATAAACGGCTCCTCCGATTGGCCATTCCAGTTCAGGACGCGTTGAGGAAGGTCTGGGAAAATAACTGAGGCACGACCAAGCCCGAGAAGATCTGCGTGTCCAGAAGACAGGGCAGTCGAAAGGTGGGCTGGAGTCGAGAGACCACCAGTGAGGAGGATAAGAGGACGAGAGGGAGAAGGGATGGATTCCATTGATTGGGCGGCTCGATGAGAGAAGTGGGCAAAGCGCGCTTGTCGATGATCGGGAGACGCTTCACTCTCGGTCAGAAAGTCTTGGTGAAAAAAAAAAATTGAGCAACAGGTTGGGCCGAATAGAGTTCGCATACCAGGTTTCTCATAGTCTCCTCCGCTAATTTCAATAAAGTCGACTAAACTCCAGGATGCTATGATCTGCACGTATTGCAAAGCATCTGCCGTGGTCTCGTCCGCCGAGTTAAGTTTGACGCCCAATACAAACTTGGAAGGCACAACGAGACGGATGTCGTGAATAATACGAGACAGAAAAAGGAGTCCGTGTGCAGAGTACTCGTCTGTACGTTTGTTGGCTTTGGGAGACATGAATTGAGCAAGCAAGTCTGTTTGAGATTAGATCTAACGAAAAGGCGGCGGAGAAAAATGCTCACATCCATGAGCAGCATGCAGCTCGATACCGTCAAATCCCGCCTCTACCGCCACTCTCGCCCCATGAACAAATGCGGAAACGACTTGGTCGATAGCTTCAATGGACATGCTCTTTGGGGTTTGGAACATCAGGGAATGGAAAATTGAGGAAGCAGCACCCGTCACCGACTGTCCGACACGAATGCGACTGGGGCCCAGCGGGGCAGTAAAAGGAAGACGTCCTCCTAGTATATTCGGTGACTGGCGTCCAGCGTGGCTCAGCTGCATGATCGCTAGAGGCTGATGTTCTCGCTGGCCGTGAATTGCGTTTGCTAACGCCCTAAATGGCTCAAGTTTGTCATCGGAGAGGTCGGAGGGGAGAACGATGTCCCTAGCAAGAGATAGGTGTGTCTGCGAGACCTGGACATTTCCAGTAATGATCATGCCCCAGTCATGAGCTGACCACGTCGCGTAGAGCGCGAAATGTAGTCCATTTGGAGGGCCCCCATAAAAGGTAGCAAGGTGTTCATAAAGCGCAGCCTGTATAGAGTAAGATGAATATAGTGGCTGGTGGTGTTTACCGACCTTTACTAGTCGATTTCGCAGTTGCCGACCACAAGGCAGTTGAGCGGGAGAGAAAATGGTAGGAGTCATGTGCCATAACAAACAAGAGCCAACAATGCAACGCTATCAGCCAGGAAAGGCAATATTTTGTGCTTCTCTCAACTCAGTTTCCCGTTGTCCCAGGTAAGTTGTCCCTCCTCCCCCTATATAAAAGTGTTTTAATCAAATCATGCCGCAAAGATATTTTCCGTCGTGAACAACTTCAAGGACAGTACTGTCATGATTGTCCGACCCAGTGCAAGCTAGTCTCACTCGCAATCCTTTCTTCTGACCAGTAGTTCGCGAGAGAGAAGAAAGAATTTGTGCACCGGCACTCATTCATCGGCAAGGATCAGCGGGCATCACTGTCGATCATAAGCGCCGAGACGGAAGGAGCATTTGAGTGTTCCGCTTACCATGACATTCTTGCATCTTGCCTTTCTGCCTTAGTCCATGTTCAACGAACTTGAGCACCCGATATCTTTCCATGGACTATGAACAATCCACACACACTGCAGTGAGTCCGTGACGCACAACATACGCCAACAATTGTCTGTCTTGTATGTTAGCAGTTTCGTTCGGCTTTCTCGGCGGTTCAAGGATCAGAAACGTGTCGTGACTGTGCCTGACTCAGGTCCTCCGTTATATACTAGGACAATATTGATCCGTTGCTCCCTCCACTCTTTTCTTCAATGTCTAACGAGGCATACGACCTGCTCATCGTTACCGATGCCACAGCAAGCATGGGCGGTTGTGAGTAGAACCACAGGTGCACATGGTTCGTGAGCTAATCAAGCACAACAGATCTTGATGCGCTTAGAACTTCCATCCCTGAAATCCTAGCACTTGCAAAACTTTCTGGCGCATTCTCACGCCTCGGTCTATTGGCGTACAAAGACTATTGCGACCCAGAGAACGAGATTGCTGCATGGTCTGGCTGGGATTCTCCGACCCTGACCACCTTCGTCCATGACCTCCAACCATCTGGCGGTGGCGACTTTCCCGAAGCCGCCAAGACTGCGCTCATCCGAGCCATGCAAGCAACGGATAAAAACTCCAAAACTCTCATGCTGTGGTATGCGGACGCGCCTCCGCATCACGCTTCATTCCAAAGCGTCGAAAACGACGAAAAGGAGAAGAAGGCTTTCCCCGAGCATGCGACTGATTGGGTGAAACTTTGTCAGATTGCGCGTCGTCGAAACTGTACCGTCTTTTGCTTCGTCCCTCGGACAATGGAGTCGAATTCCGCGTCTTTCTACACCCTACTATCGACTCTTACGGGGGGTATTTGTGTGGGTTCAAAGGGTGGAGAGAACGACAGTGCCATTCTATCCCGTTTGACATTGGCCGTGATAATGCAATGGATGGGTCGTGGAACAACAACAATCGAAAAGGTTTTACAAGCTTCCGAGGCGGTCTACGTGCGCTATGAGCAGTCGCCGCTTGAGACAAATGTCAAACTTTCGGACGAGGACAAAGGCTCGCATGGCTATCTTCCTCCCCCACATAAAGCCCCCCGCCGGTTCATGCACCCCTCTCCGCGCAATCCTCAAATCTACAATGGAACCCAATCATATTCCTGTGCGCGACCAGTCTACCATCGGGACATCTGATCCCAGTAAACGATTCATGGAACCTGAAGAGTCGGAGTTCAGGGACCTCGTTTACGACTCCTTGGCCAACATCATCCAAACCAACGTCGCCGCATTGACTTATAACGCTCTCTTCGGTCAACTCTGGCGAGCAGTATGCAAGTATACCGGTGACCCTGCTCGCAAAGCAGAGCTCGTGAATGCTTTTAGTGTTGCAGTCGGTAAAATTCGTGGCGCAGATCAAAAAGCGGCGTTGAGGCAATGGCTTGAGGAGAGCTTCGATATGACGGAGGAGATCGAGGGTATCATCAAACGACACTACGACGAGATGGGGTCCCAGCTGGAGCTCGTCTATCTGGATTTAGACGCTGATATTCAGCTCACCCGGACCGAGCTCCTTGAGGTTTCACGCAGTTGCTATTCAGGCGTTATAAAGAGGATTGCTCGAGTGTTTACTCATCTGAAAGTGCGTCCATCGTCTCTCTCTGATGCTATTCCATGTTGACTTCGGTAGCTTGTCGAACCAGGGGTCACACTCGCGCCGCGTCAACGTTCATTGCCATTGAGCCTCCCCGCGAACGATTTCTTCCGCCTCCTCCCACACCTCATTGTCCCAGGAACCATGTATTCTTCACGTGCATCCGCATTAACAGCTGTGGTAGCACTCACAACTGGCGTTCCCTTCCTCCAGACCATCGCTTCGACATTTCTCTCGACATCGTTCAAAGGCAAATGGATCAATCTCAACATCCCAGAGAACATCAGCTTCGATTGTGCTCAGTTCCTCTTGACCTCTCCTGAGGGTGTAGTTTTGACCGCTCAAGAGCGCAAGTTGTACGAAGCAATGCGACGATATAGACTGCTGGAGCTCAACCTTGACGCTCCGATTGAAGCGAAAGTACCATGGACCCCGCAAAAGTCTCGCGGACCTGGCGGTGTCAAGGTACAATGCAGTCGGTGTCAAGTGCGGTATGTCCTCCATGAACTCCCTGATGACAATGTCATTGACCTGCTCAAGGCGGAGCGTAACGATTATGAGCCATCTCCCTGGCGGACTGTGTGGCTTTTGTGTCGGAACCACGTTGTCTGGCAAGAGGATTGCAGAACTTTACCCCCAAATCGACGACCCCGAAAGTTGCTGGGTCCAGTGCTCAGCCAAAATATGTCGGGCCCAATACGTTGTCGAGCGAGTTGATTCTCTTCAACGAAGCCCTCGCTGTTACTACTGTCGTAACAACACCCCCTGCCCCGCACTAGAGTGCTCTATTTGCACCAACCGCATCATTGTCCCGAATCTATACCGCTCCGCCTCAGACAAGCAAAAGTATACTTGTCCAGGCTGCCTCGACGCCGACTGGTCCAATAAAACCGTGGTTTCGACAGAAACTACCGTCCGAGCATTGAACCAAGAGAACAAAGTTCAGTGGCTTGGGTTTACCGCGGCCGACAACGAACGTGTATTCCTTGGCAAATCAGCCTTCAAGTTGATGCAGGCATTTGACCAGAGCGTGTTTGGGAAGCCCATAACTGGCTCAAGCCAGTTGACTCTAGCCGGCAAACAAGTGCAGAATGTGGCGTCGATTTTATGGCAAGTCGAGGAGCGGGTGGGCAGGGGAGAAGTCGTGTTGGCCTACTGTGCTCTGTGTTTCGAGGAAAAAGCCAAGAGCAAGCTCATGCCAGCTTGTGGACGGTCTGGTTGCGCTCAACTTGTCGATGAGGCATGTCTTCGTGAATGGGTGAGTTTCGCATAGAATGTTGACGCTTATGACTGACCTTCCCCTCCCAGTATGGCGGCAATCGCCCAGGAAAACTGCTCAACATGGCCCAGTTTACATGCCCCTTCTGTCGCCGCAAGCCAACGCTGAAGACTATGATGCGCTACAACGCCCCAGCAGCGAGTCTGGGCAGTCTTGCCCGTGCAATGGATGATCGTCGGTTCTTGTACGCCTGGTGTCTTGACTGTGGTCATGCACAAGTCGCCTATGAGCGAGTGTGTTGTACGGAGGAGACACTTCCGCCTATCGAGAACTTCCGCTGTGAAGATTGCCAGCCTCCACCCGCCGAGACTGCCGCCCCCCGTGAACGACGAGTACGACCGCGCGAACAGCAAACGAGCACCAAATATCTGCGAAAGCTAATGGAGGGGAAACGGGCCTGTCCAAACTCCAGTTGCGGCTTGCTGATCGAGAAAGTGGATGGATGCAACCACATGCGTTGTGTTTGTGGGACCCACTTTTGCTGGGAGTGCGGGAAGGCGGTGGGTGAGGGGAGAATATATTCGCATATGAGCACTGAGCATAACTCGTGGTGGGAGGAGATTGAGTAGGGTAGACAACAACTCCCCAAAAGCTGATCGTATGACGACTAGTTTCCTCAGATTCTATACCCTTGTTATTTTAGTTGCCTACTCTGGGTAGAGGAGCCAACTTCTTTTGAGGGAGCTGGATTTGAGCCTCTTGGAGTAAAATGGAGTTGCGAGAATGTGAGTAGTCCCTACTTAGATACGCCCCGCCTCTTTCAGAATTTCGCGGACTTTCTCGACCGGCAAAGCGCGCCATCGTCTGCCCGTATATCCCTCCGTCTCCTCAGCCGCAAATAGGGCATTGAGGATGGCTTCTTCGGTCGCATCTGCAGCCGCTCGGAAGATAGCATCCAGGGTTTCGCTGTTGACCGCTTCGACGGACTGAACAACCGATTAATACTCGTCATTTTCTCAGTCATAAACACTCGCATAGACTGAAACCGGTTCGATCTTCGTTTCGTGCAGGGGCGGGATTGGCGGCGTGAGCGGTCGCGCAGTCGAGAAGCATAAGAAGATGTCTGACTGAGAGGTCAGTAAATTTGGAAAAGGTGTGTCGATTTCCCTGCCTCCACTGAAAAACATCGTGCCCCCTCCACCTCTGGAGATACCGACTCCAGCACGACGGGCAACAGCGCTGCATTGATGAGGCAGCAGAGGCGCATCCGTGGCGATTATGACGATGATACTGACCAACACGTTATCACAACTGAATCTGAAGTGGCACAAACCTGCCCTCTCCATCTTGTGGCTGCTTGATTTTTCTCCCCTCGTCGTGTTTGGGGAACCATGGGTCCATGTAGCCTTCTTTCGCAAGCACTTTCCCGACATGGACTCCGTCGATGGTCAGGTCAGAGGGAGAGCCATGGTTAGCCTGAATCAGGACGCCAACCGTATAATTTCTGCCTTGTCGAGCAGGAACCAGGCGGGAAGATGTACCGGTCCCGCCTTTCATCCCGAACGACACCATGGATGCACCACCACTGGAGACAAGTCAGATGATGCTAAACCAACAAGTCGCAACGCACCCAACATTGCCTTCACGCAATCTACCACTGGTCAGATCTGCAAACGCTTTCTCTACTTCTTCAGACCCGACTTGATTGGGCGCAAGTGGATGCGTCATTCTATCGAACGTTTCCGCCACGATAGGGAGACTAATCATGAGTGGATGATGAACTTGCATAGCTAGAAACACCAAGGTCAATAGACTGCGAGCAGAAAAAGGCTGGAGACATGCCATGGTGGACCGCGCCGACCTGCATTGTTCCCGTAATCGCCAGAGAGTCGGTCAAGAGCCCGCTTTCGGTGATAAAATGCGCGCCAGTCAGTTCGCCAGAGCCCTGAAGCACGCCAACGCCGGCGAAAACGGGAATTGTCGCGATATCCTCGACAGTAACAATGGTGACGCCTGCACGGACAATCTTCTTTCGCTCCTCTTCGTCCGTTCTATGGAGAGAGTGTAGGTATTCGGACGGCCAGGAGGAAGTGGATACTTACGAGGACACATTTCCAAGGAATTTCTCGGAGGTGCCAACCTTGACTCGAACAACGTCGGTGATTGCGTTCAGCGGTCCGGGTTGCAGGTCGTCTCCTATGACAATTCCAATGTCGCGGGCGCGAGGACGATTTGTACTGCTGCCACCCATGAGTGAGATGGAGAGGATTACTCTTCTCTACTGCGGTCTGCGGAGATGCGATGAAAATCACGAGAGCATTGCAACTTGAAGGCGCGGTTTTGGGACCGTTTAAGGTGGACGTTAGCCTGGCGGTAAGGAGAGAGAAGGAAGGTGAAAGTGGCTGCAACAGTGCAAATGGTTGATAATCACCGCCACGGTTGTCGCAACTCCGTTTTACAGTACTCCAAGAGGACTACTTACATTCTCGCTAGTCCCCTATTTCTAGTATATTGACAGCCTCAGTTCCAGGACAACTGGTTTCTTCGTCATGGACTTTGTTGTGAGATGGGTGTAGTGGATACAGTAATTAGAGCAGAAATTAGATACTTTTTGTGTCTATCCTTCACGATTCGACGAACTTGCCGACACTATCTAACCACTCAACATATTCCTGACAAGAATTCAGACGGGCGGAGCGGCGTGGGGAAATTAATACCTCCTGCTCCTTGAACTGAGCATATTCAGCAACGAATTCGGCCAGCGATGAGTCAAGGCCGCGCTCTTGCAAGAAGGCTTCGAAGTTTCCTTGCAGGGTCACATCCAGAGTTTCAAACTATCAAATATTGAGCGTAGGGAATTAGAAACTCTGTTGGAGCTTACTGGAGGGCCAGAATATAACGTCCGGCGCGCAAAATCACTCTCCATGGTCAACTCCGTGCTCATCTTGCTCGACTTGTAGAAGGTGATGTTGGCTGTGTGAAAAGCACCCTCCGCGCAGTACAGATCGACACTGAGGGCCCCAGGAGCGCTCGTCTGTTGCGGATGTCAGATATATCGTGCGTTTCTGTTGTTCGTAGCGCACTTTGGTAATTGAAACGGAGACGCGGAGCTCGATAGGTGGCTCCTCTTCTTCTCCCTGTTCATTAGCTTGGGACTCCATATCATCCTCTTCATAGTCGTGCAGATCGGCAACGGAGAACATGACGCGAATTCTAATCAACCCGAACATTATTGATACCTTTCGTGGTAAGAAAAAAACGCACGTCTCGTTGCCAAATTTCCTTGTCAGGAGTACCTCGTCGTTACCGGGTACGTCGTTAATCTATTTCCAAGCCGTTTATAGTCTGCTCTCAACTGTGTCCGAGCAACGCACCTCCCAAACGCCTTGCTGCTTGAAAGCGGTCAGAAATTCAGGCTGTCCCTCGGTTCCAGTCTCTGAGGTGCTTATTTCATGGTTGAGCTCTTGGTGCAGCTTCTCCAGTAGTTGCTGGGACACTGTGCATGGAAATGAGCCAGGAAAATTATCGCTCAGAAAAAGCGTTCCAACCAGCTGTCGCTTCAAAACGGCGCGCGGAAGATACAAAAGTACGCGCTGCAGTCGGTCTAATAGCAGCTATGGCACGCGCAGAGAGTGGTCGGAGAGTCCTCGAGATGGCGCGCACGGTGGTGGAAGCAAACATAACTTTTTCCTATGTGTGACAGTGACGTGACACCCGGAAGTGTGGATGAACTCCGACCTACATAGTGCCTCATCCAGTCCTTAGACCCGCCCTATCTACTATGACCTCGATTGCTATAAGCACTGCAAGGCCACTCAACTCGGCATTGAATTGCTGTTATCCGAACTCCATTCAACAAAAGCGCCACGGCGGGTTACCAACACATCTACCCGCACATTCCTAAGCAGAGGAGTCGGCGTATAAACCTCGGCTGCGCTGCCATTCAAGCTGTCTACCCTCCGCTCCCCGTTTTCATGAACGGCAGCAAATTATTTTCTCGTTTCTGGCGGGATGGGCCCAGCACCAACTCCAACTCTGGCGATGTCGAATACGAAATGCTCCTCCCTGCTGACAATCAACCGCCACGGCACATTAATCGGGCCAGGTCTAGAGAAATACGGCCTTTGTGGATTTGCCTAACCCTTTGCTTCTTCTTCGCCTCGGGATTCTTTGTTCACGGCTGGTGGTCTGGGGGTGTCAACCAGTCAAACCACCGTTCTAAGGATCCGCCACTTTACGGTCAATATCGACAACGAGAAAGAATGCTTTCACAACACAATTCGTCCCATCTCGACCCAGAAACCAAGTTTCTATGGTTTGCCAATCACGGAGAAGGTAGGTCACCTCCAGTTCGTAGAGCATGACGACTTTAACTATAGACAGATTTTGGTTGGGGAAACTACCTCCAAGAGCTGCTATTTAATGCATATCTGGCTTACGCCTCTCGGAGATCGTACGTGTGGTTGCTGCGTGAATACTTCACGAGACCTAAAATTCATGGAGATTTGTCTTCGATGATTATACCTGGCGTCGAACTGGGCCTGATGTCGTTGAATGGTATGGTCACCGGATTCCGGCAAGGATACCATTAAGCGCCATTATAACTGGTCCGCCGATTCCATGCATGCCATATGTTGCTAAGAGTGTTCCACAGGACCGCTCGTCGGAGGAGAGTCTCCAAATCTCAACGTTCCACCTGCGGTCTCGAGAGAATACTACCTCAGTGTATGCCCCGAAGACCAGCGCGTTATTTTGAACACGCAATCCATTAACGCAGCTCTAGGGGAAACACCGAGCGCCAGCCAGATAGTCCAGCGATGGGTGACGGAGCTGGATAAGATAAACGCAACTTGTGTCGAACTCGACGAGCAAAGCCCTGCACTGTTCAGCTACAAGTCAGTGCAGCTAACCCGATTGCACAAATCTAACCATGCAATAGCGTTACAAACACTGCTCGAATCCTTGACATTCTTCCTCGTCTCTCAAAATCACCTATTCTTTCTGATTTTGGCTGGTCACCACTTATCTTGAGCGAATTTTATACCAACTTGCCGCACTTCGACTCATATACCGAAATGGACACAATATCTACGACCGAGACCTCCACCAAACCACTAAAGGGGCTTCTCGTCATACACATTCGCCGAGGGGATTATGGTTGGTGGTGCAAGGAAGCATGGAAGAACCGACAAGCGTTTACCGGTGTTAACAGCTTACCGGAGCTATTGGACAAATACCCACATCCGCCAAATGGCAGGGGACCTAAAGAGGTTTTCAGAAAACATTGCTATCCGACCATCGAAGAGATTGTCTCCAAAGTTTTACAGGTCGCGAAGGCCAAAAAGGACGTCAAATGGGTCTACATCATGAGCAACGCAAAACGTGCTTGGTTAAGAAAACTTGTTGCTGCGCTTGAGGTCGCATATGAATGGCATATGGTCAGCACAAGTCGCGATTTAGAGCTTTCCTGGGAGGGAAAATACGTTTCTCAAGCTCTGGATATGTATGTGGGTCAGAGGGCTGAGCTGTTCATTGGCAATGGAGTGAGTTTTGACCGCTTATGTCAGCCGTGATAATATTGATGATGGATCTAGTTTTCGAGTCTGACATCCAACACTGTCCTTCTTCGGAGGCAAAATCCTGAGCTCGACCCATCCGACATTCATTTCTGGTAGCTCCGAGCTCATCCATTTCTGATCGGCGTCAACAAAGCGACAATGTCGCTTTGACTTTCCCCACAGACTATAAAAGCAGTCTCCATGGCCCAACCACAACAATCATCTACTATGTCTTCAGCTTCTTGTGTTGAGCAGGCTATCAACACTTCATCCTCCATCGTTTTTTTTCGGCGATTCAAGCGCCAGGTCGTTGGCTTGCATGACTCATTCTTCAAAGACACCACTCTCTACAAACTTTTCGAGGCCGACGCCATTTCTGAACAGGGCAAGCCTACCCCGCCGCTTCGCGAGCCGCCCAAGCCGCTGTTTGATCTAAAGGAATACGCTTCACAATCCACCGATGAAGTATTCCAGGAGCTATTCGATGCCACCGGCGTGAATGCCGAAGCAATGTATGCATTATGGGAAAGTGACATATCGGAAAAGGCGCAGAATGTAGCTATAGAGGAGACGCGAAATGTGGCATACCAGCAGAAGGAGAATCGCAGCCTGGTGCCACCCTCCAACGCCAGATCTCGAACGGGGGCGATGAGGGCAAGTTCCGCCTTGCGTTTTGGCCAGAAAACCCCAAGTAGCTATACTTAAGTAATGCAGCATAATTCGCTTTTCTTTACTTCGCCAAAAACACGGATAAAATTATCGTTCAAATCACACCAATGTCTGGCGGTCCGTTCAACGATGCGTGAGGTCACACACGGCCCGTTTGACTCCGGCCTCCACGAACACAACCCCAGGCAATTGCAACGTGCTGCAATGGCTTCTGCCAGAACGAATTGGCCACAACTCCTCCACCCATGCCGGAATTTATAGCTATTTGTACACCCGGGTATGCGAATGGTCTTTCTTCCAGTTCTTCCAATGTCGGAGAAAATGTCGCGATGACCCATGGCCTTGTGGCCTGATCAGGAGATCTCGTCTCTGTCCCCGACTTTTCCGCTGGTGACGCATCGCGAGAATGTATAAGTAAGAGGGTCCGCTTAACCTACATCAAGCTCAATGTTGCTCAAGTTTTCTCGTCTCGCCGCCGTTCTCATTGCTGGGGCCAATTTGGTCACCGCACTGACCTGGCATTCGGCCGACTTCTCCTCTCTCATCAACCTTGAGAACTCAGGCATCCGGTATAAAGATAACGGCGCAACTACGCCATTAGAGACGATCCTTCACAACCATGGTGTCAACCTTGCGCGGATTCGGATCTGGACAAGCTCGAACAACACATCATATAGTTTGAGCTACGGTCTTGCGTTGGCAAAAAGGGCTCGCGCGGCAGGCATGTCGCTACTGGTTGACCTGCATTATAGCGATACCTGTGGGTTGTTTTTTTCGTCATGCAGTACAGAATTACTCAAAGATTTCAAGGGGCTGACCCCGCACATCAGGCCATTCCTTCTGGCTGGCCGACGACAGTCTCCGGGCTGAACACCCAAATTTACACCTACACACTCAATCTGGTCAACGCGTTCAACAACCAAGGCACTCCTATCTCCCTCATCCAAATCGGCAACGAAATATCAGACGGCTTTCTTTGGCCGGTCGGGAGGCTTTCCAGTGAGTCTCATTCCCCGACCACTATTACTCCCCACTGAAGAGGCAAACAAGCCAATGGATTTTCTCCCGCCTCTCAGATGCTCCATTCAGCAATCAGTGCTGTTCGAACAGCTTCCCCCAGTACCCGCACGGTCATCCATCTCGCCAATGGCTGGGACGCCTCGGCTACCAACTGGTTCTACAACTCTATCTTCATCTCAGGCCAACTATCACTGGCCGATGTCGATATTTTGGGTTAGTGAACTTGGTCAGTGTGGTCAACGACTGAATTCAGCACAGGATTTTCGTTCTACCCCTTCTATGGCACCAGCGCCACCTATTCCAACCTCCAGTCCAATCTCCAGGCACTGGTCAACAAATTCGGCAAGGATGTCATGGTCGTTGAGACCGACTGGCCTGCCTCCTGCTCCTCTTCTGTCGCTCTCAGCCAGAACATCGCTGTCTCCGCAGCTGGCCAACAGTCGTGGGTCCTTGGTATCCGCAACGTTCTTTCCGCAATCAGTGGCGGTCATGGTATCGGAATTTCGTACTGGGAGCCAGCCTGGGTGAGTCGCTCACTTTGCCCATGAAAACCCCCATCTTATGGTTTCGAGATTGGAAATGCCGGTCTGGGCTCATCTTGCGCTGACAACCTCGTTGTCGATGGCTCAGGAAACACGCGCTCATCAGTCGCAATGTTTTCAGCGAGCATGTAATTTTTTCTGGAATAAATCGGTTTATTCACGATCACATGACCTTCCGTGGGCATGCTAAGTCTATCATATCCACTCATTACATCTCCTGCTCCTGTGCGACTTGGAAATATGCAGTATACTCCTCTGGCGTCATCAAGTCGTGCTCTGCTTCTGTGACCTGTGAAAAGGGCATCGGGTTGCCGTTCACTAGGACAACTGAATGTGTTGAACAGGTAAATGGGCAAGCACTGACCATACACAATCGGGTCGTCTTTGGGTGCCTCTGGCAGCGGCTCTACTTCCATCTCCACATCTATATGACCATTTGTCAAAATCACTGGTTCCGGCTCCTCCAATTTTGGCGTCTTGTTGGGCGTGACCATCTCCTCACGCGAACGCGACCGTTTCTTGTACTCGTTCAACGAGTCAAGATACTCAGGCTGCGGCTTCCGGTCCTCCTCTTCAATGTCGTCAAAGTCTGAGCTCCCTGGCATACTCAAAGTTGGCGTAGGCTGCGCAGAGTTTTGCAATGAGGCGTAATAGTGGTCGTAATCTGCTTGTCGTCAGCGAAAGTCAAGTCAAACACAAAAACGAACGCACATTGCGACTCCGCATTGATGACCGGCTTGACATCCACCTGAGGCGTGAAGGTTATCGACGGCTTCTGATCCTTCCCGTTCTTCATCCCAATAATACCCAAACCCCGTAAGATATCGTCGTTGGAGCTTCCACCCGCTCCAGCCTGCATCATCTCCGCCTCTTTTGCCGCCTCACGAGCCTGTTGCTCGGTTCCCAGCGCCGTAAGCTGCCCCGAGACCGTACTAACACGATGCCACTCTGGCAAAGTGTTCTGCTGTCGTTTCGCCTGCGCCTGCTCGTCCCGTTCTCTTCGACGTGTGGCCTCGTCTTTGTCTGTTGAAATGAGGACACCAATGCCCACATCTTCAAATTTGACACCGTCAGAGCCGGCAATTTTGAGACCGGCCCCAGGCGTCGCTTCAGCTTGTTTCTCGGTATCGGGTTGATGAGCCTTGACCCAAGTTGCAACATCAAAACTAGTTGTTGGGTCAATAAAAACATGCCACAGAGCAAGACATTACGCACGCAGGCATCGTCATGTCCTCACTCTTCTGCAGCCCTGCACGAATAAACCGCATCTGGTGGTTGAACCGTTGCATCCGGTCTTTGTTTCCCAATACACATTCAGCCTCCTCGTTGTCGATTACTTCGGCATGGCATATCTCGCATATAAGGGCGTTCAACGTCATGTCCATGAGCTTGTCGACTTCCAGTGGCGTGTACGAGGCTTTGCATTGAGGGCAAATGTAGCCCTTGTTGTCAAGCTCCTGGCAAAGAGATTGAGATATAAAAAACGAACGAACAATAGAAGCCCTACATTCCTAGCCTTGGTGTCGATTTGCTTTCTCATTCGCGCTATTCTCCATTTGACAACGTTGCAGAAATGTTCGTAGTCGATGTAGTAATATTGCTTCGAGGTGGCACGCTGGGCTCCTTCACGAAGTTCATTTTGCCGGTATCTAAAAGTGATTCAGTCGAAAGGGGTCGCAGAGCGCAAAAACTAGGCGTACATTTGTACAAGCCTATCGTTGGAAAGCGTCGCGATGATCTTGTTCAGTTCTTTGGGCTGGAGACCCATCCGACTGGCCAAGTCATCGTCCTTGAGGCTGTTGCGATAAGCAAACGCTCCAAGAAGAATGTTTGCGGGTCATACACGGTGTGCCTCGCGAGCTGGTCCATGATAATGGTGTATTTGGGCTCGTAAAATGCCCGGGAAACATGCTGAACAAGCAGCCGAAGCGTCTCGCGATCTTCCGTCGTCAACATTGCCAGCTGTGCCTCCCGCGTCACCAGTTATGCCCCGCGGGGCTAGCGAGTATCGTATTGCCACCAAAGATAATGCGTTGGCGAGAGTTTTGGTGGGTGGTGGGCGTGCAGAGTCAAGAACAAAACGTCACCTGTCACATTCGGTTTCTGCCTGTTTCTGCTGTCGTTTGCGATGGACCAAGAGTCCTTCCGACGCCTTCTAGCCACCCAATCTGCTACCGGTGCAACCAAGCATGCCAACCAGTCGTTTCAGAAATCGCGTGGCTCTCTGTTTCCGTCCACTTCGACAAGCAAGACTGTCTCCGCGTCTGAACCCGCATTCAAACCCCGCAAATTGAAAAAGGCTGACGAGGGGGCTGATAAATACCGAAATCGAGCTGCAGAGCGGAGAGACGGGCAAGGGAACGACTATGCTCAGGTGGAAGCGATTCTGACAGACCTGGAAAGGCGGCAAGGCCCAAATAGGCCCGTAACCGACGAGCAGCGGCGCCTCCTGGGCGGGGACGGCGAGCATTCCATTCTAGTCAAGGGCCTCGATATGGCTCTCCTCGCGCAAAACAAAGCCAAGGCAGCCTCCTCCGCCGCGGTTGACGACGAGTCGCTTGAGCAAGCCTATAACCACGTTTCGGAGCCTTCAACTGCACCTGCTACTACTGGGAAGAAGCGCACACGCGACGACATAATACGCGAACTAAAGGAGAAGAAGGGTGGAAATACGGCCAGCCAGCCACAAAATGCATTGGATTCGAAGTTCAAGCCTATCGGATTCAAACCTATTGGGAGCACGGACGATAAGAGGAAGAAGAAGGGCTTAGAGGGAGACAAAGACCGGAAGAAAAAGAAACGGAAAGTAGAGGCTGAAACCACGAAACCAGAGTTATCGCAAACGACGTCAACGTTACCACCCAAAACCGACGTTCCATCGCTACCTCCACCTGAAGAAGATCCAGATGATGATTTCGACATATTTTCTGGAGTAGCAGAGTATAGAGGGCTCGACGACAACGACATGGCCGATGAAGACAAAACGACAACGGACGAAGTATTGCTACCTCCTCCCGGGGCAAGAGGCTGGTTTGATGACGGACCTCAAGAAGAAGAGACATCCATACCACCAGCTTCTACAAAACCACCAATAGAACCAATACCTCCGCCTCATGAGCCCGATATCGACGAAGAGGAGCAGCCAATGCGACTTGTTCCACTTGCGAGTTCTGCGATGCCGTCCATCAGGGACTTTCTCTCAATGGGCGAAGAGTCGGGGAGCAAAAAGAAAAAGAAAGGAAAGAAGAAGAAAAAGGCAGGCAAGGGTGATAATGACGACGACGAAGATTGAGATTCTGGTTGCTTAGTTGGCTTTGTGGATCCAAATGATAAGCCCAAGGGTGGATGCTTGTGCAGCAGTTTGACACATTGTCTTCAAACATCATCTATTCAAACCAAAAGACAGGCCAGCCAGAAGATGAGCAAAGTTACATGAGTACACAATTGTTAGGTCTGTCCGGGGGAGGCAAGCCTGGGGATCGTGGCGGTACGAGTCTGCGCTCTATCTCTTCAAGACAGAGTTCAAACACTTTCACTATTAATGTTCAGTGTCGCTAGAAGACTGGAACCATATATATACCGATGTCCCCATGCACCATCGCGCTTGCCTCTGTCCACGCGCATTGCGTTTCGTCGGCGAGGGTCTGACCGTCTGTTGAGCTGACCTTGCGGCTACGATTCGAATGGGGGAGAGTTGGGAAGAAGAGAAAACACGACAATGTGAGACCATAGACAAGGAGGGCAAGACGAGATAAACCACGGACAACCCACCTCATAACCAGATCGGCCTTTGAGCCGACAATAACCGCGGGGACTGAGCCCGGAGGAAGACCACAGAAATCAAGAATCTTGTCGTAGATGGTGCGAACCATGTCAAATGATGTCTTCGACGTAATCGAGTACACCAATACGTAGCCGTGTATTCCTATGGCATATTGCGGGGGAAGTTGTGAATACTCGTCCTGTTAGAGGTTGTGAGGATCTACAGGCAAGCTTGTTTGACGTACATACCTGCCCTGCCGTGTCTATGATTTCACATGGGTACTCAACGCCGTTCAGCGTTATAGTCTTGTGCGAAGTCATTGACGTTGTAGGGTAGTAGGATTCAGAGAAACGATGGTCGACGAGCTGCTTGATGAGCGAAGACTTGCCTTTGGAGGGTGGGTGAGTCAGCGAGAGGAAAATTTGCAAGAACGAGTTGCAAACTAACCCACAGACCGAGACCCCAGAACAACGATCTTGCGACGGTTGAGTGAAATGCGTGCAGCCATGAGCCCGTGCAGCAGCTGGGGAGGGGGAAGGTAAGTGGACAAGTCGGCGCCGTGGTTGGGAGAAAGAGAGCGACGGCCATCCATCAATTTCATTCTGCATATTACGAGAAGGAGACTCTACTTCATCACGGACTTCATAGACTTTGAGCGAAGGGGATCAAAGCTAAACTTATAGCGCAAACAGGGCCGATCCTTCCATCGTAATGAGTACATACATATGTCGGCTTGTTGAGTTAGGCAGAGACCGGTAGAACTGCAATTTGCGTTATCACTGCGTATTATAGAACCAGGCGCCAGGAAGCTTCAGCTTCACCATATACGGACCAAGTCTTTACACAAAACCTGAGAGGAAGCGTTCCTTCTTAGTCGTTATTTACTGCCGGCCACCTCAGATTAGCTTGAACTCTTCATTGGTCTATATACTATAGATCAAGACAATTAGGCGTCACTGCAAACTACAAAACTTCATGCAACTAGGCGTCACAGCAAAAACCCGGGAACAAAACTTCAAGCATGGAGTTCAAAACAGTTACTGCACATCCCCTTCGGTTTGAACGGGTTCTGCTTAAAGTCTGCGCAGCCATTGGCGCTAGGTCCATATGCTTCAGACAGTTCTGTCGCACTGTCGAACGGAGACCGGTCATAACCACTGCTCTCCGAGGAGGCGGAAGCGGACAAATAGCCCCCGCCGCTACGGCCAACAGAACCGAAGCCTGATGCAGAAGGCGGTCGAGAGCCAGGTCGACGTTCAGGAATTCGGGGACTGGCTGTTGTCATCGCTGTCGCTGAACGACGTGGGGGTGGCGGCGGAGCCTTCTTTCCCCCGGCCAAATCACTCGTTGTTGACCTCCGTGGCATCGGTGGGGGCGAGAACGGCGTCTTCTCGTCATCATCAGCAACACTACTGACAATGCTGGCAGCATCAGAGCCCCCATAGAATGGGCTGCTTGTGGTCGGTGACAATACCGCCATCGGCCGACCATAGTGTTCATAATCGTCCTCGGTTTCAGGGTTGTCATCTTCAGATTCGAGATTCAGTCCTAATCCATTCGGGCGTCTTGGAAGTGGAGGAACATCTGACGAGATCGGCTCCGTATAGGGAGTGGGGAAAAGCCCTTGCTTTCCGTTTAGCTCTCCCATCCACCACCCGTCGAGGACTTCATTGATAACAATGATTGTGTCACCAACGTTGAATGACAGCTCGTCTGAGCCACCAGAAAAGTCGTACAACGCCCGAACTGTCTTGCGGTTTGCCAGAGACGCAGAAGGAGGCTTGAGAATGCGGGATGGAAGTTTCGGAGTCGTTTGTCCCTTTGTTGACGATGCAGACTTGCGCCGACCAAGCCCTGCAATTCCACTGCTGTCTGATTCACCGCCGGGTCCAGAAGAGTCGCGGTCCGGGTCGTCTGTTAAACTCGCAAACGCGTCCTTGTCCTTGTTTTTCCTACCCCGGCCCGTAACCGAGCCGACAGCAGTTGATGCCCACCCAGCAACACTGAGCCGTCGTTTGTCACCGCCAGCAGTACCCGTACTATCTGAGCGCTTGCGAGAAGAGCGTGAAGCAGGGCGAGAAGGTGGCCGACTTGGTGTGCGTTCAGATTCATCTTCAGATGAAGAAGAAGGTCTTGGAGGGGGAGCTGGCGCGGGCGTAGAAGACTTTCGACGCGGAGTACTCGGTTTCTGTCGCGGAAAACTGGGCGTATGCTTGCTAGAGTTTGGATCAGCGGATGAATAACGCGGAACACAACACCCACTCTCCAGGCCAGTTATCCTTCGTTTCCTTCAATGTCTCCAGATACTGTTCCACGAAGTTGATTTGCAGAGTCAGGAATGCGCCGAGCTCGCGCAATTGGCCAGTTTCATTCTCTTGAATTGCATGCATATGAGCCTCAACTTCGTCGGTGGTTTCCTCACTGACGGGGTCAGAACACAACAGGGGTCCAGGTTGTTCAGCTTACTATCGCATTTTAGCGTGGTTCATATCCTCCTCAGCATCTCTCCGCTCCCGATCCTTGTCCTTCTTGCCATTCTTCAGCTTCTCATACTTGGAGATCGCCGCGTCGTAACTCAGACTGTTGTAGAATTAAGTAGTAATTGACACGACCACGGAAAAGCCCACCGTCTACTGTCAAGCTTCTTTCGCAAAGCCTCATACTCTTTGACATCATCCGCGAACCGCGTCAAGGAGCTCATAAAGTTATCCGCGAATGATTGAGCGTAGCTTTCCTGGAACTTCGCGATTTTACATTGCGCTCGACCGAGAGAGACCAGAGCTCCGCCTAGCGGTCGCGTGAGCTTCCGATTAAACTCCTTGAAATAGCTCGCACGAACCAAAGGGAGAATCTTCCCCGAACTCTTCACCATGAATAACCATGACGATGCCGAGCGTTTCAATAGGCAAGAGCTTCTCTGAGTCGTCGAGGGCGGCATTGTCTTTTCGCTTTGAGAGCGCTCGATGGTATGCTTCAGAGGCGAGAAACAGCCTGGGGGCCGAATAAGTGACAATGCTTGGAGTACACGACCAAACGAGCCTGTGGGCGCCGTCTCTCCTTCGTTCCACATCCTTTTCGAGCTCCTTGAACTCGTCTGAGACGGTTGTCTTGTCCTTAGATGTCGAGATGACTTCTCCTGCCCACTACGAAAAACATGAGCAAAAGTGGCCTGATTTCGCCGTCGTTGCTTGTTATGCTCACTTGTCTGAGTTTTCCGAGCTAAGAAGGAGATAAGCAGGTCGTAGTCAAGAGAGAACACCATGGGGTACGTACTTGTTTACTGGCCATGGAGAATGTGTGGGGAAGGGCGGAAGAAAGGGATGAATTTGCGCATCATACGATTGCGGACAAATTGGGAATAGTCGACAAGGCACGCGCCAGTGTCTTTCGTGCCACTGTTGGTCTTCGTTCAAACTATATTGACATCGACGACCCCCCAAGTAAAGTTAGACTCAAAACCAAGGCAGCTCGCCACCGAGAATGTTGCGCTTCGTCGACTGGACCGAAATGACCGCTGACGCATCAATATCACGTAAGCTGTGCAACTTTGCTGCTGCCCAACACTTTCAAGTTTCAAGGAGAAACGCGTAACTTCAAACAGACCTGATTCCTTGCTTGCAGCTGGTGCTCCTCCTCACGCCTGTCTCAGAATTTCTGACCGTCATGTGCCTCTCAAGCTTTAATGCTGTTCTGTGCGGGTACAGGTGGGTAGCTAAAAAAAGCTTCGACATTCTTTTATTCTCCATGAACATTTCCTCCCGATCAACACACTGGGAACCCGGCTCGTCCCGATAATGCACTTATAAACCTGCAGTACCCGTGCTAGCATTCAATATCAACTCGTAAATGTCCTCGAACGAGAAGCTCGACAGACAAGGAATCTTCATGTCCAATGCGATGTATGTCCCTCCAAACGAGGCTTTTAAATTTCAGCACACTCATCTGTGTAGGGGTGGACCCATAATCGCACCTGCTCCATTGGAACAACTCAGTGCCATCCTCGACGCCGGTACTGGGACTACTGGATGGCTCTCGGAAGTGGCCTCTCTTCCTGGTTTACCCACCTCGACTGAATTACACGGCATTGATATCAACAATGCACGGTTTCCCCACCCACCCATGACGCAAGACGGCTCCCGACAGTTATACCTCGACGTAATTGACCTGACTGAGCCTCTGCCCGAGAAATACCACAACAAATTTGACCTGGTGAATGTCCGCCATGTCGTAACTTGGCTGGATCCCACTCAGTGGGATATTGTCTACCGGAATTTTCTTACTGCTCTTAAGCCGGGGGGCTTTGTGCAGGTATGGATCGCATGGGTGTTTGCTCCCGGTATCCAACTGGTTGATATTTTGAATCTTGTTTAGGTCCAAGATACAAGAATGACTGTCCCAGAAGACTTTGCCAAATATTCTCCCGGAATTAAGAAATATGTTGGTACAATGGCGAAGTGAGGATCTGTGCTACTAACCTTGGTTAGAGCTCAATTGCTCCAAATTAGGGTCTTCACTCTCGACTCACCCGCGCAAGTTGAGATTGCTCGGATTCTCCCGTTGCTCCCGCAACATCTACCGACCCTCGGCTACACGGATGCTTCTCAAACCATCTACCCACTCCTCTACGGAAAGCTGCAACCCGATCCTGAAGTGCGCAAAGCCGGTATTGCACAAATGATGGGCTCAGCGCGTGGTTTCCAGGCCCGCGGCGCAGGCTGTGAAGGGGAGCGACTGAAGAACATCGTGGATGGCGTCATATACGAGGTCCCGGCCTCCTTCGATGGTCAGTCAGTTTCACAAATTCAATTCTCCGATTGACCTTGATCAGAGTGGGATGCGTTTATTACGGAATCCGAGCACACATTCAACGAAGAAGGTTGGGCGTTACCAATGAGAATAACAGTGGCTCGGAAGCCCCAATAAGATGTCAGCACGTCGCTGTCTATTCATCCAATCAAGCGCATCACAGCCGCATCAGTTGGCGCATCAGATGTATCGGACAATCAATCTGTTCTTACATAATCTACATATTCCCTCTTCTTCTCCTCCGATGATCCCTTTGAGAGACTTGCTTCGCAACAGATGACAGCTTGCCAAAGCGAATCAATTTCTACTTCTCCACGTCTGACAGCCAGTGACAGGCCTCGCTTTGATTATCGAGGGAAGAACAGGCCTCATAAGGCAGTTTTCTGTGTTCCGTGGCCACGACTCGCGTCTTTCGATAATGGGATCAGCGTCCAAGCCAGAGTCACAATGCGAGGGTGGTGAGAAAATACAATGAGGACGGCACGGTGTGCTAACATGAAGGGGTAAGTGTCCCACGGGCCTGCTTTTGGTAACTCCCGCGTTCTTCCTGAAGGCTAGAAAAGCATTTCAGCCAAAATGCGGCACTACACAACTCGGACTCATCGCTCTCGACTCGCAGCTTACTCCAGCTCACTTCTAAACAATGACCAAGGCTCATTCCACCAAGTCCCGGTCGGCAACTCGCCATTGTCGAGGTTCTTCACCATGTCTGTCCATCCCCCTATAACGCGTCGCGTCACCCTAACATTTACAAACAGACTTGGGTGATATAATCTACAAGAAGAAACCCTCCGATGGCCACATTCGACGTCCTCGAAACGCGTTCATTTGCTATCGATCGTGGTTTGTCGCGCAAGCCAAGGAGGCAGCAGCGCAACCAAAGTCACTCGACCAAACTACGCTGAGCCAGAGCGCTGCCATTTCTTGGAAGGCATTACCCGCTCACGAGAAAGCGCGGTTTCGTCAGGAGGCAACGGAGGAGAAGGAGAGACACGCAGAGTGGTACCCCGACTACAAATACTGTCCCAATGGTCTCGGGCCTGCTCGGAAGTCGAGTTCTTCTTCTCGCAGCTCTGCCTCATCTATGAGCCCACCCCCGCCAATACCTTCCCCCAAAGTTCGCTCCAAACGCGTCGTCGCAACGAAAGTTCCGCTTCAAGTTGACGAACCAGATGTCAAACCCAAGGTTCGTTCCTTTTCAACTCGATTTTTTGCTGCTGAAATGAACTCCAGAAGGAAGAAATTCTCCCCTTCTACAGCCCTTCATCGGTCCACAAGGACCCCTCCCCATTCAAATCAACACTGCTCCCTTCGACCATCGTCTCCCTCAGCTTCGTTCCAGACGACGAGCCCGCATTTGCTTCTACTTCCCGTGCGCCTGAAATAACACCATTCGTCTCTTATGCGTCCCCATCACCACCGCCTATGCCGCAACCGATGGACAGCTTCAACTTCGAGGCGTGGACATACGAGTTCGGACTGGAGCATGAGAAAATAGACATGGACTGGGTGTTTTCTTCACCAACACCTTGCAGCTTTTACGACTCGCCGGAGCTGGAGGGCTTCAAGTCGACCCAGTGTTTCGTGGACGAATTCGGCTTGGTCGGGCTTGGATATGGTCTCGGAGTCGAACCTTCAGAAGAAGAACGCGACCAGCATCTCACGAAACTGTTGTACCAGTAATTTCTCTACTTCACACTTGTATACCTAGACACCATATGTAGCCCAAGCACAATCTGTAAACTATTCATGGAGACATTAACTGCACTCGAGTAGTGGAGGCCTGGAATCAAAGGAGTGTTCCTGTTGTGGTGCTTTCGCAGTTGATTTCTTTGCATATCGCGGCGAATTTAACAGCAGACGCAGGATAGTGATGTAGACCATTGACACCATGACTATGACTGCCAACACCCCAGCAATGCCCGAGACTATCCCAAGAAGGACGTTCGAAGGTCTATCGGAGCAACATTAATCGCCGGACAATGAGAAAGCAGCGCGGGTTCTTACTGGGAATTATTCGTCTGGCTCCCGGAAGAGTTCAACATATTATTGACTGTGCCATCCACAAGGGCATAGTCGATGGTAAAGACTGCATCGTCCGCGATGGAGGAGTCGGTAGCAAACGCGAGGGCATGTTTTCCGGGTCCAAGCCCGTCGGCATAATAGATGAGCTGGTTAGGAAGATAGTTTTCAGTGGGTGAATCCGAGATGCTTTGGTTCTCTGTGTATGATTGGATTGGGCCTCCATCCAGCTGAGCGGTAAACGGCGCCCCTTGCCCTCCGATTGCCCCGTAGACAGCGACTCTATCGCCCTGCACATATCGTCAGTCCGATCCATGTGCAGCAAAGAAAGCTTGATCAGTACGAAGAAATTGAGCAGAGCTGAAGACCCAGCTGTCCCCGCGCTGCAAAGAAGTCGTTATACATATGTGGAATGATAGGTTCAGTAACCTACTGGCCAGATCCGTCGTCGAAATTGGGCAAACTCGACATGTTTGTGCTCCAGGCACTGGGTGGGTTGTAAGCAAAAGACGTGCTATCGTCTTGTAACCGTGTGTCAATGGTAGAGTTGACTGTCGAGGTCCACGTGAACTAGAAGAATTTGCATGTGAGTGGGCCAAGTCAAAAGACCTTTGAAGAACGCTGCTTACGAAATCCAAGTCGTATGTTTGGCCGGGATTGGATGGCAGGTTGGAGATGGATACATTGTGAAGACTATCTTCGAGGGTTGTAGAGTTGAAGAGGTCAACTTGAAATATTTCTTGTGTTGATGGCAAGATAGGCCCATAGGTTTTCCCATCTAAGACGACTCTGTGCAGCACCGCAACTGCAGATTGAACGAATCAGTTGAGAGTTTATCGCTGCGAACAACAGCGGCAGTAGATCATAGATTTCTATGAAAGTCCTTCGATACTTGCGTGGGTATAACGGACAACGGTTGTGTGCATTGGTTTGGCCAAGTCTGACCCGGACCATGACGCGGCTAGTCACACTAGCCAGGTTAGTGATCACGTGCACCCAGAAACATTTGTTTTGAGTGTATTAAATCAAGTGCAAAAGTGTGTGTGGACAGGTTCAAGTGAGATGATGAGCCCCGAGTCAGAAATGGCGCGTGAGCAAGGGAGTGCGAATATCTTCTTGTTGGCTACAATAGAATAAGTACAATGAACAATAGTATAAAACAACGGGAGGAGAGAGCCTACACGTGAAGGAAGCCATCCCTTCCCTCGACCTCCCCGAGCATTATCCGATTGCTCAGCCCTTTCTCGACATCATCCTCTTCGATGTTGTGGAAAATCTTGCTCATGCCCCCCGCAGAGGCTGCCGCCATAAGCAGCCAAGGGTCGTTGGGGTCAAAGTCCGCGTTTGTTAATGGGATGCCGCGATTGTAGAATTGGGCAACGATGGCGATTGCAATGGACAATACGCTGAACGCGAGGATGGGCATTAATACGAGAACACTGGCAATTCCATCGTATTCGTAGCCTATCGTATGAACGATGACAGTCCCGTTGGTCGGTCGCATAACGTCTTGTGAGGGCTTGGGACCTAGATTTCCGGCTAGAGTGAGGAATTGCGTTTTGATAGCCTATGTAGAATATTAGTTGGATGGACAGAGTAAAGGAACGACATACTGTTCCTGTGAATTCGACGATTCCAGTGATATAGGCTTCCTATTTGTTGTGAGTAGCGTTCGCTTGCCAACCAATAAGAATCATACGCACCAATAGCGTCCCGAGAGACAAGCCCTGCTGTTGATCGAGGAATATGGAGAGTAACGAGTCACCGATGCTGTTGAGCAAAGTACTTTGAGCATAGGTAAACCCCGACTTCATAGCTCGGGTTGCTGCAAAAGCGATGGGCCCAGGATTGATGGGGATGGAACCCGGCGCAAAATCAGCGCTGACCAGACTCAAATCTTTGCCCGTGTAGTTTGCGACCATGTTCTGGATCTGCGGTGTGACGCTGCAGACATGGGAAATGTTCGAGTAGATGCCTTGACCAAAGACGATAACATCTAAAGCATTCATATTGGAACTAACCGCAAGTGAAATAGAAAGAGATGACAAACCAAAGCTTTTCTGAGCAACAATATTCTGACTCGGGACTTGACATCCAACCATGAAAAGCGAGTCAGCAGTGTCCGCTCTGGTGACGGCATCTAGATATTATGCCAATGAGTGGTGGAAACTGGACCAATGGCTCTGGGACGGACCTGATGAATCTTGGCCAACAGAGCAATCGGTCGAAACATTCCACAAGGTAAACCCACCCGCCAATGCCTGCGACGTGCGATGAAGTGTTGGACGACTTCTATCGCTGAGCACCATTGGAACACACGAAACATTGGCAGTAAGCCCTTGCTGGCTCATGACAAGGGACATATCTGATCGGGCTACGCCAGCTTGCAGTGGTGCGGTATTCGAAACGATGCGAGGCGAGCGCGTTGCAGCATCCATCGCCGAGTCCTGAAGGCGCACGGGCAGTATTCCACCTAAACACGCAGACATGTCACACTATCTTATCTTATCATGGAGTAACTTACGAGTTGATGTCCTATGGGCATAGCCACCGAAGTCGAGGAAAACAGGATAACCTGCTTTTGCGGTCGATGAAGCAGCGCCGCTAGCATCGACGAATGAAAGGAGGGTCGAATGGACTGCGCTCAGGTGAGCAATCATGACTTCAATTAGGTTAGAAACATACGGTAATAATCGATGGTTCCGTTGTTGAGCAGGGTGTTAACTGTGCTTTGTAGCGCGGGACTGGTGAAGTCGAATTCACGTCCAATTATTGGGACGATTACAGAGATAGGGTTTGGCGTGAGGAGAGACGACCAGCTAAACAAAATATGACCAATTTTTTTTTAACAAAAAAGCGGGTATTGAAAAAGCGCAACTTACCCAGGGGTCTGGCCCAGTGAGACGATGAATATAGCCCCACTGATGGCGACCCACTTATAGTGGCGGTTCAGAATAAGTGACTTTCTTGAGATGATAATGCCGTGGCCGAGGGTAGAGAGGGACAAGGGACGTGTCAAAGAGACCAGAATAGCGTGTCGTACTGCCTGGGTAAAGAGACTCCACGAGTTCAAGATCAATTAATACAAAACAAGACATTCAGCTTACTAGGAGGAAACGAGGGCAAGTGCATTGGCCAGCAGCGTAAACACGTAGCTCTTGACCTGGGGATTAGCAGTGAAGAAGTCCGCGGCGTCTTGCGTCAACGGAATTTGGCCCCTCGAGCGAACACTAGCAAGGAATCCAAAACACAACAAAAGAAGTGCGAGTTGGCCAAATATGATGTACAGTGGCCATGCGATACGACTATAAAGCTTTGGTTCAAATCTGGAATCTTCGTCCACAAGATAACAACGAACCTAGTGATGTGGTCTGATGAACCCCATGAATGGCTCCTCTTCTCTTGACGGAGGGTAGTGCCAGCCTGGGCCATTGCGCAGCAATAGGGCGGAGAAAAGGATCGCCAGACATCGCCTATGCACAAGTGTTTTATGCAACTGGCCAGCGCTTAAAGTGGTCCTGGGAGTTGGACATGAGAGCAACAGCCGACGCCAAGGACATGTGTGCCCGGAGCCGAGATTCGAGATTCAGAAGAGAGACTTTCATCCACCCACAGAAGATCCCAGTCCAATTACTGACGTGATTAGGGGCCTAAGAGGATGAGTGGATCCAAACCCAGAAGAAACATCGAGAGAGACCCAAAGAGTGGACAAATCAATTCATTGGAAGGGAATACTGACGAGTCCGGGCGAAGCTCGGCCAGTATCGGTTTGTCAGAGAAGGATTCTCATGATGTTCCCGATCAGATCGTCTCTGCTTATTGATGTTATTATGATTTGTCGATTCGTGCAGATTTCTCCGCGCGCTTGAATTCGGAAACGGTATTTGGTTGTTCGTCAAGTCGAGCCTTCTACATCGACAAGATTCTATTGCGTCAAGATGTAAGATCAAAGAGCAAGTTTCTACCCTTTCCCAACCCTTTGAAGACAGCGCTGAGAGTTGCATAAGGCGGGGATTCAGAGCAGATTGGCAACACGAGAGAACTATGTTGGTCATTCAAAGATCGAGTTAACAGTACGTACAAAAGCATTGTAAGCGAAGTTTTCGAGGAGCTAGTGCGATATTTCATTGACCGTTTTTTTTAACGGATTCAGCAACGAGCAACCAGTTACAGTGGTCTTCGATGTGGGGAGGCTGGGCCGCAGTGACCGAACTTTGTTAGCGGCACAAAGTTGGTGAGGCGTCGCAAAGATTCCTTTCCTAAGTAAGGTGTGTCGAGTCTGGTCAACAGATATTTTGCTTCTTGTGGTGGTGTCTGAATTTTGAACGAATCGAGACGTGGTGACTGTGACTGTCACGGCGCTGTCACGCGCCGCTGACGCGGTTGTCTCTGACTCTCTCTCTCCCAATGCTCCAAATTTGCCGCGCTGAGGACGGTCATGTCTTCCAGGTTCTCTCTATTAGCTCAAGTCTAAGTTTTGAACCTGAAGCTGACCAACACAAAGGTAAACGCGGGCGTACGGGACATCGAACGGTGGTGTTTCTCTTTACCTTCTTGTTTGTCAACTAACACAGATCAGGACCGGCAGTCTGGAGCTCTTCATCCAGCAAGAAACCGGAATTGACCAGCAATACATACTTGCATACCTTCCTGACGGGCGACGATTGACGAATGCCAATTTGAGGGAACTGAGTGGGTCGCAAACACAAGTACGCAATTACCATCCCACAGCACCTCATTTCACTCAATTTTCCAGTCCATATTTGTTTTTAATAAATATTATCTGGATCTAAGTCTGGAAGAAGTTTTGCGCGAGCTACGAATAGACGCGCCCCTGCAACCTCCCATCGAAGGTCCCTTCACACCCACCTTTTACCGACAGGACATTGCTAATCAGCTTTAGATGATATTGCTGCCACCCCTCCCTTCCGTCCTTCAATCCTTGCCTCATCCTACCTTCGTACCGCACAAATACACCGAGACCATGTCCATAACCTGCTTTCGAGCATTCATTGTCAACACGAAGCCATCCAAGTTGCTCTCACAAGTCTAGAACACAATGTGCTCCAGATAGGCGACACATTTGATAGTATTTCTACTGCGTCGCGGAGGGAGTTGGAAAAGCAAGGGGTGCTGCTCGCTGGTGTGGACAGCGACTTAATGATTATTGGCCGGGTTCGAATCCATCCCGAATTCATGTCGGCGGCTATGCGTGTGGCAATTGAAGCAGGTGAACGTCCGCGCACCTTGGGGGACTACGTATCGACGGCCAAGATGCGGTCTGTGGCCCACACTTGCGCCGACACGCATGGTTCGTGGCTGTCCAAATCTCTACTGAAATAGTGATTACGTTCAGATCAACTGCAAGCCCGCTTCTCTCAAATTGAGAGGGCAGTATCCCAACTTCAGCAAGGAACCCATTCGGTTCGGTCGGCAGTTATCAACACGAGGTGAATTGGCCACCACTCATCATCACGTCGTTGACGCCCATTCTAGTCTTTTGGATGATGCAGAGACATGCGCGAGGCGCTCGCAGGATGCTTTCGATAAGATTTCTCATAGTACTGGTGTCCTCGAAGGTATATAACTGCGTGGTCGCTGTGAACCACACTAAAACATTAGCAGGCCATGTTCCTGACCCAGATGGAGTCTTACAAGGTCCGTAGCCGCTCGGATCTCCGTGAAAAGCCTAATATCGTTGTAGAGCTTCGTCAGCTTGACTTTTCCCTCCGTCAAGAACTGCAGTTCATTGCCAATATCAAGGTAGGTCATCCCGCATGGCCTGTGCTGATTCTTTCATTGACGTTTGTAGCGTAGAACTCCTATACTCAACACTCCATAAACGCCCTAAGAACCATCAGCATGCTCAATAACGATATGGTCCAAATTCCCCCTTCGTTGGTTATTGTGCAAGCTAGCTTCCGAAACAAGAACAGCTTTCCTCATATACAACGACTGCACAATATGCTCTACGCCTATGGAGCTACAGTCATTGAGATTGTGAGGCGAAAAGAATTTTGTGAGCTTGTTTCGCCCATTTGCATGTCGACTAATATTGTACCACATAGCAAGATTCTTTTATCAGCGAGCACAAAGCATTCTTGAGGTTATGGCCAAGCTTTCGTATGTCATTGTTATTCCAGACGCTGTGCTGTTGTTGATTGTGAACCTCAGGGCCAATGAACGTAAGAGGCGGCAGGTCCATCGAGGCGAGGTCCTTGGACAACTGCCCTTCACCATTCGAGGGATGGATGATCCTGTCCCGACCATCGACTTCTCTCCCACTGGAAGCGTAGACTCGTCATACTCCCTAGAAAGAGATGATGTTGATGGTCAGTGTGATCTTCTTGCCAAACATCTCAACCAACATTCATAGGCATCGTTCGCATATTGGATGAGCTCGAAGACGCTTCCAGAGCGGAGAATGACCCCATGGCGCTCACCGCCATTCGAGAGTGTCGAATAGCCCTCGACAAACTGGTGGTTCGGATGGATGGCCTGGAAGCAAACTTCGATCGCATCGCGGAGCGTTCCTGTAAGGTGGATTAGCTAACTGCTTCCGATCTCACTCCAGTTCTCAGTGCTATCTGCTTCGCGTCTTTCCATGTCTCGAAGGCGATGTAAGCAGTCTCTTCAAAGTATCACGTGATATTCAATTTGGTTAGCCACTGAGGCCGATGAGCAAGCAATTCAAGAACTCGTACAGCAACTTCAGGAGGCTACAGATGTCCAAACGCGACAGGAATCTCTCTTCAAAGAAGAACGTTATGGAATGCAAGGTCAAATACATCGTCTGCAAGCCGAGCTTCGCGAGGCACAAGCAACAGTCTCTACTGAGCAAACCCGAGCAGAACGATTAGAGCGGGAGCTGGAGCAACTTCGTGCTCACGTGGAGACCGAGAGCAATAAGCGGAGAATTGTGGAGGATAGAAACGGTCATTTGAGTGACGACATGGAAAGCCAGCGACAAGAACTAGCTATCGCTTTGGCCGACGCAACAGAGCAGACGAAAATCGCGGAATCCCTTCGTCAAGAGCTTTCTCAAGCTCGGGCTGACTTCGAGGATGTTAAAACACTCGAGTCACGGAATGGGCAGAAAGTCGCGCTTTTACTTGAGGACCAAGCAAATAATCTGCGGCTCTTGGAGGAGGCGCGGGCGCGAGGCGAAGATCTGGAGGAGCAAATCAAGGCTGCTCGGGCTGAAAGCACAAAAGTTGACGAAGCGTTGAAGGAGGCTAGTCGGGACAAAGATAGACTCCTTCGTGCCCAGGCGACTGAGCATGATCGCATTATTCGTGATCACATTGCGGAGGCAGATGGAGATCGTGCCGTGCTTGAACGCCAGTTTCATGAGCTGAAGGCGGTCCAGGAGCATACCTTACGCCAACTGGACGGGGCTAGGGCTGAGGTTGAAGTCGCAACTGCCGATGCTCAAGGGAAACGCGAAGAGCTCGCTCGGATTGAGCGTGAGCTGCGTGAGGCAAGACATGCCGAACGTGTCTTAAGAGAAGACCTTCGAGCTGGTCGCGCATCACAGTCGAGCTTCGAACAACGGTTGGAGGATAGTGGTCGTCTCGTTGCCCAGATTCTCGATGTTGCTTTGGCTTTCCGCAACGCGCATGTTAAAGCTTTGCAAGCGACACAACTCATGAATTCCCATCCAGGCACCACCGCAAAGTCTACTGCTGGTCTCGCGGAGTCATTTTCACCATCCATTCGCCATGGTATTATCAGTCAGTTGGACGAGCCATCTCCGATCGACCCATCGGAACCGGCTACTGCCTTGGAGGTGTTGAGGTCATTTGACCACGACCACTTCTTGGAAGCTATAACGAAAACGGGCTCTACAATTCGGAAATGGCAAAAGCAGTGCAAAGAATACCGGGAGCGTGCGAAGGGCAAGATCTCATTCCGAAATTTCGCCAAGGGCGATCTGGCTCTGTTCCTGCCCACCCGAAACTCAGTCTCGAAGCCATGGGCAGCATTCAATGGTCAGTTTGGCTTCAACTAGAAGCAGGTGTATTCCGAGGTTGACCCTCTTGTTAGTCTCCTTCCCGCACTATTTTCTCCAAGCGACAGGCCATCTTGCCGAACAGCTCAAGACCCGTGAGTGGATTGTGGCACGGATAACTTCGATAACGGAACGTGTTGTTGATCATAACGTGAGTTCTTAATGAAAAGCGCAATCTCACATCGATGCTAATCGTGTGCTATTGCAGGACGCCTCTAGCAATCCATATGGCCTTGGTGACGGAGTCAAATATTATATGCTAGAGGTTGAAGACTGGACTCAAAACAATGCCCAGAATAAGCGTCGGCCGTCTTCCAGGAAAACGTCAAGAGACCAACCGCCTTTGTCTACTGCACCAGCTCCCGCGGTCCCTCCCGATCCTGCCGAAACCGAAGATACCTTCATGACGAATCCACCAGCCAGCTTACATCTTTTCCCCGTGCGAGCCCGTACAAGCTTAAGCACATCACCTCCTGTTCGACCATCTTCTCTTTCGCGATTATTAGCACAAGCCCCTTCTCCATTAGAGCCGCCTTTGGACCCGGAGCCGGAACCTTCTTCGTCCACAAATAAACCGGATTCACCGTCCTCCCCGCCACCACCGACTTCTCCATCACAACTTCAAACCGGTTTACCGGGCTCGATCCCACAGCATGTCGCCTCCCCGCTCCGACCAGGCTCGCGAGCGTCACGTATCTCAACGACATCACGATTTTCCGTCGGTCGAATACCGGGTTTGGGAAGTGCTTCATCAGGGTCCCCAGTCACCAAAGCGCCACCAACTACGGCACTAGCCGGACTTTCCGCATCACCATCTTCTCCAGACGATGCCAATCCCTTCCGGGAGTCGAGTGCGAGTACGCCATCCCCAAACGAGTCGGTGACTGAGGGTGTTTCGAATGTGTTGAGACATAGTCGACGAAGGACGACATCATATCACGTTCCGCGAACCTCGCCTCTTGCACCGAGCATTGTATCGGAAAGCACGAGTACCAGCACAGTCACGGCTCGCCCCGCAGCGTCGACCATGAATTCCAGCAACACCCTTGCCAATTTCGCGAGTAGCTGGGGTATGTCCTTTGGACGGAAGAAGAAGGCCGAAGTGGACGCTGCCGCGGTTATAGAGGATGGCGATCACAATAGAACGCTGGGAGCATCATCGTCGACAGCAACAGAAATGTTGAAGCGATTTTGATGTTCTCTGTGTGCTTCATGCAGTACGGCTTCTTTCCTTCCCACTTGGCGTTCGGGCTCAATCTGTCCGCGTACTTAGAACGTAGTTCCCCGCATATCACGTAGGAATCTGAAGTTACTCTATTTTGTGGGTATCATAATGTTGAAGAGCTTATAGTATTCCAGGGGTGGCGTGGACAGAGTGGACGGTTTGAGTCCTCTCGGAAAAACATGTCAGGCTCGATCGGGCGGCGAGGGTAGGCGGGCAAACCTCGGAGCAGTGTCGCGCGTTTCATCGCATTTCATTTACCCCACATTGCTGGGGAATTCTCGACGAATTTGTGGAGGAATATGGGGCCACAACGATAGGAGCAGGCACCATGCACTGGTGTGTTTGGTCTCTGGTTGAATGGAAAGTTTTTTTTTTTGCAGGAACAAGCGGGACAGACGATGATTTTTCCACGACTGGTTCCGAATATAGTCGGGTGTGTCAAGTGACCTTCCCCTTCGGGAAGACCCGTCAACGCGCCTCGTCGCGGTTGCGGAGTACCTCTGGAGAAACTTCTTCCATTGAGATTGTCAGCTGTACATAAAAACCCACACCCCAACACGGCAATGTTTCCTCAGGCGTATCTTCTTTCCGCCCCCCCTCATCGAACAACATGGTCGGCGGTGCTGCAGCGACTGCAAGTGGCGTCAATGCCTACACCCACCTCATGGACCCCAACCGCAAGTGGTACAACAACAGGCGGCTCATTGTCCTCAACGCCTGGATTGTCCTTCTGCTCATCACGTCCTCGACCAACGGCTACGACGGCTCCATGATGAACGGGTTGCAGTCCTTGACACAATGGGAGAGCTACTTCAACCACCCGACCAAGGGAAAACTCGGGCTGCTCAACGCTATTCAAGTGAGTTCTTCCTTGCTTCCTTGCCTCGCAACCGTACCCATCCTCGAAATAGAATATTGGTGGTCTCGCTGGATACCCCTTCGCCCCCTACATGTCTGACGGTATTGGTCGTCGCAAGACCGTCTTTTTCGGCGCAGTCATCATGTGCATCGCGACCGCCATTCAAACGGCCTCGCAATCTGTTGGCATGTTCATTGGCGCTCGGTGCGTGTCCACCGCAAGAAAAAAGTTCCAAATATACTCACCAACACACTCTACAGTTTCCTTATCGGTTTTGGCCTTACCTTCGCTGGTGCGTCCTCGGCACCAGTATCCTATTTTTTGCTGAGTTTCATCTTTTTTTTTTGAATAGCTAATGCCGCGCCGATGTTGGTTACCGAGCTCTCTTACCCCAAATATCGTGCCCCACTCACTTCGACCTACAACTCCCTCTGGTACTCTGGCGCCATTGTGTATGTTTGGTTGTTGGTCCCTTGCTTCTTCCGCTTACCAGCGCTCTATAGTGCCGCCTGGGCCACCTTCGGTACTTTCAAGATCAACAGCACGTGGGCGGTTCGTTTGTTTCTTGCGAAAAGGTCTTGGACAGTCGCTTATATTCATATTTAGTGGCGAGTACCCTCTGTCCTCCAGGCCCTTCCTTCCGTGCTCCAAGTCCTCCTCGTTCTGTTCGCGCCTGAGTCTCCCCGTTGGCTCGTCAGCAAAGGTCGCGAAACAGAGGCACTGAAGACCTTGGCGTACTACCATGCTGATAGCAACGAGTGCGTGATTCTCCCACCTTGTCTTTCCCCCGCCTGACCAATTTTTCGTCAGGGATGACCCGCTTGTCAAGTACGAGTTCGAAGAGATCAAGGCTGCGCTCGAGTTCGACCGCAATGGTATGTCGTTTTTTTCATCAGCCGCATCATTCACGGTCTCACCACCACATGCAAAAAGTTGCTGCCAACATCGGCTGGAAGTCCTTCTTCACAAGCGCGGGCAACCGCAAGCGTGTCCGCATCATTGTCGCGATCGCCTTCTTCTCGCAGTGGTCTGCCAACGGTCTCGTGTCGTACTACCTCAACAAGGTGCTCGACTCCATTGGCATCACGGACCCCACCATCCAGCTGCTCATCAACGGCATCCTGCAAATCTGGAACTTGGCCTGGGCCCTCGCTGCCTCCTCAATGGTCGAGCGCTTCGGCCGTCGTCTGCTGTTCTTGTCGTCGGTTGTGGGCATGACTGTCTTCTTCACGCTGCAAACCATTTGCACGGCCCGATTCAGAATCGACGGTGACGACAACGCGGCCCATGCGGTCATTGCGTTCATCTTCCTTTACTATGCCGCATACGACATTGCCTTCACGCCCCTCATCGTCACCTACACGCTGGAGATTCTGCCCTACAACATCCGTGCCAAGGGCTTCACGATCTTCAACTTCACCATCTCGTGTGCCCTCATCTTCAACCAATATGTCAACCCCATCGCCATGGGTGAGTTCTGTTTGGATTTTCGAGTTTCTTACTCATTGCTTGCCAGACAACATTGACTGGAAATACTACATCGTCTACTGCGTCTGGCTCGTGTTTGAGGGTGTCTTCCTCTACTTCTTTATCCTCGAGACCAAGAACCGCACCCTTGAGGAAACTGCCGCGCTCTTCGACGGTGACAGCGCTGCCGAGCACATCGTCGCTGACGCTGCCGACCACGCCGGCGTCAAGCACGACATTGGCATCGTCCACGACGACGATGATGAGAAGGTTACTGACGAGAAGGCCTCGACATAATTTTCTGGCTCTCCAACTCAAGGACCGGACGCGGGCGCGGGCTGGCTCGACTCTTATAATAACATCTCCCTTTTATGACTATTCACGCATCTACGCTGAGGGGGCACAGTGGGAAGTTAATTCGCTGTAGTTTCCGACCGCACGCTGTATTTGTAAACCAAGCAAAAACCATTTTTTCCCTCTCTCCCTCGAGCAGAAGCTTCGTGGAATGGAAAATGCCGAAATGGGTATGCTTGGCCTGAGAGTGATCCGCCTGGGGATCTGCATCACATGGCTGCCAGTGGTCAGAAGGCAGCGGACGTATGGCTCGTTCTGAGCTTGACTTGCGACCAAACGCTACTTTGCATGAAGCGCGGAGGGCAGTAAGCATGGTGATAATTGATGGAGACCACGAATTAGGCCACATGAGCGTGCTCGTGACGTTCAATTGCTTGACCAAAACTTCCATGGACTCGAAGCGGCCCCTTACCGGATGACAAGTTGCTCGCGAGTTGAATTCTCCGTCACTGCTTACAGCAGCCAAACAGCGCACCGACATCGATCACGACGAAAGTGAGGACGAGATTTTGCTCTCACGACGGTGGGGCTCGGAGGGCAGGTGGTAAAAGCTAGAGGCGTTACTGATACTCAGCTTGTAGTTGTACCGATCAACGAATTGAACGTTATCGCTATCTTATCTTGATGTTAACTTATCGTGTCCGCAAATTGGAATGCCACCTTCGAAGAGGAATCAGATTCAATAAATACAATTGGGTGCTTCAAGTTTGGTTGCAGTGATTCAGCAATAGCCCTTCCTGCGAGGTGGATCGGTCAGCCCAGATATGGCAATCTGTTCCCATCACGTGGTGCTAAACCTCTGTAGTTGCCTCTTCGTCGTTGACTCGGTTGAGCAACTCTCCGACTCTCAATATGTTCAAATAGATCTAGAACGCATTTGCGGGGTCACTTGATGTATTTCGTCTGTCGTGCAGGGGACCGACAGTGGTCGCAGTAAGTGCAGGGGACCGACCTAAAGAAAGAACAACGATGTCTACCAGTAACTCGTCGCATGGCGCGCTGTGGCTTGTATTGGATAGGTACGTGTCCATTGATACTGTGTGGATAGGTCCCAAAAAACCTCAAACTTGAAAGATCCAATGAGACGATTATGAAAAAGGCGCTCTGCTTCGAGTCGGTATGCTTCGTTTTCGTCCCCTATATTGTTCACGCTAACAGTTTTAGTTCTGACTACCGCATTTGCCTCAGCACACATGGACCACTTGTTATTCATCCCGGCCTGCTATTTCGTGTCTCCTCTTCACGCGTTGCAAATGCTAGCGTTGTCCTCGTTCCGGTACACGTCGCGGAAGCCTCAGGCTACCAGTGGCGTTAAGGCTACTCACCCAATCGTGCAGGACGCGGTTGCAGACGATTTGTGACAGTTTGGCGCTCGCCTTCTGGGTCCTATATAAAAACTTGACCAGTGTTTCCGACCGCAGCAAGAAATTACACCTTCCACCACATTCGTTTATATCAAATCAACATGGCAAGACCCCAAGGTGTGTGTTACCCCACAGCTCACAATTTATCCAGGCTCATGTCACCGCAGCCCTTCAGTGCCTGGTTCTTTGCCTGCTTATTTTTGCCACGCTGAGCTACGGTTCTGTGAACTTCCCTCAGTGTTTTTCCGAAATCCGCAACGGAGACCACGGCTTGGATGGTCTCACCGACAACAACGGCAACCCCACAACAGACCTGACTCGCGGCACTGCTGTCACATACAAGAGATGCGTCGAAGTCTGCGGAGGAGGTCAGTTTTACCGGCGTTCCAGCATCAAGCGCAGGCTCATCAATTGTCAGGCGGTGGCGCTTTTTCGTGGTCCTCGTTCTCACAACAGTTCTCCGCGTGGCTCCTTCCATGGCTCGCTTTGCTTTCCCAATTTCCATTTGTAAGTGGATTTTTATTCGCTTGTTGGGTGTGGATTGAGACCTTCCAGGGCTGCCGCGAAAGATGGGACAACTTTATGTCCATCTTTCTCGCTCTCGGTAGTCCGTGTCTCGCGGCGTATTCGCTGGCCCTCACTATCCTCAATGTCAAGTGGGTCGTCCATCGATTCCACAATGTCAGATACCCGAACAAGGACTGGGCCATCGTCATCCTTTCGAACCTGCAGCACATGCCGCTCAAAGTAACGAGAAGCTTTACAGCCGCGATTAACCAGCAAGACGTTGAATACCCGTTGTTGGCCTCCCTCATTGTTCTTCCTGACAACGATGCATGGTGGGAGAAGCTTGAGAGGGACCTCAACTACGCAGACCCTCATACCTGGTCGATTGCGAGTATGTCGTTAGCTTACATCCCGTGATCCGTGCTCACCTTGACAGGCGTAAGTTCGATTGCATGGGTCATTGTCGCGTACACTCTGACTGTTGTCGATGCATTCACAACTGTCTCGAGTGACCCCAACGAAAATGGGCAGGGACTCTCTGGCGTTGGGAGTATCTGGCTATGGATGATCCCCGTCACTATTGGTGAGTGTCGAAACGAACCTGTTTGCTCCACTAACTGCTCAGCAGGCTACCTTCAATTGTCTCCTCGCTGCGACGCCAACCGTGTAGAAGAAGTTCTGACCGAAGCCAATCGAAATTCGTTTGTCGCGGGCTCCTATGGCAGCATGGATGTGCCTTCGGGAGAACGGGCTATCACAATCCAACGGCACACCCAACACCAAGCGCTGCATGCGGATCAAGTTGCGACCGCCCCGATTTACAACTATGCTCGTTTTCTTTCCTTCGTCCACGCTGTGGAGGGATTCGCATGTGCTTTTGATGCTGCCACCGACAAGGCCCACAATCGGATCCCGGTTTCGGGTGGCCCGCCGGCCTGGAGACCGGGCGATGGAAAGACGGTCCACGCTGACAACCGACGTGGAAATAACGACCAGATCGAAGAATACTGCTCGCCTCTCCCAAACCGCTCGCATTGGGGATCCGGAGTGTTCACTCGGTTCTTTGTTGCCGCGTTGGCTGGGCTGGTGCTTCAGTGGGGCACAAGCGGCGGCTCCATTGTCATCGTCTACTACACCCCCACGGTCGGCTTTGGCTGCCGCTCAACGGCCTACCTCGTCTATGCCGGTTTCGCCACACTCATCTGGATCACCCTCGTTGTCAGCAGCTTCCTCGCCCACTACGCTATGTCCTATCGCTTCACCAATTCACCCACCCAGCCTCTGCCGCAAACAATCGCAGAGCAGCTCTCCATCTTCCTCCGGCGCGTGGCGAAGGTGGGCGCGATGCTCAATGCAGTGTGGATTCTGGTGGCCTTTCTCCTCCAGTTCAGCAACTTTTACGACCGCTGCTACTGCAATTCGGATGTGATCGGGCTGGGCAAACGGGCGCATAATGTCATGGTCCTACTGGCGCCGGACATTTCTAATATGAAGGCGGCCTGGGTGGGCGGCATTGCCCTGGCTGTGGTCGTAACGGTGGCTTGGTGGATCTTTATCACGTTGATGTCGAACCCACCACCGCGTCCTTATCATGTTGCGTGAGGGAGGAAGCTTGGTCTCAGTTTCAAGAGCTTGACTATTGGCTAGTTTGATTGTTTGTAATACGGTAATACTGCCTCATCCGATTGTTGCAAACATCGAAGGAAGCCAAAGCTTGTCAATGAGCAGAATGAATAGTTTACAGATTGTGCTTGGGCTACATATGGTGTCTAGGTATACAAGTGTGAAGTAGAGACATTACTGGTACAACAGTTTCGTGAGATGCTGGTCGCGTTCTTCTTCTGAAGGTTCGACTCCGAGACCATATCCAAGCCCGACCAAGCCGAATTCGTCCACGAAACACTGGCTCGACCTGAAGCCCTCCAGCTCCGGCGAGTCGTAAAAGCTGTAAGGTGTCGGTGAAGCAAACACCCAGTCCATGTCTATTTTCTCGTGCTCCAGTCCGAACTCGTATGTCCACGCCTCGAAGTTGAAGCTGTCCATCGGTTGCGGCATAGGCGGTGGTGATGGGGACGCATAAGAGACGAATGGTGTTGTTTCAGGCGCACGGGAAGTAGAAGCAAATGCGGGCTCGTCGTCTGGAACGAAGCTGAGGGAGACGATGGTCGAAGGGAGCAGTGTTGATTTGAATGGGGAGGGGTCCTTGTGGACCGATGAAGGGCTGTAGAAGGGGAGAATTTCTTCCTTCTGGAGTTCATTTCAGCAGCAAAAAATCGAGTTGAAAAGGAACGAACCTTGGGTTTGACATCTGGTTCGTCAACTTGAAGCGGAACTTTCGTTGCAACGACGCGTTTGGAGCGAACTTTGGGGGAAGGCAGACGCAGTTTTGGCGGGGGTGGGCTCATAGATGAGGCAGAGCTGCGAGAAGAAGGGTATGAAGTCGACTTCCGAGCAGGCCCGACACCATTGGGACAGTATTTGTAGTCGGGGTACAACTCTGCATGTCTTTCTTTCTCCTCCGTTGCCTCCTGCCGGAAGCGCGCTTTCTCGTGAGCGGGTAAGGCCTTCCAAGAAATGGCAGCGCTCTGGCTAAGCGTAGTTTGGTCGAGTGACTTTGGTTGCGCTGCTGCCTCCTTAGCTTGCGCGACAAACCACGATCGATAGCAAATGAACGCGTTTCGAGGACGTCGAATGTGGCCATCGGAGGGTTTCTTCTTGTAGATTATATCACCCAAGTCTGTTAAATGTTAGGGTGACGCGACGCGTTATAGGGGGATGGACAGACATGGTGAAGAACCTCGACAATGGCGAGTTGTGGACCGGGACTTGGTGGAATGAGCCTTGGTCATTGCTTGGGAGTGAGCTGGAGTAAGCTGCGAGTCGAGAGCGACGAGTCCGAGTTGTGTAGTGCCGCATTTTGGCTGAAATGCTTTTCTAGCCTTCAGGAAGAACGCGGGAGTTACCAAAAGCAGGCCCGTGGGACACTTACCCCTTCATGTTAGCACACCGTGCCGTCCTCATTGTATCTCATTGTATTTTCTCACCACCCTCGCATTGTGACTCTGGCTTGGACGCTGATCCCATTATCGAAAGACGCGAGTCGTGGCCACGGAACACAGAAAACTGCCTTATGAGGCCTGTTCTTCCCTCGATAATCAAAGCGAGGCCTGTCAGACGTGGAGAAGTAGAAATTGATTCGCTTTGGCAAGCTGTCATCTGTTGCGAAGCAAGTCTCTCAAAGGGATCATCGGAGGAGGAGAAGAGAACGAATTATACCGGATCAATAAATGATCTGTTATCTGATGATACTGATGACTGAAAACCTCGGGACAGCTGCGCTGTAGAGACCTATTGCCTGGTCCAGCGCAACACAAAATAGTTTATGTCAAAACAGACAGACTTCTAACAAAGAACTCCTCCCTATCATAGTCACTAGTAATTCCGATGCAACAGAGATCGCGACGTTGGCAAGCGTCGAACTCTTCGTAATCAACCCTGAGCCTGATATTCTGCGAGAAAAGTGTCTTCCTCTATGCGTTTTTTCAATCCCGAAGTGAAGGAGAGGTATCCAAGATCACGTACCAGAAATGACTTCGAACCTGATCAGATCCTCTTTTGCATCGAGTTTGCGCAGCCAGTCCCGCACTTTCCGCCCATATCGACCACCTCGTTGTCGCGCAGACTTGGATGAGTCCCATTTATTCAATCGGAATACGATCCCCTTGTCGGTGGGTCCTTCTCGGCGAAGAGCGTTCACAAAAAACTCCCATAGCGCCAGCTGCTCATCCTCGTATCCCCAAGGAAGGGAACCAACGGGTCTTTCAATGGTTACGCCAGACGGTCGGAGGGAAGGGATAGACATGCAGTTTTCGTACATTTGGCCTATCAGAGCAAGGTCAAACTGACAACAGAGGTAGAGCTCAATTAGACGGGGAAAGCAGGCGGCAATATCGGGAAGTTGATGGGGTATGTGTGAGTCTACACAGAGTCTTGTTAAGTCAATCGATGACATATCTGGAATCAACTCACCATCTGTGAACCAGATGCGTAGATGCTTAATGTCATTTTGAGGGAAGACCTTTGGCAGCAGGCCATTCAGCTCGTCCGAATGGCAGAGTTTGAGAGAAAGGTGGGTAAGCCCGCATGTATCCAGACAAGACGAGAGAAACCGAAGCATCGGATAGGTCGGCTGATCTGAGAGTTTCAACGATTGCGGCTTTGGTCGCCAGTTGACCTGCAGCGTCTGCAACGGGGACACTTTCGTTTGTTTGACGAGCAGAGTTAACTGCGGGAGCGCAGGGTTATGAGTGCGTTCCATCAAAGCGATTAGAGTTTGCAATTCTGGCACAGAGGCAATCGAGATGTCAGGGAGGTATAAAAACCTCAGTTGAGGGGCAATGTTCTCCAGTGCTGACTTGAACGAGTCCCTTAGATCACCCCAAGGGAGGTAATGTGCCAATTTGGAGGTGCGAGACGGCGAGTTGACGGTCTCCATGCTGATACGCTCGAGCTTCGTGAGCATAGGAAGAACTAAGGACAATGCCCGACAGCCATCCGTGATCCAACCGTATGTCGTGCCATGTGGATGTTTCATTGCGTGAAGTCTACGCCCCATATATGCGTCGCCCTCGATGATACATAGTTCCTTCACCAATGGCGCAATATGCGGAGAATCGTTCAAGAGACGTATGAGTTTGTGTGCTGGGCTGTTGCCTGAATGCGCCCAGTGGCGAGCAGCGAGGGAGACTTTGCGAAAGATGACAGGCTGTACGATCGCTGCAAACCGATGGCAGCCTTGAGCGAGCGCAAACAATTTTTGCCTTTCATCGTCGGGAACGGCGTTGGCGATGAGCTGGAGAAGCTCCAGTGGGATTCGCATGAGAGTTTGAGTCAAGTTTCTTCAACACGTGTCGCTCCTCGAAGTCGAGTTATAGTTAAAATAGAACGTTTCCACATTCGTTTAGATAATCATCCCAAGAGGTCATCAAGAAAATCTTGCATCTCCTCCTTCTCGTCTTTGGGTGGTGGCATGGAGCCATCAGGCAAAGGAAGGGGTGGTGCTTCAACAGGCGCTGGGTCTTTGAAGGTTGGTTGGCTGTCGCTGAGTAAAAAGAAGAGAAAAGAACATACCAGCACGAGGTAAAATGGTAGCGGTTTTCTTGAGCTTCTCGGATTTGGCACGAAATCGCGACTTCAGTTCTGTAGTGGATATGAGTAATGGCTGACTCGCTTGAAGAAAGTATACCCCAGATAGCCTCCGCCGAAGTTTTCTCGCGCTCCAAAGACTCTAGTTCCTCATCCCATTTGATCTCTTGTACCTTGCCTTTCCGTGAAACTGCAGGTTTACTGCCAGAAGAGATGTGGGCGAGCGTGTGGTCGACATCTTCCAGCTCGTCTTGGACAGTTTCGCTTGGAATATCATCCAAACGTTGTCGCTCGAGAAAGGCAGAAAGATCGATTTCAGGCTCCAGCACCGGTTGCCCTGGAGAGAAATGAGTAACCTGGAAAACAAAACAAGAGACAAGCCCACCGTCATCGTCCAACTCTGGTTCTGGTTCAACATAGCGGTCCGCATTGGTTCCGAGCTGTCTTCTGGAGAATTTCCTGGCCATCTCAGCAGCGATTTCGGCAGCCTCTTCACCTTGAGGGTCAACCAGTTCTTCATCCTCCAATACGAGTCGCTTCGAGAATTCGGCTGGACGGCCATAGCCCCTTCCCCTCCCGCGAGCACGCAGATATTTTCCAAGACCGCCACGCGATTTATGACTGCCTCTTCCCTTCGAGGTCGAAGATTCGGTCGACATTGAATGTGTTACGTAAGTGTTACCAGACACTCACCGCCATGACTGGCAGCAGTTTCTCGCCCGGTCTCTTCACTCCGTATAGTGCGTCCTCAACTTTTAACAATGCTTGTTAGCCTAACAATCCCTGTAGATGCTTTTGGACCTCCCGGATGCCGTCCTCACTGCAATTTGCCGCCAACTGCCTGATGAATGCATATTTGCGGCAGCTCTTTCGTGCCACCGCCTCAACGAGCTCGCTCTTCGCGTCTTCCTCTCCAGAAACGACATTCCAGATCCCCTCCGTCAATGCGACGTTTATCTGGAAGGTCAAGGCGTGGAACGCACCGCGTTGGGACTGCTCCATGCCCTTAATTTGGCCACCCTCTCGTTTTTGAAGTCAACTAAGACTTTATCCTTCATATTCCTCAACGCGGACCTCTCCCTTGGTCTCAGAGACCTCGCCCAAGCGGCTTCACTCGTGAATCGCTTGTCGCCAATCCAGCATGTGTCCTTGGAGTTTCGTGGAACCATCTGCGAAAACCGGATAGAAATGAGTACTAGCATTCAACGACGATGGAATTCGGGCTTCTTGGACCTCTGGTCAGCCGTTTTGTCCAATCAAACGGTCTCGACGCTTTCAATTCGAACTAAATGGGATTTCCTCCAGAGCTACAAGCTCTATGACAGTCCCTCGCGCATCAGAGACGTTTCCTCGGCACGCTTGACTCGAGCTCAATCAATTTTACGCTCTACCTGGCGAAGGCTGCGTCCCATTCCCAGCCATACAAGCCCATCGTCGTCCGTTCAACGGGCATTACCCAGTCCACCCACCATTACCGCCTTTCACATCGAAAGCTCCCTAATACTCCATCCCGCGTTTTACCAGATGACATTATTCACATTGCGATGCTCTCCGATCACATCGCTCAAGCTGCATTCAGTACCAGAGCTCATCAAACGCCGAAACACAAAGGGCCCCAATCTATCCGAAGACATTGTGAACGCCCTACCGTTCCTCACATCTCTTACTATCGCCAATATGGAACTCGAGACCACTGTCTTATGCCGCTTCCTTTCCAAGTTTCCACAACTCACCAACTTGACGATTGAACCGCCCGGTCAATATTCGTATTTTCAATCGACAACCAGGCTTGTGCCGCCTTTACCACGCGATGTCCCGCGGCTAGCACTTCTCAACGAACTGTCTGTGGGCTCTGGCTACCTGGTTGCGTTTTTGCAGCGACCAAACTTTCTTGCCCGTATAGCCCGTCTTCACATTACGATTCCCATGGGTGATCTACTTCTCCCGTCCCTATTGAATGACCTCGCACCAATCAAGCGATCTCCTCCAGCACAGATGTCGCTCTCACTCGACAAATTCAACCTGCTTGCGAGCGCTATCTGGGCTATGGAAAATTGCATTGATGTTTCTCTCGGACTGGGAAACAAGTGGAAGGATGTGTTTTCCCGCGTAAAGGACTTGACTCTCGTTCGAACCCACTACCCGGCTTTGCATGAGAGCCCGGTATTTCGTCGTTGGTTGGCTCTGTTCCCAGCGGCTAAGAAAGTGACATGGGACGAATACTCTTCCGACGATTATCCCGTAGTCTTTTCAAAGCAACGGATTTACGCAAGCGAGGATGTGCATGAGACGAAGGAATCCAAGTCAAACAATACTCAATTCATGGACTTTCCCGACGACATCCTCATTTCCATTTTGGAATTGCTGACTGACGAGTTATTCGACGTTGCGCTTGTCTGTCGCCGGCTGAACTACCTCACCATCCCAATTTTCTTGATGGCTTCAAACATATGGAACCGCACAACACATTGTTGTGTCATTAAACTCAATTCGTATCCCATCGCCAGAGACCATCTCGCTGCACTCAGTATCGCACTGGTCCTTCCTCATATCGAAGAAGTCTGGGTCGACATTCCTCGTTCAGGCTACATTTATCCCTCCCTAAACCATGTTCAGCGACTGATTCCTGTCTTGAAACGAATCGACATGGTGAAGAAGGTGTCCCTTCGGTTTGGTGTGGCCCCAAAAATGCATCTCGAGGAGCATCATATTCACTTGCAGTATCGATGGTGCTCGCTTTTCCAAGAACTTCTCAATGTCGTCGTCAACAAGGAAACTTGCACCACCCTACACATTAGAGGGTCCCCGTACCTTTTCCCCGACGAAATTCGGTGGAATCAACGCCGTCATACGCAGCTGAAACAGCATGTGCTACTGGACCTGCCGACCCAAACGAATCTCACGCACATCTCATTCGAGCCTGCTGCCATGTTGTCGCCCATATTCGAGCCCTGGACAACATCCGTGCTCCAGAACTCGAAACTAGACTCTCTTCGACTGGATGTCACTATGGAAGACTATCGCTTTGTGGAAATTATTTCACAGGCGCTCCCGCACCTGCGTGAACTCGAGATCCGCTGGCTGATATCTCCTGAGAAGAACCTACGAATCGCAACATTCCTTTCGCGCCTAACCAAGCTTGAATCGCTTCGCATGTCGTCTGTCTTCACTGACTTGACATCAGCGCAGCCGATCCCACTCGCCATTCCCCATCTTCCCCATCTAACAACTTTGAATGCGTCCATTCCCTACATCAATCATCTCTTGCGCTGGGTCCCTCATGCGCTGCCCTCCCTTCAACAGCTCGAAATCAGCACGCTTCTTTCGTCTTCATCAACGCGCCCATCAACAGCTATTGGAAGCCTTGAAACGCTGTTTGAGGGGCTGCGGCGACATAACCTTTCTCCGCGCATAACCCTCGCTGTCAACTTTCGCACAACCTGGGAGCGCGACGCCCACTGGCCGCGAAACGCATTCGACTCGGTTCTCGGTGTTGGCTGGGTGCAGTGGTGCCCGACCATTTCGGCGCTCAAAGTGAAAGTGACTTCGCCGTATTCGCGGCTCGCCAACTGGGACAGCAACGCGGCCTATGTGTCCTTTTTGCGCGAACGGCTGACGATGTTCCCCGCGTTAACGGAGGTCTCGTTCGTGGATGGTATTGAGTATAAGACGGAGACTGAAATGATGGGAATGGCGTCAGTTATCGTGCAAACGGTAAAAGCGACTCATCCCACTATGGGGTCGATCTGGGTGAATAGGAAGAGGTTATTGTAGCTATTTTTTTCGGTAACTTTTGGACTTGTAGTGGACTACAGACCACCTTACGCATTTTGTACACTTGATCACGTGGATACTTTTGTGGTGACAGATAAGATAAGATGCATTGGTTGTGCCCTCGCCCAGGGTAGCATGAATACTGAGGTCTATAAAGGACATCTTTTGATGCTTCAGACTTGCTTTTCATGTCCGATACAGAGCGGACCCCGCTTGTCGCTGACCGCTCAGATGAAGTCGTCTACAGTCGATTTTCTCCTGCAAGGAAAGGAGTAATTGTCGCGTTAGTCAGCTGCGCGTCTCTGCTACCTAGTACGGACCGATACTCCTACATTCATCGTACTGAGTAGATCTGTCAGTGTTTGCCAGTGGCTCATTCATCCCCTCAATACAACAAATTGCCGTTGATCTGGACACTACGGGCCAAGTGGTTGGGTAAATTTCCTATTATCTTGACTTTTTGAAAGGATTCTGACCCTCCTTTGGAGCTACGCTGTTGGCCTATCCATGTGCGGAGCAGCGTTGAGCAGTTTCTTTTTCGCAACGTATTCGTCATTTTGTGTGTTCCCACTCAAAATCCTCGCCGGGTAGTGAGCCCATTTCATCTAGATGGCCGTCGCCCGATGTTCCTCGCGGGTTTACCACTTCTCTGCATCGGCTCTATAGGGGTCGCGACTGCCAACAGCGTTCCGCAATTGATGGCTTTCCGATTTTTACAAGCACTCGGAACGTCTGGCGGCGGAGCAGTGGGTGAGTGGTCGACCAGTCGCAGGCCTTTGATAGCAATGGATTCCACCAGGGGCTGGTGTCATTAGCGACATCTACAAATCGACAGAGCGCGGGACTGCATTAGGAATATTCGCCTCCGCCGCGTTGATGGGCAACGTTCTGGCGCCAATGATTGGCGGTTGGGGAGGTTAGCCTCATTTTGCTGGCTTGCGCAAAATTGCACTAAGCCGACCAAACAGCGAAGTATGCATCCTGGAGGATGGTGCAGCTCGGACTCTTCTTCGTCGGCGTAGTCATCTTTTTTTGCGTGTTCTTCTTGATGCCAGAGACATCACATCCAGGAACTCGGGGTGTAGACAAGTCGGTCGTCTGTCGGAGAAGGATCCCCGTTAACGTTGTGTGGCTCAACCCGTTTGCTTGCCTTCAGCTGCTGCGAAGCCCCAATGTGCTGGCAGTGACGATATCAGGAGGTCTTGCTCTGTTGGCGGATTATGGTCAGAGCCTTGCAATTTCCAACGAGATACTTGAAAAAACTGACCACTGAACTAGCAATCATCGTACCGATCGCTTACACTCTCGTGCGGTTTTCTCCTTCATGCTTGGTTGAGAGTTCATTGGATAGGGAGCGCGGTACGACATCACCAACGAAGCCGTCATCGGCGCTTTGTTCATTCCCAAGGGACTGGGAAATATGAGTGCGTGATTTGTTTCTTATCGACGTATCTTACCCAAACGTCAGTTGGGGCACCTCTTGCTGGGCGGTTGTCGGACCGTATTCTCGTGCATCGGCGGGCAAATGGGAGGCGCGTTCCAGAAGACCGACTTCTAGCCTGCATGCCGGGTGGTCTATTTCTTGTGCCGTTGTCGATGCTGTTCTGCGGGCTCACTATCCAGTTCATCGGCGGCATGACAGGGCTGGTACTTGCGCTGGTGTTCTTTTTCACAAACGGACTCGGCGTTGTCGCCATGCAAGGTCCCGCAAACGCTTATCTAGTCGACATCTTGAGGAATCGAAGTGCGGAGGTCACTGCGGCAACTATGTTTGTGAATCTATTGTTCGTGCAAAGCGAAAATAAACTCCTCATTAGCGGCGCTCGAGCCCTGCTGCTTTCGCTTCCAGTATCAGGTCTCGTGCCTGCGGTCATTCACTTTGGGGTGTTGCCAACATATGCGGGAGTCGCGATGCTGTCGTGGGCTGGCTATGGGTACGTCTCAGTTTGTGATTCTCGGCGGTCATTTTAATTTGCTTGTCAGGTTGATATCGCTCACGCTCAGGCACGGAGAGCAGATGCGCGCCTCGGCAGATGTTGGATTTGAGGTTGATTACGATTAATGGTTGTGCTGCCGTGAATATCAATCCCATCCATCGCGAAACCGGGCAATTTCGTTGCCTATGCCTGAAAAGACAATGATGGTGAGTCACGTCGAAGAAACTGTAGATTTGAGCGGAGATAGAGAGATGAGCCAAAGAAAAGGTTCCGAGGCTCTTTGAATCACTAGGAGTACCCAGATTGGGCCCGACCGACTCGTTATGTCGCTGCTGTGAACCGGTTGGTGTTGGCCGTGCCGAGAAGTGTTTCGGTAAGTGGAGCGATGATACTATTAGAGTTCACAACCGAACGCGACTAGTTCGGAGTTTGAATTTCATGGCAGCAGACTGGCGCTTCGAATTCTAAGAGACACTTGTTTCTCAAGAGGGCCTTCGTCGTGGCTTGATTTAATTTGTACGACCGCGGTAGGTAAGTACTATCGCAGCATTGACGACTAGACCATAAACGCGAGCGGGGAGAACAGGCTGACAGAACGTTGATACGTTTAGAGAGACTGAATACGAACTGTCAGGTTTTCAAGAGGCGAGTGAAGAGGAGGGGTACACGTGGACGTGAATTGGGCGCTTGGTTGGGAGTGAAAAGCAAGAGGCAACATCAGAGCCAAGCCGTTTCTTGCCGCGAGCGAAAGTTGAAGCGGAGACCAACAGTGCGTAGCCAAGGTCTCTTGCCGACCACACACTCATCCTTTCCAGTGGCCAAAGACACTTCCAAACCTGCTGCTCCGCCTGCTCCATTTCCTTACCCATATCCGCCACCGTTCTTCAACTATCCTCCCTCAAACAATGGGGAGTCAAGTTCAACGCCCCCATTTCCACCTGGCCTATTCTACCCCTACCCACCAACTGTCCAGCCTACGTCTACGCCCGCGCGTCCCAAACGTAGTCAAGTGAAGATGGCCGTATGACTTTGTTTGGCCCGAATTGGCGCTCGTATTCACCCCCTCTGACAGTGTACAAACTGCGCTCAAGCTTGCAAGCGCTGCGACGAAGACAGGCCTTGTACTCGGTGCCTGAAGTACAACATCCAGGATACGTGTGTCGATGGGCAGCGAAAGGAGCGGAAAAAGGGCGTTAAACGAGGCCCATACAAGCGCAAGACCAAGACAACAGAAGAGGGCGACTCACCTCCCGCCTCGCCAGCCCCAGTTGCAGCCCCTCCAGCCCCCGTATTCCCGCCATTTCCTGAAGGCTATCCACAGCCATATTACCCTCCTATGGGCGTTGCTTTCTTTCCGCCTCCACCAGGTTCTGCTGAAGGGGCCCCGCCAATTCCATACTACTTCCCGCTTCCATCATATATGTTTCCCCCTCAACTCTCAGCCAAGCCAGCAGCAGATTCAGAGTCCAAAGATGATGGCGAAAAGAAGAAAGAAGAAGTTGACGCAGAAGCCCCCCAACCGCAACCGGTTTCACCAGATAGCGGCACGCCACCGATTGAACACATTCACGACGACAACACTTCAGATGCAGACGCGGACGGCGACGATGACATCGACGCGGTCGGTGACATTGACGAATAACAAGTGCGTGTTAGTCTCTGAATCATTCTTGCGCCGCCTTCATTTACTGCCCTTTCAAGCTTGGCCAAAAGGTGCCCACTGCATGCGCGTAAAGAGCGCAGCTGTCATTTGACCTGGGACATCGCCGAGGGTCTGCGCGACCGTGTCTGTTGTCGTCAAATAACTGCTGCTTTCTTTTTGGTATCAATGGGTTGGATTCTCTTTTTGCTCTCTATATACGCTTTCTTTGTGCTTTGCGCTGTGTCCCGTATGTAAATGTCATCCACAGAAATCCTTGCTAGTCCAGTTGTTTTCCACTTGCTCTGAATTTGACTCCACTATCCAGAAGTACTAGTTATGTAAGCATGATGCTCAACGATTGTGGTTCCCTCCGGTTTTTGCAATTTCCTGCTATAGCACCTGGATGTATGAGCTCGGAATCTCACGGAATAGATTTCCCAGATGATTCCCTGCCTTCACATTACATCTTGCAGGTCATTGGGGAGGTTTAGCTGGACATAAACCCCGCTGAAGATCGGACGTGACCCACATTCAAGTTGCGCACCAAATTTGAGCATCTCAGTGTGCCTATAATATTTGGATCTTTGGTAGTTATACAGGCGGGAACTTAAACTTCTACTCTATGAGAAAAATCACCTATAGAGCATCTGCATATAGGCAGGGAATTAAAAAAACCGGGTCACAGGGAACCACAGTCCCACCATTTTACAAGGAGCCATTAATTTGCAATGAATACACATGTGTCTCGACAGTGAGAGAAGGGCGAATACAGATACTTGACGGTAAATATTCGATACAGTTAGTCGTTGCGAAGAGCGAAAGAGTATTGTGACATAAGAGCGAGACTGACGCTCAATAGATTGGATGCCGCTTTGTTAACGGCGAATGCGATGCTGCTGAACGCGAGCTGGAAGGTCCTCCTCCGAGCTTGACGAAAGAGGAGAGTCCTCCGAACTCGATCGGTCAGGAAACACCATAGCGAGCGGCACGCCATCTCCCAGAGTCCGACGAAGCTTGTCCATTTTTTGGCGCCGCTGATAGTTAGCGGACGGGACTGGGCCAAATGCGGGTGGCGAGGAAGGCGGCATCCTGGTGGCGGGGATGGTGTAGCTCGTATGGTGTGGCTGGGCAGAATAAGGTGGTGGCGGTGAGTACGGGCCGTGGGCTGGAGGAGAGTGGGGGGTAGGGTTTGCGATCCGCATGTAAGGTCTGTCGCTTGGAGGGCGACACCAAGGATCGCTCGGCTTGTCTGATTCAATACTACGTCGAGACTTGTGAGAGGTAGTCGACGGATATCGGACAAGCGCGTCATCGTCAGAGTAGGCTGACGAGAGTTGGACATGCAGCGGGACAGCAAGCCGTTGGAGGTTAAGAGGGACTAGCAAACGCGTCAGCACCAAGGAATAAGGGCAACAAAGAGACGGAACATACGCTGCAACGGCATCTCCTCCTTTTCCTCGAGCAAAGTTGGGGTGGTCCCGAGGATCCGACCCAGCTTTTGGGTGGTGCGGCGCAGTTGACTGCGTTGTTGATTCGAGAGCGCATTTGTGGTAGGGGGGCAGCTGACTTGAGTCGGGTAAGCCATTGCAGGAACTGAGGAACTGGGGATTTGCGCGTACGAGTCAGTGCAGGATTGGCCGAGTCTTATAGGGAATATAACAAAAGAGACAATAAAGGTCGAGAAATTGGCATCCGTGGAGATATTTCTTTGAGCATGGTCGACGAAACAATTGAAGTGCGATCGAGGTCACTTCCGTTTTGGGACAGGCTACTCGGATCACCCCGGCGTGATGATCCGGCCCACCACGTCTTTCCCCTTCAACCACATCGAGAGGTGGAACAAAAACGAAACTCTACTTGTGATTTAACCTTCTTGGACATGGATGGCTACCTCTCACAGTCCCTGTCGGGCGCAGGATCAATGCTTGTACGATGAGCGCTCATAGCACAGCCATCTCGATGGATTCTCCGTTTGCCCACCACCTCGACACGAATTATTGTCCTTCTGAAGCAGAGATTTCTATCATCGAAAACCTTCTCGTTGAACCGACTCAACAGATTGAAACCATCGACAAAGAAATCGCGGCTCTGAACGCTCAGATTGCAGCCTTACAACACAAGAGTGCACCCATAGCTTCCTTTGTCACCGCTCACAGAGCACTCATCTCTCCCATCCGTCAACTCCCCGACGACGTTCTGCAAGAAATATTCGTGGCATGTCTCCCTGCCAACAGCAACTGCGTCATGAGCGCCTCTGAAGCGCCTCTCCTTCTTGGACGAATCTGCTCTGCATGGCGCGATTTGGCATTTTCAACTCCGGTTCTTTGGTCCCGTTTGCACTGCTACGCCCCAGGATCTGTGCGGACCGACCCATTTGGCGCCGAAATCCCTGCTATTGCCACCAAGATTGAACGTCATCTTGACGCGTATAAAGCGTGGCTAGCACGCACAGGAAACCGGCCCTTGTCTGTATCAGTCTACCACGGTCAAGAACAGTGGTCATGTGCGACCACATCCCCCTTCCTCGATGTTTTAGTTTCCTTGGCTGCTCGATGGGAATTTATCCAAGTCTCAGCCAGCGAGCGGATGCTCACGGTCTTCAGTAACCTGACTCGCGACCAAGTCCCGCTTCTTAAGTCCCTGGAGCTTCAGGAGGTATCGGGTCCAACTTTCGTTGGTGGCGAAGAAACGCATTGGGGCTCCTGTGATATTCTTTCGGGGCCGAAGTTCTGCCAATTATCGGCGTCTGTCGCTGTGTTCCGATCTCTCTCCACTCCAAAACATTGGAATAGCTTGCACAAGCTGGTTGTTGCCTCTAAAGCTCGTCTTGGAATGAGCTTAGACAACAGTTTATCTGCTGACCACGTCCTCGCCCTCCTCCGGCAATGCCCCAATCTGCAGTACGGCAGATTTCAACTGGACAGAAGTCCAGACGCTCGCGACACCTCCGTTTTCGAACACAATTCTCTTCGCACCCTGATATTCGAGACGCAATACGACAATTCGCAATTTGAAACCCTCTCTCGACGGGTGTTATTGCCCCAGCTCCGGCATCTTCGGTGTTCAGGGAAAATCGAGTCCAGCAGAGCAGCGAAGGCTGCGCGTATTTTCTTTGCGGCCGCAAAGCGACTCGACAGCATTGACGTCAACGTCGACTTTTTCACCCGCTCGTCGCTGGAAGACTTCCTCCGCCAGATTACCCCGTCTTTCACAACCCTGAGCCTGCGGGGTCCGCAACACCAATTCGACTGGCGAGAATCCGCGCATGTTTTTGATGACGCACTTCTTCAGGCGCTCGTCGACCCAAAGCAGCCACTGGTTCCAAACCTCGAATGCCTGAGTCTTGACTACAGCGCCGACATATCCGATAAAGCGTTGCTGGCCTTCGTCCGTGCAAAAATGAATGACGAGGATGCCCTGCGACTGCGGCCGCTTCGCCGCCTATCGGTCAGCTTCAGGCGTCTGGTGGAGGACGACATTCTCCCGGACCTCCAAGGTTTCATAACGGAGCGCGGGCTACACGTGAGCCTTGCGTATCAGCAACCAGAGCATTTTAATTTCTCGCCCTGGGAAGGCCTGGACAAGGAAGATGAACGCGAGCAGCTGTTCTTGACACCGCCTCTGGAACCGTTTTATGAATGAGTGTTGGCGAGCGGACAGGTTTCAATTTTCACACTTGTACCAGGTACTAAGTATGTATACTGTCTTTCGTTAAGAATAGGTTCGTCAATAAAGGGCGAACCGAAGCTTGCCGTAGAACAAGCGCAGAGCCTGAGAGCAGTAGTCCACGCTTATCCTTTTCGTTTCGGTGATCATCTAGGTTAGAACATGACAAACTTAGCGCGGTTTGTTATCCATTGGTATGGGCTACCGTCGAGCTTGCGCGCGTTCTTGATATTAGGCACATCGTCACGAGACCGTGATCAGGATAGCGACACAGCCACCGCTTCCACGTCTTGCCATCACCCTCACCACCATTATTTCTTCATGGCACCAGCTTGCCTGCGGTCCTCGCTAGCGGCGCTCTTTCTGATTCTCTCTCTTGCACTCCTTCCTTCCACCAACGCCATCAAGTTTTCGCTTCCGCCATCTCGTTTCCCGGCCAGCAAATGCATCTGGAATCCCGCTCACAACAACGCGCTGGTCATCGTGACGGCCAACGTCGGGCCGGGGGCGAACCAGCGTGTAGACGTCGAGATCATAGACTCGAGCCCCCAGAAGAACGTATACCTGAGCAAGCGGAATATCAACGCTGAAACACGGCTTGCTGTGACAGCTCATGCGGAGGGCGAGGTTGGTGTTTGCTTCAAGAACTTTTTGGACAAGGGTATGCACTTTATTTCTGTCCACGGACCTATGCTCATATGGTGTTATAGAGATTTCGCAGGAGAAGGGTGCCAAAATGTCTCGCATAATCGACCTGGATGTCGATATTGGTGCTGAGGCGGTCGACTACAAGTCCGTGCCATATTCTTCAAATCTAGGATCAGCACTGACCGTTTACTAGCGCCATTGCTAACCAAGAATCGTTGTCAGGGCTCGAGACAGAGATGAGGAAACTAGAGGGTCTGCTGAAAGAAATCGTCGACGAGATGGGTTACCTTAAAAAGCGTGAAGAGAGGTTTGCGCAGACGAATGGTACGCTATCTTTCGCCTTATTTGCATTGTGCTAACTAGAACCTCCTTAGAATCGACGCAACAACGGGTGCAGAGCTTTGCTTGGTTTACGATATTGGCGCTGGCTTGTTTGGGTGCATGGCAGATAGTCCATCTGAGGTCGTTCTTCAAGCGTAAATACCTTATTGATTAACGGAAGCATGATTTTTTTCTCTCCTGTCCGTTTGCAACGAAAAAACTTGTGTAGAGCGGGATGAGGCGCATTTTTTAACTTTCTCTTGCCGCGGCGTGACGTCACATTTTTCCTTCTCATGCCGCCCTCCCACATCGCTGTTCTTGGTGGCGGTCTAACGGGTCTCTCTTCTGCCTTCCATCTCTCCAGACGATTCCCTTCATCTGTCGTCACTGTTGTCGATAGAAACAAGAAGCTGGGCGGCTGGGCAGCTAACACTGAACGTGTTAAACTTCCAAGTGGTGGTTCGGTTGTCCTCGAAGGGGGGCCTCGGACTCTGCGACCTAATTCGTATGCGGTACTCGAGCTGGTGAGGACACTTATACCACTCCCCGCTCAGTTAACGACTCTCAGGTATAGATCCACCTGCTTGGCCTTTCAGACGCGGTCATAACCACACCAAAATCTTCCCCGGCAGCGAAGAACCGTTATCTTCATGTACCCGGGACACCAGGGATATACCGCATACCGGGCCCAAGCCTGTCCTATCTCTGGTCTGAGCTCCGGTTTTTCATTACGCCTGGGGTCATTGCCGACCTTTTCCGCGGCTGGAACCGTCCTCCTGACATCGTGGACGAAAGCTTCGAAAGCTTTTTAGAACGGAGGGGACATCCAGACACCGCGCGAGTGCTGGGCAGTGCGCTGGTCCATGGTATATATGCAGCGGACGCGAGAAAACTGAGCGTGCGAGCAGCCTTCCCGATGCTTTGGGAGTACGAAGAGCGAGGGAATGGGCGTGTTCTCTGGGGTATATTGCGTAAGGAGAAGGAGGAAGAACGACTAAAGCTGGAGCAAACATTGGCTCGCTACGAGCTGGGCGACATGAGAAAGACAATGGAGGGCGTATCGGTATACTCATTCCGTGATGGGATGGGTACCCTCGTGGAAGCTCTCGTGAAGAGTCTCAAGACGCGACCTAATGTACGCATATTGGACAATACCGAAGTAACTGCAGTCGTCCCTGAAAGCGAGAGATTTGAGGTAAGTTCTAGTCTTTTTGATGGCTCATTCTTATTTATCTGTCTAGATAACCACAAACACAACAAACCCGCTCTACCCCTCGCATGTCGTCTCGGCATTGCCCCTCCCCGCCTTGAAGGTTTTACTTCCCGACCTTCCACATCTCACGGCCAACCCAACTTCCTCCGTGACCGCCATCAATCTTGTCTTCCCGGTTCCACCAGGAAAACTCTTTCCTCGCGGCTTTGGCTACCTCGTGTGTCGCCCTGCACATGACTACCTTGCCGACGACGCTGGCATTCTTGGTGTCACCTTTGACAGCGAGTCGCTCGCCGCGCAAGACGACCTTCCCCCCAACGAGCAGCTCACCAAAGTGACGGTGATGCTGGGCGGCCCGCACAACGCCTACCAGAAAATCGACACCGCGCTGCCAGTCGTCTTGGCGCACTTGCGCTACCATCTCAACCGGAGACAGCCGTTACCGCCGCCGATTCTCGCCAAGGTCTGGGATCACCGGAACTGCATCCCGACGCCCACACCGGGACATCTGCAGCGGATGGAGGAGCTGAAAGCGGCTCTTGTGGCGGAGGATGCGCCGTGGGGTGGTCGGTTAGAGGTGGTTGGTGCTGGTGTTAAAGGTGTTAGTTTGGGTGACTGTGTTGAGAGCGGAAGGCTTGTTGGCCGTGAATGGTAACAGGACTTGTCTCTTTTACAGACCTAATATTGTGGCGGTCGAAGTTTAAACTCCCTGCGAGAAAATAGGTCAACTGATCTGTCAATCACTCAGTTGGAGGTTGAGCCTATAATTAGTGGCTGGAGGATTCCCTATCTTGATGCTAAAAAGCCTTCTAGAGGTGTCTGGCTGTATGTATTGAGCATCAAAACTATATTACTCATCAAGTTACTCATGATATTTCTGTCCTATGTGAGCGGCGCAAACATTGATCGTTCACGCAACCATTTAGAGGAGCAGCCCTCCCAAAGATAGGTCAATCCCTCCTGTACAGCTTTGACTGATTCGTCTGGTGGGCCCCATCCGACCGTTGGGGCAATTGTGACCAGATGCTGCAGCCAAATTAGTTCAATCCATCCGGGAAATCAGGAAACTAGACTTGCCGCTCCAATATGTTTAGCGGCCGTCCCCGCCAAGTGATCTTCCATCTCGCCGCAATGCAGACGATACTCGGCGAGGAACGCCTTGATCAGCGCATCTGCCGAATTTGCCTTTTCTGGGTGGAAAATGCTGACACAGTGCATCTCTGCACAGAATTGACCAACATCGAGGGCTCGGATGCCGGGTTTTGCGAGTTCCCAGTCAATCACGTTGGCTTGGAGGAATTCGCCGGAAGAAGGCTCCATGTTGATCAGGACATTGCCTGTCCAAAAGTCGCCCATGGTGAGGGCGGTTTTGGCAGTATGAATTTGAGCGGTGCGCTCGTCTACGATAGCTTGGATAGCATCGAGATCCTCCTGAGGTATGGGCTCCGAGAGCAGTTCTACTGCGGGCACTTTCCGCGTGGTGAGCATGGGTATGAGACGTCCGTATGTGATTATGGCCGTGATATTCTGTTACGTAATGTAAGTAAAAAGCACTGGAGGACTTTTGAGCTTCTGACCTTCGCTTGCTCATTTTGATCGAAAAATGCCAGCAAATCCTTCTGTTCTTGCCCCCACGCATGAAACCTGCCGAGAAACTCTCCCAGTGCTGCGCCAATCCGGGTTGCAGTCTCGAGTGTGGGTGTCGCGGTGAGCATCAGTTGCTTGAGGGTAAGCGCTTGCTCGCCACAATCCTCAATGATGAGGAAATTTGCGGTCTTATCATGATGGATAACCGCTGGAACGTCCACAAGGTCACTGCAAACGCCGCTCTTCTTGACTTCCTCCAGTGCCCGCGACTCGTAGATCTGGCAGAATAATAAATATCGAGCGCAACAGAGCATGATACACGTGCCTGACGGTCCACGGAAAATGGAAAGTCTGGCGAGAGTGCAACGTATGGCTTTGCGTGCTTCAAAATGACGGTCCTATGTCCGTTATGAGGTGTCGACAAGAAGAGTCGGAATGTGAAGTTTCCAACGCCACCAGCCAGAGGGACTACGCGTGTCGCGGCAAACTGGGTGTTGGCCAGATAGCTTTCAACGCCAGAAGCGGTGGAAAGATCCAATGCGATTGACGAAGCCATTTTTGTGCAGCGCGGGTCAAAGCTTTGAAGACCAGCAATCACTATAACTTATAAGAAGGAAAGGTTGAGTCGATCTGAGTCAAACCGGGCCCGTGGACGAAATACGAACGGATTTCGCTGGAAGAAACATGCACGAATCACGATCTGGTGCAGCACTTGAGCGCTTGGACTCCATTACCGAGCATGGTTCCTAAAAACGGCGCGAGGTGACCGCCAAGGTCGTGAGCAAACACGTGACTGACAGATTACATCAGCAGCAACCACTCAATTTCGACATGCACGAGCTATCGCTCGCTATATTTATTGTCTCCCATTGCTTATCGCGAAAGCAATCGTCCCAGCCCTCTCACGCTTAAAAAAGACAATGCCATATCCAATTTCCAAGGAGACTTCGTTCTTTACACATCTCTTGCCCTCAGACCTCGCACTGACCTCGCAGAATGTTTTTTGGCCGGCATTGTCTTACTCTCAATGACAGGAACACAGTCTTATGGTCACTCTTCCATTTGCAGTATTAGCATGGCTTCTCGAAGCTCGAAGACTCGAACTCAGAAGCGATCCAAAAACGCAATCGCTTTGACACTTGGTGCAAGGACTTTGAACGGCATTCGGACAGCGCTACTAGTAGCGGCGACGCGGAGTGGCCCCAAACCTGATAAGCGCCACTCAGCTCTCAAGTGCCGACTACCATCATGTCCCCAGACAATATCTTTGAAGCCAAGTCGTCTTCCAACGTTTCCGTGGTCCAAGAAAAGGCAGTTGACGACATTCCGAAGGAAGAGCGACACAACAGCGACCTCGATGCGATCAAAGTTGATGTCCACACTGGCCTTTACGATGGAGTCCAACGCAACATGAAGCAAAGACACATCCAAATGATCGCACTAGCTGGTGTATGTGCTACGGTGGTCTATATTCTCACTGAACTGGATGCAGACGCTTGGAACTGGTTTGTTTTTGGGCAGCGGTAAAGCTATCGCGCATGCCGGGCCTGCTGGAGCATTGTGAGTGCGTTCACTCCCGACCTTGGTTACACTAAAATTGGATGGTCAGGCTTGCGTATATCCATGTCGGCACGATCACCTACTGCATGCTGATGTCTCTCGGAGAAATGATGTGCTACCTCCCCATTTCCGGCGGATGTAAACCTTCCAACTCTTACTGGTTTCACGTGCTTGACCACAGAATAGACATCCACTTTGCGGAACGCTTTGTCGACCCGGCTCTTGGTTTTGCTCTCGGCTGGCTGCAATGGTATAGCAACGTTGTCGGTCTCCCGACGGAAATCATTAGTGCGGCCCTCATCATCGGATTCTGGGACTCAAGACCCGACGGGTCAGGAATGCCCAACTCGCATCTCGCAGGCTATCTAACGGTAAGCTCATGACCTTTATTTGAACTTGTCCGAGTTCAAATCCTATGTGGCATAGTTATTGCTCTTCCTTTGCGCTGCGGTCAACTTTCTTGGTGTGCGCTGGTTTGGGGAATCAGAGTTCTATTTTGTCAGCCATTCTCTCATTGTGGTTGTCTATATACTCAGATTCCTGTTAGGCCCTGATAAAAATTGCTTTGATTCTCGGATGCGTCATTGGTGGTCTCGGTTTGTATGCTCTGTTGTCGCTTCAGGCGTCTCACTGCTCGTATTAGTCATTGATCTTGGTGGTGGTCCGGGACATGACCGTATTGGCTTTCGTTATTGGAAGGTACACTTCACACCGTCTTGATCCTTAGATACATACTCATCCCATTCAGGACCCAGGTGCATTCGTCCCATATCTTGTCGCTGGCAATACCGGCAAATTCTTGGGCTGGTTCCAAACCCTGCTGCAAGCTGTTTGTTTTCTCCACAACACATGAAAACTTGCCTATATCTCTGTAGGCTTACTCGTACCAAGGCATGGAGACGCTTGCCATGACTGCAGCAGAGGTCGAAAATCCTCGCTATGCGCTTGCTAAAGCGGTCCGACGCGTCTTTTATCGCATATTGATGTTTTATGTCTTGGGCATCCTCATCGTGGGCATGCTTGTTCGGTCAACCGACAGTGACCTACTTCAATCCACTGGCGATGCTGCATCTTCGCCTTTCGTTCTTGCTATGAAACGAGTTGGAATCAAGAGCCTTCCCTGTGAGTCGAAACTACGCTTTCTCTGATGAAATTAGACTGACTGTCAATTACTAGCTGTTATCAATGCTGGAGTCCTTACATCGGCCTTTTCCGCTGGAAACACTGGCCTATATACGTCCTCCCGGCAACTCTATGGCCTCGCATTACGCGGGCAAGCTCCAAAAGTGTTTGCCAAGACAACTAAAGTAAGTCTTCGTCTGACGCGGAATGCTCTGCCAGTGTTTGACTTCTTCAGGCTGGGCTGCCCATAATTGCACTTGCATTCTCGACGATTTGGATACTGCTCTCTTATATGGCATTGTCTGACGGGGCGTCTACGGTGCTCAACTGGTTGACTAACCTCACCTCCGTTCTGGGGTTCATGACCTGGGGTAACTTTTTTGCCCATTTTCGACACACCTGCTCATGTCAGAGATAGCTATCATTTGCTGGACATACATCCGCTTTTACAACGGTCTTCAGGCGCAAGGAATTGATCGCAGCCAGTTCGTCTATTGGAATCGTTTCCAACCGTTTCCGGCCTACTGGGCCCTGGCATGTATGACTTCCACTGCATCGCATTGCCATTTCCTGATCAAGACACAACTAGGGAGCATAATCATCACGCTCTTCAATGGCTTTGCCGTGTTCCTCAAAGGAGACTGGAATGCGTCGGACTTTGTCATTGCCTACATCAACATCCCCCTATTTGTTTTATTGCTCGTTGCGTACAAGGTCGTGAGAGGGTCGAAGGTGGTTGGGCTTAGGGAGATGGACTTTATCTCCAATCTTCCGCCATCGCAAATGGTTGATATCCATGAGCCAGTGCCAAAGACAATACCGGGTAAAATTGCAGCGTGGCTGTTCTAATTATTCCAGTGATAGTAGACGTATAGACGCCTCGAAAGTAACACTGTTTATGCTTTGCGTCCCGACGGAAATTGAAGTAGTGATGGCGGCTTTCCGAGGCACGTGGTCGCTTCGCTTATTCAGCGCACATTCAGTTTACTTACGATGAACTCTGGTCTCAATCGCCGCTTCTTGAACGCTCATGTCTGTAGCAAGCACTTCGAAAGCGAAGCCAACATGTATATCATGTCGCGAGCGAAAAGTTGTACGTCGACTTCTCTTTCTAGGCCGCTCAACTCTCAACTCACAGCGATGCGATGGCCAAAATCCTTGTGGTCGGTGTCACAAATCACGAAAGCAACTCATCTGCGAGTATGAGGCACCAAGTTCTAGTACATTCGTACGCGCAGAGCTCCCAAAGGGAGCTGCCTGCCTTTCTTGTCGGTGCGTTCACACATCTGTTCAATGATGAGTCCAATACTTAATCTCATGGGTAGGGAGAGGAAACGGGTGAGTGTAGCCATGCCCCAGTGATTATTTTCAAATTTTCGCCAGCGGTGTGACGGGAATCGACCCTGTAAAGCCTGTACCCGTCGCGGGGACGAATGCCAATACCTCCTCGACGCAATTCCGCGTCGAAAGGCCACGACCGTAGCCATGAGTTTACCGGAGGCAACGAATAATCCCGATGTCAACACATCTCGAGCTGCTATAGAGGCAGCAAAGGCTCCTTGGCGCAAATATCTATCCGACTCCCAAACCGGCTACTCCGTTCCCTATGCAGCTTTCTTTGACCTGTTGAACTCGAAAGCGCTTCACAATCATAACTATGTCTCGCGGGATAAGGTCACGGAATTGGGATTACTGCAAGTATTGTTTAGCCAATTGCACCACAATGCTCAACCCTTAATACAGACGGAAGCTCTTTCTGGACCAAGCCTGGCATCTTGGGCTCAACATATCCGCCTCCAAACGCGATGCCATCGCACGAGGAGACACTTCTGGCCATGTTGCACATCCAGTCTTCATCCCAGTCGCACAACTTTTGGGATCCATGCTTGCCAACCCCCGGCATTCACGGACAGAGGTCCGTCCAGAACGGTCTGCCATTGAAGCAGAACAGGCCCAAGTTGTTTTTGATTATCTGCGAGAGCCAAATTGGGACCAGAAGAGTGGTGGGAGAGCGGACCCCTTGACATACGTGCAGGTTTACCGACTCCTTGGAGCTTACTGTGCCCTCAAAGCGGATAAGCTTGGCTCACAAGAGTATATGGCTAATGCGAGTAATCTTGTTCTCAAGTATGCAGAACTCCTGGGAATCGAGGAGGACCGCGCCGAACAAGACCATCCCACAACAGCTCCCCCAGAAATTCAAGAAATCACTCCGCTTGAAGAAGGGCGTTCCGCGCTTGCACACATGGTTTATCTCGAGCTGGTGACCCGCATCCTTATGAAATTTGAACATGCTCCACGCTTTCCCCCTGTTATGTTGGCAAAGTTCGTCAAGATGGCAGTAGGTCATCGGCTCGAGTCCTCAACTCAAGTTCATATTTCTTAGACAAAATTCCACCAAGAGACCGAAGTGAACTTCTTAAAAGCGAAAAGTGCCCTTTATCTGGTAGAAAGTCAACAAATGGCAAAGGAATGGGACGATTGGCAGTCAGGTTTGTGTATTGCTCAATCGTCGAACTGCCCTTATGCTTTGCAAGGTAAATTCATGGCGGACGAGTGGACTCAACGTTGTCGCACACTCGCCCATAATGTTAACACCCATCTTCTCTTTGTAAAACGCACACAACACGAACTAGCCCAATACGGGGCGCCACGCGGCCAGTTGGTATCATTTTGTGGGTGCGCCCTCATCTCTCTTGCGGCCCTGGCGGAACTCTATGCCGTCTTTGCCCCGTTCCACCCTGCTCCTCGCCAGAAACTTCGTGAAATTATTGATGCCCTCGGGAGAATTGCCGCCACCTTCAACGAGTATGACCGGAAGTATATAGACTGTACCCTGGATGTGGGTCCTTCTCAAGTTCCCACTGTTAAAAGTGTCACTCATTGGCTTTTTACCTTGCTAGGTCTGCTACCAGATCTCGGGGAAGGAGATTAGAGAGCGACTGCCGACACCTCAGTGGCAGTTCTTCATGAAGACGGTGCTTTTCCCAACATACTTAAACAGTCTCGTCATGTAAAGTGTATGTTAGAGTTTCAGCCACGCGCGTACCCTAGCTTCCGTCGATAAAAGCTGGTCAGTGTTACAATTGTGACACAAATGGTTATGAGATTTCTTTGCACTTTGTCGCTAACCGTCATGCTGAGCTTGTCTTTGAGGCTCCCCGCTTGGGCTACGTCATTGTCAACAACAGGCACTTTTCTCGCCTTGTAAGTACCTGGACAGGCCTTGACACGGCTGCTACAAGTCAACAAATCATCAAAGAAGTCGACATCACCGCAATGCAATCCAGCATCATGATAAAACGGAGACCGACCACGTTCTTCAGCCCCCCCCTTCTCTTTGCTCCGCAGTCCCCGTACCCGCTATGTCTTCTTCCCCCTCCGTAGCAGGGCTCCTTCACTTCATTTCCGCTGGGGTTGGCACGGTGCTTACCAACGCGAGTTCACGCGCGTTGCAAAATCCTTTTCCATTCGATCCTGGCTTCAATATCGCCGCTGTAGCCACACTGGCGCAAGCCTTACCGACCCACTCCTGGGAATACGGGACCGCCGCCCAAATGCTTTTGGAAACCCACAATCCGGCTTACTCTGTTTTTGGACCCAACCCATTTCCCGTTCCGATCCTCAATGCATCCACCATTCCCGCGCTTTCCTACGCGCAAGCGCACATTTCGCTGGGGGGCCAGAACGGCCTTTCCAACGGAGACGGGTCTGTCGGAGACCCTGCGAGCTTGGGGGTTTCTGCGGTGATGTTGGCCAAGACACTCGACGGGTACAAAGACGCGTGCCAAAAGGAGATCAACTACATTCTTTCTGCCTCCCCTAGGTGGCCAAACGGCGCCATATCGCATCGAGCAAGCGTGCCTGAGCTATGGGCTGACTTTATGTACATGGCGCCCCCGTTCATCGCCTACTTGGGCGCAGACACCAACAACCTCACTCTCCTTGAGACCGCCTACCGCCAAAGCGGACTCTACCGCGAAGTGCTGCTGCTGGGGACCAACTCGACTTCACCCGCCCCGCTCGTCAACGCCTCGGTTTCTAACACGAAATGGCGGCATATTGTTGGCCCAGAAAGCGCTGACGCTGGCTTCTGGAGCACAGGAAATGCTTGGGCAGCTGCGGGCATGGCCCGAGTGCTTGCGACCATCACAAAAGCCCCCATTACAGCCAATGCGACATGGAAAGCAGCCGCTGTCCAGGACCTCACTGGCTGGATAAAGGAAATCGTTGATGGCGCTCGTCTTTCCCCGCCAGCTGCCGATGGCCTCCTGCGAAACTACCTCGACGACACGAACGACAGCGGCCTCGGGTTCGGCGAAATATCGGGGAGCTCGATGCTTGCAAGCGTTGTCTATCGCATGGTTGTCCTCGCCCCCAAGGCTTTCCCCGCCAAGACTTACCTTCCTTTTGCGGACGGCCTTCGCGGTGCGCTTGCCAAAAACCAACACATCACAAGCAACGGCACAGCTACCCCCGCTGTGAACCCACTGTGGTGGAAAGACACGAAACCGTGGACTGCAGGCAGTCCCGAAGGCCAAAGCTTTGTTGTGCTTATGTACGCTGCGTGGAGAGATTGTATTTGGTTGAAAGTGTGTAGTGTTTGAGTAGGTAGCAAATAAAAAAAGACAAATTGTTGTGCCAGTCCAATATTAATGCCAGGTCTTCACTCTCCAGGCATAAGTACCCGTCGGGTTGTGGACTTGTGAGGGATGCGCCCGTCAAATTACAGCGTTCCGGATGATATGAGATTCAATGAGTGACTCTTGAATTGAGGCTTCAGACGGGAGGTTGTGCAGTGGTTGTCGTACTATGTAGGTAGTTAGTTGTTCTTGTTTGGTTCAGATGTGATGAATCAGCAGCACGTCACACGTGACATCTCCCTTCGCGTCAACATCATCATGCCTGACCCCGACACGCTCTATGCGTCCGTGGCGTCCATATTCGAGCAGGCGCAAACATCTATTGCAAATCACCGCAAGAACTGCGTCGCGTTGTACAAGATCCATACCGGTGCTGCAAACCAAGGGACTTCCAAGAAACGTTCCGCCCACGGCGACCAGTCCGCCTTCGTTGCCACCTTCCTCGACATGGTTGGACGCGTTATCATTATCAAGAAGGGTCCTCCGACTGTCGAGAGAGTCATCAAGTTCATTTCGCACTACGTACGATTCGTCAATGAAAAGGGTATGTGAGAATGAAGTTGGTCGTGCTCTGATTCTCTGACTCGTACACATTAGCGCAAGAGGACACGACCAAGAAGCAGGCAGATAACCCTGCTGAGTCGATTTCTACCGGAGGCACCGAGGAAGACTCACTGGCCTCCGTATTCGTTTCAGCCATCTTAGAGTGGATTGTGCAAGGCTTTTTAGCGAAGAATAAGGTTGTCCGCTATCAGGCTGTGCATCTCGTTGCGGAGATGATTATGTACTTGGGCGAAGTCGAGTGCGTATCCTGCCTGATGCCCCATTCGACTGCTCATTCCTTCCAGTGAAGAGACTTATGTCTCTCTTCGCGAAAGTTTAATTGAGCGTGCGACATGCGACAAGGAATCTACAATAAGAGCCCAAGCTGTCTCTGCTCTTGCGCGTCTCATTGGGAGTGAAGACCCCAATGAACTCCAGGAAGGAGAAAGGACGATTCTCGAGATCATTCTTGACGTTGTTGTCTATGACCCAGCCGCGTGTGTTTCCTGTCCACTATCGTTATATTGTTCCCTGACTTTGGAGTAGCGATGTACGGCGAGCAGCCTTATTGCATCTCCCCCTTACATCTACCACTCTACCCACCCTCCTTACGCGGACTCTCGACGTTGATCCTCTCTTGCGCAAGCTTGTCTACGCCTCCGTGTTTCAACCTCGCCTTGAGCATCCACGTCTCCTTACGATCTCCCAACGCGAACAACTTGTTCAATCTGGCCTTGGGGATCGAGAACCAGCTGTGCGCCTGGCAGCCGGCAAAATGGTCTTTGCCTGGTTTGAACTTGTCTTAGCAGACCCAGCTAGGGCTCAAGATGATTTGCCTTGGGAAGGCGACGATGGTGGTATCATGGCGGCCCTAATCGCTTTCCTCAATCTTTTCGATGTAGTTGGTCCTGGCGAGGCTGTAGCAGTCGACGCCGTCCTTTCGCTCTTGACCACACGCCCGGAATTTTTCGACGTCTTTACGTTTTCTGGTAACGCATCTGCTTTCTGTGCACTACCAATTAACTCCTTCTAGAGGATTACTGGACAAACCTGACCCCGGAATCGGCCGTTCTGGCGCGCGTCTTCCTTGAGCATTGTCTTTCAGGGTCACGTGAGGACCGTATTGAAGCTGCGTCGCTTCCTGTTGTAACCGCATTCGCGTTCAACATGCAAGAAGTATATAACCAACTCCTTGCCATCCTCGAAGACGCCGAGGTAGCTCGTGCTCTTGCTGGCGACGATCCAGAGACAGAGCTCGACGACAGTGTTGAGGAAGAACTTGCCAAACGGGAGGTCATCATCAGCGAACTGCTTCGTATGGCCGTCAAGCTAGACTATGGTGATGAGATTGGTCGCAGAAAGGTGTACACGGTTACGAGTCAGTCCCACGAATCGTGATTGCCCCCCGCTCACACCGCTGTAGGAGCGATGCTGGCTCACCCGCAGTTGCCTCCGGGATTGATTCCCCGTTGCTTGGATGTTTTGAAGGAAATTCTACCATCGGAACGGGAGCTTATTCGTGTTGTTGTCGAGATCATCATGGATCTCCGAGAACCGGAGGAGGGTGAAATAGAGGCAAGTCCCATCGTTCATTGACTGATGCATTTGCAAACTAATTTGCTAGCCCGACTTCAATCAAGCTGACACAACCCAATCGTCAATTCGGCGGGAGCGATCCCTTCGTCGGGACAAAACTCGTGAGGAGATGTCACCCAACGAGGCTATGCGTGCGGATATGACCGATATGCGTTGCCTTGAAGTATGTATTAACATGCTTGAACGTGTCCATGGTGTATGTCATCACAAATGCTGGGATAGTATACTAACCTTTTTCATAGGACTTTGAGGACAATTCAACTTTGGAGGGTGTCCTCACCGATCTTGTAATCCCTGCTGTCCGGCGCAAAGAAGTTGGTATTCGTGAGAAGGGACTTGTTGCGCTCGGGCTATGTTGCTTGATTGCGAAGGTGCCAGTCAACATTTGTGTGTCTTTCTGGTGTCTAATCAGCCAGGGCATCGCGGTTAAATCGCTTCAACTCTTCCTCAGCCAGATTCAAAATGCTCCGGAACAGCTCAAACTGAACTTGCTGAAGATTGTATTTGATTTGATGGTTATGTATGACCAACAATTATGGGCAAGGGTCGAAGACGTGAGTCTTCTGCTCCAGCCATCATTCATTGCCTGACTGGTGTCAGGGTCAAGCCATATTAACTTTTCTTACAAGCACGTTGGAGGCGGAGGACTCGCCCGCTGTGCAAGCATTACTCTGCGCCGGTCTTGCGAAGCTTTTGCTTTCTGGGCTCGCTGAGGATCCACAGGTTTGGGACGTGCTCCATTAACTCCATATTTTGTTTATGTTTCCCCAGACTCTCAAGGGTTTGCTTCTTGCCTACGTGTCGCCGTATACCGCAGGCAACTCTGAACTGCGACAATGTTTGTCGTACTTCTTTTCCGTCTATTGCTACTCTTCGGCACTGAATCAGACTCGCTTACAATCAGTCAGTTTCGATGAACACAGAAGGTTTCGCTGACAAAACTTCATCAGATATTCATGTCTGCATTCGACGAAGTCACGAAGATGAACGAGGACCTGGGGGAAGAACCAGAGCATCCAATTGTATCACCTCAGCAATTCGGATTGCTTGTGATCGACTGGACGGACGCAAGGAAGGCAGCGCCAGCGTTTGTTCCACATTGCTTGGTCTTCTCCCTCCTGAATTGGTTCATGACAGAGTCGCAAACGACGAATATCCACAAAAGGCCCACGCTCAATTAGCATCAGATATCCTTCTCGCGTTATATGACTCAGATAGGAGAAGCGAAGACCAGGAGGTGCTCTGCGCGCTACTGAACAACCTCAATATCGAAGGCACACTCCCTACACCACTGATGGTGAAGCTCAGTGTACTCGTCCAACATATCCAAAAGGTGGTCTTCTTTGACCTGATCCGGTTCGTCTGACTGATTTCTGTTTTAACCTAGCAATGCCCCTTCGACGATCCCGCTCTTGACAAAGCAATTAGTCGATTCAAGAACAAGTTTGTGGGAACATATGGGGAGCTCCTCGGAGAGATTGATTGGAGTGAGTGGGAGACACCGGAGATGCAGGAGTTATATAATTTCATCGGAATCGATATACCCGACGCGTGCGTGGTCCTCCATGTCTCCGTGTTACTGTGCGCTGACGAATATCTGATGTTACAGCCGAGATGCTCGACCAGAAACCCCAGGGTGCGTGACTACAACTCAAAATCTTGACTGCTCCTCATATTGATTCTCTAGTTCTCCACTTCCAACGAAATCCCGCAAAGGCAAAGGAAAGGCCCCTCCAAAACCGGTCAAGCTCCGAGGACAATCCAAATCCAAGGCAGCGAGCGAGAGCGAGTCGGTGTCTCCCTTGACATATATTCCCAAGATTTAATCAATGCTCGCAGACAAGAATCGGAAGATGACAACGAAGAGGAGGAAAAGTCCGAACATTCTGATCCTTCTCCAACCGCTGCTCCGTTATCCAAACTTTCTGGTTCCAAATCGCCTTCTCCCCCACTCGCTGAAGACGATGAAGACGAGGAGGTCGAACAGCCTCCCAGTCCTACTCCGCCACCGAAATTCCTCAAGAGCAAAGGCAAGGCCCCCGCCAAACGCGGAAGATCGACATCTGGGAAGAAGGAGCCGGAGTGTGTTTGTTTTGTCGTGCTGTCACTTTCACTAATTTATTGTACGAGACCCGTTGATGAGGATCAAGAGGAGGAACAACCCCCGAGTCCTTCACCCCCGCCGAAAGCTGTCAAAAGCCAGGCTAAGGCACCACCCAGACGTGGAAGATCGGTATCTACGAAGAAGGAGCCTGAGTGCGTTTGCTTTTCTTGTAAACGCATTCACTGATCGATTATGCCAGACCTGCCGACAATGAGGACGAGGACGAAACTGAAGACGAGCGACCCCCAAGTCCCTCTCCACTGCCAAAAGCTTCCAAAAGCAAGGGCAAGGCACCGCCCAATGGAAAGTCTGTTTCCGGCAAGTCCGCAGAACAAGGGTATGTTGATTTTGTCTCTGGATTGCATCTATAATGTTTCCAGGACCATTTCTGCAGGTTCGAATCGGCGTAGCACGCGTGGTGGTGGGCGGACGAAATCAAAAGTGTGCGTATTGTTGTGTCATGGTAATTTGCTCTACTTACTTCGCGCTAAACCTAGTGAATCCGAGGATGAGCTAGTGTCTGCCCCCAGTGCCAAAACGAATGGGCGCTCCAAATCAACCGCTAGGTCGAAGTCAAGAGCAAAAGCCGCACCATTGGAAGAGGTCGAGTATGTGGTTTCCTTATGTTTATTGGTGTTGGTCAACGCATCTTGTAGGCAAGCCTCCGAACAGGAGGACGAGGAAGCAGCTGAACCTCCCGCGAAGAAGGCCAGGTCCAGAGCATCGCGCTCTAAAGCTCCACCAGAACCTGAGTACATCTCGTTTTGAATGCTTCGATCTCACGTGACCGCGATTAAGGACTGAATCGGCTGGGCCGTCCCGACGGCCGACGAGAGCATCTAGGTCCAAGGCTCCTCCGGCCACTGAGTGAGCGTCTTTTGTGAATCTGCGCTCTACAACTGAGCAACATCGATAGGGAGCCCGAGTTACCCATCCAGGACCGCCCAAGTACTCCACCAAGAAGGAGCAGTGGGACGAAGCATGTTTTCCTCTTGCACTTCGCCCTATAATTGACGCCTTTCTAGACGAATACGCACCCCAAGCTCGAAAATCGACCTGCCCTCTCCCGCTGACAAGAAGAAGCGGAAACCGTCTGCTGCCAATACCACGAACAAGGGAACCCGGGCGAGTTCGCGACGGAAAACTGCGGCTGCTCCTGCTGAAGAAGAAGATAGCGAATTTGGAGGTTACGGCGAAAGTTGAGAAAATGGCTAAGCCCATAAGTTGTTGCTCCCTTTTTTTTTATTTTGCTGTGTGGATGCTATGGGTTATAGATATTTATATTTGGCCTGTTTGTAGTTGTGACAACAGTACAATAACTGATAGAGTGTTGTGTGTAGTCTGTTGCTGCTGATCATAAGTGCTGACTACTAATCAGTGGGTGATATTCCTGATGTACGCGACTGAGAGAAGAGAAGAACATCCAGAATTTAAGGTTGACTCTGTCACGTCTATCGAGCCATTTCGGCCTCACGTCTATCGAGCCATTTCGGCCTCATTACTGTATAGAGACTTGATATATTTACAAACTGATTTGTCAGTTTTGCTTATTCACAAACTGACTTTAGTTTGTCACCTTACGCTAGTAAGGTCCCGAGACTGGTAATTCGTCACGTTACCTGTGAAAAACAAATAGATGCAAACAATGAGTCATACAAATTTGCGTAAATGAGGAGATGGGTTCTGACTCATTTCGAGCCTCGGTCTGACATATATTATTCTATCAGTTTATCAAATATAAGTAGATGGTAAAGATGGAAACATAAGGAAAAATCTTAGTATGTAACCATAAAGATGAGCTTCTCTCTAACCTTGACCTCCCATATTCCGATCATGAGTATATACTAAGTCTTCAATGGCTTGAGATTAGATAGACATAATGATATAGCAATTAAATGATGATGATAATATATATAAGTATGTACTCTTATAAATTTCCTGGCTGATGTGATTCAGATATATAGATATGTAGATAATATTTAACAATGTTAAAGATCTGTTGCCAAGAGCCTAGCAGCAATCACGTGGGACGCCGTAGAGGGGGTACAACTGGTGGAGAAGCTGTCTCCACCAGGCCACTTATATATAGACACATAGTACATCATAGATCATAATACTGCCCATGTGCTCACTCGTCACCTGCGCAGATCTCTATGTGCTAACAAACAATACTCTGTTATTAGCATTTTAATTGTCATAAATTTAAGAGTGTCTGATCACCCCTGAGCAGAACAATATATAAAAGGCACAATATTGTATCATGTAACCTTCTTGCTTAGCTTGTCAACAATACTACTTCTCTGTCATGAACAAGACCTAGCCTGTCCTGGTGCCAGTCTAAGGCCATTGAGGGCTTGGGATATGCAGTACATGATGATGAGAATATATGTCTTAGAAGGGATGGAATGAATATGTGAAAAGCACATGACTGAGCATGGCAGGTCAGGCCCAACGCCGAGCCCAACTCGGGGCAATAGGGAATTGAGAAGAAGTGCCAGGAGGTTGGGTATAGCATCTGGATTCAATGTAAGAGATGTACAACCATCTCTGTCATGGCCAGGGACAGGGATGGCCTGGGGGAGTGCTAGAAGAGTTAGGGTATCTAATTACCCCTCAGCAGGGCCACATATATAAGATACAATAGTTTACCCAGTAATCTATCACTCAGATTGTTTATTGTACTGCTTCTCTTTATGCAAGGATGCATTGGGCCCTGATGACCTGATTGAACTTAGCAGCCAGACAGACAGACCACAGGGACTGTCTTACCAGGCCTACACAACTTAACTCAACTCCACCCACTTCACTCACAGGCCTAATAATTTAAGGGTACACAAGAATGGTGAGACTCTATCTATCAAACTGGGACTCAGAGCCAGTCACCCTGATTGTCTCCAATAGCCTGTGATATACATAAGATCAATGGTGCCACCATTGATCCTGATGTGGGTCTTAGTCAGTATCGCACAGTGAGCCTTTGTGGTGAGCAGCAGCCGCTAGGATAGAAAAAGCCTGACTATAAAGCAATCTCATCAAAAGAGGCTTTATTCTAGCAATAAAACAGGAGAAAATGAAAGAAAAAAACCTGGAGACATAATATATATGGGATATTCTGAATATATTCAATATTTAATCAGCACTATTTGATTGAGAATCATCCAACTGATTTCAACTTGTATTTATCACATGAAAATTCACTATTAGATCAGCTTTTCCAGGTCACTAATCCCTAGTATATATGTTTCTGTAGTAAATAGTCTTAAATATTCATTTCTGTCAGTGTTGATGTGTTTATAGATTTAATATTTCAGCATAAAACTTGATTACTTGAGTTAGGATAACAAATATAATACGGCTTGTTAGGGGGATATTGCAATTAAGGGAATCAAAAAAGAATCTCTAGTATTCCAGTATAGAAAGTTTAGAAACAACTTAGTCAACAATTCGCTTTATTCAAGTTTGTATAGTTTGAGAAGCTAATTAAGTGCGTAAGGTCCTAGTCTCTCGTGCGAGCGCCTGTCAGGGGAACCCCCGCTTCGGCCTCCTTCGGACCCTCCGAACGCATCCGAGGTGCATCCGACCGGCACCCCCTCGGACGCTCCGACCCACCCCGACCATCGTCCACGGCCTCCTTCGCCCGCACAATCACCGATCCGTCAAGACCCTCCCAACGATCACCTTGGGACAGAGCCTGCGACGCTGCTCAGGCCTTCTGCGCTCTACGTCGGCAGTTACGGACGACCAGCATATAGTTGGCGCCCTAGCAGGTGGACCCTTAGAGTTTCTTCTCTTTGGATCCTCCCCTGCTAGGTCGGTCCCTCCGTGTATTTCCCGTAGCTTTTATTCATGCTTTGGATCCTCCCCTGCTAGGCTTTCGTCGGAGTCTCCAGGGTTGCCCTTACAGCAGAAGAAACTCTCTACGGGATTAACCGGTCAAGATTGCCAGGTTTGGCACTGACTCAGGCTCAGAGTACGAGTTCGTACCCCCCTCGTCACCGCCCCTGCCACTTGACCCCTCCTCCTCTGCTCTTGTTGTCCTTACGCCCGCTATGTCTACCGGAGCTGCTCCAGATGCTGATGCGCGCATGGACGCACTTGAGGCGAAACTAGACAACCTCACCAATATCCTCGCCCACCTTGCTTCCCAGGCTTCCGCTGCCACACCACTTTCGGCAGCTCCTGAACCGCCTTCGGCATCTCCAAATGCCCCCGACGCGGATGCGTTATTTGGTGACATTACTGTCGCCTCAAAACTGGTCTTACGACCAAACCCCCCGTTTGCGTTTAACGGAGATCGCAAACGCGGCCGCGCCTTCCTATACGCGGTCAAGACTTACGCCTGGCTTGCCCCGGAGGCCTTCGTGGTCAACGGAGAGCCGAGCGAAGAAAAGGCCGTCCGCTACGCCATGTCCTATATGGTGGAGGGACCTGCCCAGCAGTGGGCAGAGCGTCATGGAAGCAAAACCCCTTTCCCCTTCCCTCGGTGGAACCTATTCCTCTCTGAGTTTTGCCTTCGGTTCGTTGAGGAGAACGAGCAGGACCTCGCGCTTGCCAAGTTGGAAAGCGCGGGTTATCATATGGGAACGCGGGACGTCTACGGATACACCGACGACTTCGAGGACCTAATGGACCTCGCCGGATTCGAAGACACGTTGGTTAAGGTGACCAAGTACCACCATGGACTTGACCCCCTGATCAACAACGGCATCACGTCCTCGAACGACCCCCCAGACCTCCGCGACTATCTGGGCTGGCGCACTCGGGCTTTCCGCCAATACGAAGCCTTGGTGCGGGCGAAGCTCATCAAAGGGACAACCCCGCGGATGCCTTCGGGGGCTCCGCGTGGCGCATTCCCTATCGCCCGTTCGGCAACCCCGTTCCCCATCCGCCCGGTGGCCGCACCTGCGCCACCCGCGGCCCGCGCCCCCGTCTCGGTACCTCCGGCTCCCGTCTCTATGGAGTTGGATTGTACTAGGGCTCGGGGCGCCCCTCGTCGAGCCTGCTTCAGATACGGCGACCCCAATCACCTGGCTCAGGATTGCCCGCTCCCTGCCGATGTTCGCCATACGGACATCCTTGACGAGGTAATCCAGCAACTTGGCGACAAGATGCTGGGAGAGCTGCTTGCGCGGTTGTCCGACACCGCAGCCTTAGCGGAGGCGCATTCGGAGGCTCCGGCAGAGGATTTTGTCCCCCGCGACGAGTGACTGGTGTGCCCTCGTTCGCGTCCATAAATCGTTTCACTTGTTTGTATGATGAATCAACTCCCTTGCCCTACAACGAGCCTGAAATGAAAGACGCACCCTCTGCCCCCTCCGAAGCCCCCGTTCGGATTCGCCGACTTGCCTGGGAGAAAAAGCTACCTGGCAGCTATACCATCTCTGCCACTCCTGGGGTTAACTCGCTCCACCTTCCTCTCGAACTTGAGTCCACTGCAAACGGGCTCAAGCTCTCCCTCTCTGGTCTGGTCGACTGCGAAGCCACTTCGGACTTTATCAACCCAGAATACGTCAACCGAAATAACGTGCCAGTCCGAAATCTCTCAGTACCCATACCGGTCTACAATGTCGACGGCACCCCCAATGATGCTGGGTCTATTCGCCAAATCGCGGACCTCGTTCTACGATACAACAGATACTCCGAACGTGTTCAGCTGGCTGTAACCCACCTTGGGAAACAGGACTTGATACTCGGGTACTCCTGGCTCAAAAGACATAACCCCGAGATCAACTGGGAAACAAAGGAGGTGAAAATGAGTCGTTGCCCCCGCAGCTGCTCTACCTGCCGTGACGAAGAGCGGACCGAACGCGCCGAGGTTCGGCGGCTCCGACTCCTTAAATCACGACTACTTGCGGGCGCCTTCCCCACTGTTTGCGCTATCGATATCGCTGGCCCAGATGATGCTGACGACGAGCTCGGAGCTCCTTCGGACCCTCCGAGTCCCTCACCAGATCTCGACGACGACGAGCATCTTGAAGACGGCGACCGCATCTTCTACACCTCTTTTCGCCCAATCGAGGAGATTCACGCTGGGAGCACCGTGTCCCAACGCCTTGCAGAGGCCTTCGCCCGTAACTCGGCCCCTCCGCCCTCGGAAATTCCGGACTGGGCCAAGGAGTTCCAAGACGTCTTTGACAAGGAGTCCTTCGACACGTTACCAGAGCATAGGGCCTGGGACCACGCTATCGAACTCGTTCCCGACG